AATAAAATAAAATGGTGTTAACTTTTACGAACATTAAAAGTTTGAATGAAATTTTAAAGTTCAATTTTGAACATCAAACGTGATGACACTTATAGAATTTTTTGTATGGTTTTAAAGGTCGAACAAGGACATGACGGACCATTGGTAACATTCTAAATACTTTGCGCTGCAGCTTGTTGCTTTTTAGTAACCTCGCTTCATTTACAGGGCGATCCTTGAATGGTCGGTGAACATGGTCTAAAAGGGGAACAGGTATAAAAGATGCTTTTAGTGTTAGAGCTGCGCCCCTGAATCTGCCTCTTATGAGAAAAAGCAGATCTGTATTTGCAGCAATAGTAAAGCACAATGATCAAATGAAAATGGAGTTTTACGTTAATTTGCCTTATAAAATTAATTTAGCTAATAGCAACCAAAAGATACTTGCACAGGAACATGTTGGATTTATAAAAATTGTTTCGTGGCAAGTAAAAAAATCAAAAGCATCAAAATAATAATGCATAAGAATGTTGAGTACGTTTAGCATAAGATAAAAACAAACCTTTATTCGGAATATGAGCAATATACTGAGCTTTAAAACTGAATACACTTTTTGGATTCGACCTATAGCTACCAGAGTTACCGAAGATATACAAGTGATTTGTCAAAGAGCGTATTTCCATTCCTGCAGTTGCGTTTTCTCCACAATATTCACCAAGTAGAGGAAAAGTATCATTTGAGCCATTGTAAATGTTGAGAAATGTATCGTTGCATTGTGATATATTTAATATCGAGAATTTCAATGAGATGAAAAATGTTTCTGCCACAGTAATTACCATTAACAGTATTGAGAGTGTATATCCATATCGTTTTGGGATATTTTGTGTGAAGATATTGAATCATTGGTGTTATTGATCGAGCTACGACAATCTAAAGTGTGGAAAGACTTTCCAACTATGAAAATTAGAAAAATTCAAAACTACAACCGTTTTAGAATTATTTCAAACATATGGAGGACTTATGTAAGACTGTTAATGTAGCGAGACGAAAAACTTTATGCTTGACTCATTCACTTTTTTTTCAATTTTGTCCTTTACCTTTGTAGCATCAATACTAAAGCTTTAAGCAGGGAAATGTAGCACTAACTGCAACAACAGATCACCATATTTACTTTTACAAAAGTAACAGGGAATAAGTGAATAATGGAGACAGTTACCTTAATAACAATAGTAATAACAATAGTAGAACTTGATGCGACCAGAACTGTTGGAAGTATGAACAAAAACATGATCTCCGGAAAATCCTTCACTATTATCGTTATCCTCCGTATCAAATAAAATATACTCAATTTGCCTTGTTGCCCACTTTACCATTTGACATTTGGGAGATGACAATGAATTGGATGTCAACCAATAAAAAGATTTAATAACTGGCAATTCAATGGAATCATACCAGTTGCCATTTGTTTGACAGCAGTAATGAGTAAGAGTGTCATTATTATAGACACCGTCAGGTAACTGTTCTCCTTGTTTGTTGGCATTTTTATTGTTTTCATCATCCTATTTCACAGAGCCAGTTGAACTCATACCATTTGGACAAATACTACTCGACTTGTAAATACAATATGTACCTTTTAAAGGATGTGTTTTAAAAACAACATTAAAATTTTGACGTTTGGTCGTCGCAATTCCTGCAGTTTGTGCTACTGTGAAACAGGACCATCAGAAGCAAATTAGGATTTCGTAGGGGGATGATCCAAATATGTTACTACGTTTCAACAAATGAAGTGAAGATCATTTTAAAATCTTCCAGCAGTTTTAGTAAATTATTGGGAATGGTACATTTCAGCGTGCTCAGCACCTCTTCCCGCTTCTGATGGGCAAATCGAATGTGATCCACAAACTTAATCATAACTTTAAATTCCAAACTCCAAATGATAAAAGTTTGGAAAAGTAAGTGAAGTAATAGTAAGATTTGTACGAGTAGTATAAGATTTGTCAATGCCAACAAGGCCATAAACATTGTTTAATCACGATTAAAGATTTCACGAATGCCACAGGACAGCTTTATTTTTTTTGCAAATATGGTAAATTGTTTCATGTTGATGTTCAATGACTGTCATGCAGTAAAAGATTAAATTTATAAATCACAATTTTGTGGGTAACTTTAGAGTTGCAAATTATGTGTTAATTTGTTATTCATTTTTAACAACATTGACAAACAATATAAAAACATCCACTAACCTTTAGGCCAAGATTTTGTTTCTTTGTGTATTTGGCTGAACATACAAAATGCGCTCGCGTAATATCTACTTCAAATTTTCCTGTTATAATGGTAACAGCCATGTGGTTTCAAATGACGCCATTGAACTTTCACCTTCATCTTTCATACCCTGGTACCTCCACTTTTCCTCATATCCTGGTACCTCCACTTTTCCTCATATCCTGGTACCTCCACTTTTCCTCATATCCTGGTACCTCCACTTTTCCTCATATCCTGGTACCTCCACTTTTCCTCATATCCTGGTATCTCCACTTTTCCTCATATCCTGGTACCTCCACTCGCGCCATCCACTTTTCACATCACCAGGGCATCCTGTTGTAGCCTTAGGTAGACCAAAATTCCCTGTTGGCCATTGGTCTTCTATAAAACAAAAACAATTCCAGTGATTTCATTTTCTTTCCAATAATGATGATGTCATGGATGGAAGTGAGTGAGTAGAAATTGTCGATTTATAATTAAAATATTTTGTTTTTCACACGAAACAGTTTTGAATTATACGTAATGCAAGTTACAAAAAGTTATATGTCTGCAAATAAAGAAAGAAACGGTTTAAACAATTGTATATATTAACCGTAAAAACGACAAACGTTAAAAAAACCTAGCTCATTTTGTGATAGACGATAAAGTTGACGATAGAGCGTGCGTGTTTAAAGACAGAGCAACAATTGCCATTTTCGACCAACGGCAAATCGTATTTCCATTTTATAGAGGCATAAAGGCACAATGTATATATTTAAGCTCATCACTTGATACAAATTGAGGCTTTCAGCTATTTTCGTCGCGTAAACTCATTAAATGTCATGAAGTAAAAATGTTCGACGTGCAGCTGTTCTTCATCAACGTTATACCAGTCATAAGAATATAGTCGAATATAGAAGAAATCTAAAATGATAAATTACGTTACCAGCGTTAGTAAAGTTCCCAAATGTTTGAAGCACCAAGATGAAATATCTACGACTAGATATCACAAATCCCTTACAAGAAACAAGCTATATTACAACTGAGGAAGACATTTGGGACTTGCATGAGAACGTATATGGTAATCCACAAATGACGAAAGTTTATAATTGACAAAAACAGTCACATAAGAGAATAGTGATCAGTTGAAGACATAATGCCTGGTTCACACGAGTAAAATAAGCACGAACGTCGAGAGTTTTGTTTCTATTGCTCTAGAGGTTTATAAAGACAAAGACATTGGGATTTTCTTTAAATCTTCTTTTTGTTCTTCTTTTGTTCTTCTCCTAGCTTATGCTTGAATTTTTTCCTTATGCTTGCGCTTATGACGATGGTTATGTCACATGCTTCGTTACTTATCTTTGTTTTATCTTTTGTCTACGCTTGTTCTTATCCTTATTTCACTCGCGTGAACCAGGCTTAAACTTATTGTTGATAAAGCACGGGATTAGTTTATTCAATTAACACGGACCATAACGCATAACTATATAAGTACAATAATGAAAGACAATTCTTTACAATTGAAATTTTAAAACTTAATAGGAATGAACACAATGAGTGTAACTCAAAACTTTAAAACTTTCAACTTCATCTTTCACCACCTTCACTCAGTGGTGCACTAAACATTGATTTTTTGGGAGGCAAACTCACCTAAAAATGGCTTTAACATTTTGTGGTTAATTACTTTTTTACAACTGAGTAAATTGAACGTTAGTTAGACCATATTTATCTAGCCTGCAATACCTTTCTAAAGCAATGTCACTTTCTATAGAAATCAGCATGATATAGTAGAAGATATGATTATGAATATGATTTCTCCTAATTTAACGTTAGATTTACGCCAGTAGTTTTTTAATTGTACAGGAACAACTCCTTTTGCAAAGAATAATCGTTTCCTGCGACGATGCGATTGGAAATCATCTTTTGAGTAACACCATTGATTGCTGCTAAAGTAACTAGTAATTAGTATACACGCCAGTAACACTCGTTGTTGTACTAATTCTTATTCAAATGATAAACTTAGAATTGTAAAAATTTTTCCCTGCGCCCCTCTTCGCTTTTAAATTTCTAAAGAATATAATTTTACCAATGGATTAGCCTCTAAGGTGTTTAGAAATGTAAATATACGCCAAAATGTGCTGCAGAGTTGAGAATGATGTGATTTCATATGATTTCTCAAGCTGTCATATTGTTGGTTTACCGCCAATGCTCAGCAGAGTGTGAAATCAACAGAAATTTTTTTCACGGCATAAGTTTTTTGCAAAAGCAGCAGAATAAGGACGATATTTAGTGGAAAAGAATATATGTTAATTAAATGCTGTGTTGAGCATCGGCAGTTTGATGTAGACCTCCATTATGGCTGCTTTAACGTCACATGTAGCTTGCATCTTGAATCATTTTCAACTCTGGTGAATGGTTTACTGTTTGCCAATTGGGTCAGCTAGTATACCCAGAATATTTACTAAAACTCTGACGCCCAACTTGGCTACACTTGGCTACATAAAAAGGGACACATTTCAGTAGCAGACACACAATCATATAGATGATTGCTATCTACAAAGCCCGACATACGAGCTATGTTTCGTGAATGTCATAGACAAAATTGTGTTATTTGATAGTCTTGGGTGAGTTACGATCCTCATAAATGAATGCTCATAACAACTCAGTGACGTCATACTGAAATGTAATTTATTTGTTAAGTAGATGAACTAATGTCATCATTATCATTTTGCTATAATAGTTTGGATGTGTAGTTATCATGGCAGGAAAAGGCAAGAGACAAATGCATTTTCTCTTTTATATATTATCACAAAACCAAAATACTGTAGTAAAACAAAACAATACATGATTTAGACAGTTCATATAACTCTTTTTTATCTATATATAACTTATGCGGAAAAAACATCAAAAAGTAAAATACAAAAACAGGAACTTCTCACAATCATCCCGAAATAATGTGAAAATATGCTATTGACGATTTTAAAAGTTCAAATCAGAAAATTAAACCTGATTAAACCTAACATTATGTACTACTTTCAACCCTCAACTAAAAGAGATGATTAAATCACTTCTTGACCAGTACTAAACATAAACTATTCTTCTTTTTTGCACAATACATAGGTCATTCCAGCGTAGGCTTTAGTGCTTCCGGTAACAACATGCATGGAGACTTGTAACAGTTGATAAGACATGTTCACAATGGTTTTATGGCAAGTAGCTTGGAAACTTATTGTTTGTATTAGCAGTTGTAAAATGTACCGTTAGAAGAAAATATTGGAAAACGTATGAAAATTCCAATCATGATCTATGAGTATTCTTTGTGTCATGTAGTTAGAGTGGGACCAAATATTGATACTTTAATAAGTTCTGTCATTTGATTGTTAATGCTATATTTCCTGCCCACGCAGTCCTTTATGATTTCTTAGAAAAATTGTAGAGCCCTGAGTTCTTCAGGATCATAATTAACGAGATTAACTTGATTAGACCAAGCAGGATGCCTAGCGCCATCCATTTCAGAAGCCAATTGGTTATCAGCTTCTAATGTGTGATTTTCACCACCTATTACTGCATGACATTCAGGACATTTACCTCTTTCCATTGCGCCACCACAATCTCCAATAGCATATATATGACCATTGGGACACTTGAACCAGTGGCCTTTTGTTAAGCCCATCGCTTTAACAATTTCGGCTTTTTCTTCAGCGGTAATTGCACCAAGTTGGAGATCCTGACTAATTTGATCGAGATCACGAATAGCTGATTCTCTGACATCATTATTAATTTTACGGGGGGAGCGGAATAATGACGAGATTGCATCAAGCTTTAATTGTTGTTCATAAGACACTGTCTTGTTATACTTCTTTATATCCTCTTGGAGTACTTTCAACTTACACGCCAACGCTGTTCGCTGGATTTCTTGTTGTACATCTGCGATCAGCTGCGACGTTAATTTATCGCACTTTAACACCAATGTTTCTAGTTCCATAATCTGCGACTGAAGAGGTATCTTTTCCTGTAAGCGCGATATGAACTTTGCTTTGATTTCATAAATAGGTCGAAGAAGCTGTATTTTATAAGAGATCAAGTCCAATTTCTGATTGCTGTCGACATTGTTTATTTCAGTCTCAATTTCAAAGAAAACTGAAGATGTTGCATCGACCAAGTCTCTTCTAAATGGAATAATTGGTCTCCTACTTCGACGGTTGCGGTCTTGATCTAATGGATGTAAAGGGTCGGGATATTTAGAACTGATTTCTGACAGTTGTGCTTTCAACTCTTTCTTTCTTTGATCTATGTTGGCACCATTCTCTCTGACTTTACTTTTGATAGTTTCAATATCTTGCAAAACCTTTTTAATAAGATTTCCATAACGAAAGCTCTTTCTTATTGGAGTTTTACACTTGGGGCAAGCCTTGAGTTGTATTCTAGAGCCCTCTTCTTCGGCAAGGGACATCCATTGATCAAGAGCAGTGACCTCAAAAACGTGGTGACAGTCCAAAAGCTCAATAAATCTTGCACCATGCCTGTCTTCAGTGCCAAAGAAAATTTCTCGAAGCTCGTCTTTGTCACAAATGCGACATAGCCGTGGGCATTTTTCACCACATAATCCAACGCATCTGTGATTGCATGGCAACTTTTTACGACATTTTACATTACATGGCATGCGATCACAAATCTCCGAACATTTTTTAGTACACTTTTTATGCTTACATTGCCACGTGCATGGTTCTTGACATGGTGCACACGGTTCTCCACATTTCTTTCCACATGCGCTATGAACACAACGATTTTCGCATTTCCGTTGACAAGGTGGACAATCATTTGTACATGGTTCGTCACATGGATGAGAACAAATCAGCGTACGACCACATGGATGCTTACAGACAATGTGAATACGACCCTGCTTACAATCATGGCAATTACCTTGACACTTGTGCCCACACTCCAACAAAGTGTCACAAGGTTCATCGCATTTACATTCTTCAATAGGAAGCCAGCATTCAAATGATTTTGTATGCCCACAAAATAAAGTTCTGTCAACAATTTCTTTGCATTTCTTTTTTGAGCATATTTCGCCACAAGTAGCTCGACATGAATGACCACATTCCAAGATTCTTTCACACGGTTTGGGGCAGTTGAATAAAGAAGGATCTTGACCGCATTGCATTTTTACTTCATGCCCACATTTCGGGAGTTTTTTAGTAACTATCTCTCTGCAAGGACCACAGGGCTCTCCATGATGACATTTTCGACGGCACTGATGTTCAGGACACACCTCCTTTTTGCACAATTTTTTACAATCATACTCTTTATGTTCGCGATCAGCTGGATGACACACCATCTCACACTTGTGCCCACAGTCAAGGCGGTAATCACAGGGAAGAGTACACCCACCTTGAGGTACCTTCTTAAAATCTTGAGCGCTCCTCATTCCAAATTTTGTATTTTTATGATTTTGACAGTAAACTGGCAAAGCTGCTCCAATGGCTCTCTGGACTTCGAGATCTTTCATAATTTCGTGCCATAAATTGCTCTTTTCAGCTAACATTGAGATGTTTCCAATACAATAGAATCCTTTGCGTGCACGAGATAGGGCGACACAAATGCGGTTGGAAATACCAAGGAATCCAATTTTCTTTTCTTCATTGCTACGGACAAGGGACAACAAAATTATATCATTTTCTTCCCCTTGAAAGTTATCGACAGTACACAAACGAACACCCTCAAATTTTGTTTTGGGCATAAGACGTTTGAGATGCAGCAATTGCCCAGTATAAGTTGTAAGAACAGTAATAGTTGATGGACTGTAACCCTGTTGTAGCAAATACTGACATAAAGCAACGATGAAATTTGCCTCATGATCGTTTGAGTGACTTTTAAGTTCGTCATCTGACTGTTCCGCTTCTTGGTGATTAATAAAGAAGATATTCTTGGAAATTCCCATGACATCGTCAAACCGTTCCACACTTGAATGATTTTTTAGATCCTGATAAATGAATTTCATTAAACGAGCGATCTCGGGACGCATGCGGTGTTGTGTGTCTAGTGTATGACATTTCATTCCGTTTCTCACCATACGCTCAAACAAAGATACTTCAAGATTGTACTGCTTAGCAAGCGTAAAGACACACGGATTAGGTTTCAGTTGTTTGTGATCTCCAATCAAAATCAAATGTTCCGCTCCTTCTGACAAAGCAGTAACAATATGGGCTTCTAAAACCTCGGCAGCTTCTTCTACAATTATAATTCTGGGTCTGATCATTTGCAAAACGTTTCTATACTTAGCTGCTCCAGTTGTAGTCATTCCAATTACAGTGGCTTTCCGTAACGTATCTTCTTCTTGTCCATGTTTAATTTCTTTGAATTTTCTGCACTCAGTTTCATACTCTTGATAAAGCTCTTCTAATTTCCTGTTATGCATTTCATGGTAAAGATTGCACCAATGTTGGTAGTATTGATGACGTGTGTTTAAATCTAATTCCCATAGACTGAGATCTCTCGTCTCTTGCCAATGGCCGTTTCCTTGTTTCTCTTCAAATGCATTAAATCTTGCTTGAACATTAACGAGGTTAAGTTGATCTTGAGTCATATGCATTTTTATGTCATCCTCGTACTGTTGCACGGGAGCGAATTCATCATTAAGGATGCGTTCATTCTGCAATCTTTCTGCATCTTTTTCCACATTTACAGTAACTATTTCATCAGTATCCTCATCCTCCTCCTCTTCATTACTATCTTCATCGTCGTCGTCGTCAGTCAAATCATTTTCTCTTTTATTGAAGACGTAATTTTCAAAAATTTCCTCGTTCATGTTCTGAGAGTTACTAGCATAGAATGGCAAGTGTTGCATATTAAGCCAGGCATCAAGAACGGTAGTTCCATGAAATTCTGCGAAATACACATAAGGCAATAATTGGTTAGCTTCGCGTTCACCAATGACTGTAATCAAGTCTTCAAACTTAAGTTTTCTCTCGTTAGCTTTCTGAATACAGTATTTTCTTTCTTTGATACTACGTGCAGTCATATCAAGCTGGTCGCTGGCTAAATACCAAGCAGCAGTTCGTCTAGCTTTATTGGACAAGTTAAAAGGTTTTAACAAGTCACTGTCGCTTCTACCACCGACACGAACAACATCGTTTTGGTTAAATTGAAGAATACCTGAAAACGTTTAACAACATATTACTATTACTTTATCTAAAGATAAGCTAATTCAGGAAAAATATTTAAAAATTGTACAAGGATTATTTCATTTATAACTTAAACGAAAAAGAGAATGGAATGTACTTTAAATACCATTGTTTTGTATACTCAAGGTTCAGGTTATATTATCAAAGAAACAGAAATCTAAGCAACTACTTGGCTGAATTTGTTGTTTTAGTAGGGCATCATCGATATCAATCTGCTCTTCCTCAATTTTTTTTGGCCAGTATGCGTATGTATTATTCTTTATTTTAAAAAACTGACGTTAGGTAACTGAATTGAAATGATATAGATGCTTAAGATAACTGGTACTGAATTCTACAGCTCTTTCCTGACACTTGCAATTACCTTCAAGAAACTGATCTAAGGCGTGGTTTGTATAACAAACAACAAGCATTGGTCCGGCGCTCATTTGGTTCCTACGCCAGTAATCCTTATTTTTTAACAAAGCTTGCACGATCTTGAGACCAACATACGTCTTTCCAGTGCCTGGTGGACCTTGAATGACTACAAACTCTTCAGTTAGAGCAGCTTGAATTGCAATCAGTTGCGATCGGTTCAAAGAAACACTGCCAGCTCTTGGCCAACTTTCGGGTACCAAAATTTGCACTGATCGTGCATCCCTTGAACGTAAAACGCCTTGAAGATTATATCTATAAAATAAATAATGCGTATTGAAAAGACAAGACCAACACTTTTTCACAAGCAATTTACAAAATAAAATATAAATTTCGCAACAAAAAATAACAACCTGATCCTTGTATCTTACAAGACCTTTAGATTTGGACATGGACTATGAACAATTTATATCGCATGAACGTGTTTCAATGTGAAATATCAGTCTTCAAAGCTAATGGATTTCAAAATTTGAAAGTTCAAAGCAAAGAAGCTTAAAGAAAATTTCAAACGTTTATCAGCAATCTCCGAAATATTTCAGCCAGCTTCAGAACAACATGGCAAAAACTAGTAGATAGGGGAAATTAAATACAAAGCTCAGTAAAGCTGAAACCCCCCAATATGTTTGATAATGGAAATGTATCAATTGTTATCATTTTAGAACAAACCTTGGGCTAATTGGCAACACGTCATTATCTGCTACTTCAAAATCAGGGTGAATTGGTGGTTCCATTTCATGGACAGTAAGGTATTTTGGTGGATTAACAATTGTTTTGCATTGGACAAGATAACGACCAAAAGGCATTTTTTCGTCAGAGATTTCCTGTAGTCCTTCGAGGTTATGGCAATAGGCCTCGTAATAACCAGGTGATTCAACCATTTCATAAATTTCACCAGATTTAACATCAGGTAAATCACCAAGAAAACGGACTTGCACAAAACCATGTTTTAGTTGCTCTGTTTTTCGTTCGCTTACCGTCGCAAAAACGAGTGTTTTAAATTTATCGCTTGAAAGACAAAGAAATGTTCCAAAGATTAATCGCTTTGAGTTCTCCCACTTCACTCTTTGGAATCGGCGAACATCAAAGCGGATAAGGTGCACAATTCCAGAGACAGTACAAACTGTATCGACAACTTCTACATTCCTGTATACCCGCAGATTCTGATTTCGCTCATTTCTATGAACACCTAGTGCAATTTCGTCGACACCTTCGCGAAGTGGTCCGATAAAATCCTCTCTTAGCAATCGGAACTGTACGTCAAGATAGTGAGCCACGTTTTCATATGTGCCATCTATTATATTTTTTCGAAGGAAAACGGTTTTATTTTTATCAAAATCTCGAGCAGTAGGATAAACAGGAATCCTACGAAAATCATCTGGTGGTTTCTCTTCCTCATTATCTTTCACCTTAGATCGAGGCTTTGATTTCCTTTCGATAATACTCTGCCTTGAGCTAACAAGATCCTATAAAAACGCAATATTCGGAGTATGACAAAGATCATGGACGTATAGAAAGATTGATGTTTGCAGTGGCTCATATTTACATATAAATGTTATAATACATAAAACAAGATGGTTTTCAAAGGAACTTAATCTGGAATATCATGTTTATATGAATATTTACCCCCATTTATCTATAAAGCTATGTCCTTCAAAAGAAAAAAGAACATTTTCAATTCTTTGTGAACGAGTGAACTTGGGCAAATATTTTAAAATCTAAGAAAAATTTTGACAGTGGAGCTCAATTAAATGTTGAAAGTTGTAACATAATCGATTTTCCTTGAATTTTAACACCTATTATTTACAAACCTGCACTAGAGCTTTTGCATCCGAACTTAACGTGAGCGTCATTGATGCAACGACCAGGGAATCAATGGGAATGTCACTGTAATTATCAGGGAATCTTCGCAAAATTTCATCGAAAAACTGTATGATATTCTTGACATTTTTTTCCACATTTCTTTTAGTGTGAAGCGTCATTATGTAGCGTGAAAGGGGCACACGTAAAAATACAGTATTTGGAAACAATGCCATGATTTTCATCAAATTTTCTTTCATGTGAGTATCGTAAACCTATAAGGTGAGGAAATATATTAACGTATAACATATCTTTCAAATTCATCGATTCCTATTGCCTGTTGCATTTTTAAAACGCGTTTTATCGTTTATTAGAAAAGGGGCCGAAAAGCAGGGTTGGACTAACGATAAGTGGGACCTGTGGTTTTTTCCTAAGCGGGATGCCCTTATCCTCGAAATAATCCCCCCATTCAAAAGTTATTGTTTAAGGACAAAACACCAATTTGTCATAGCAAACTACTCTCGACAGCAAGCACAACAAAGTTGTTCAGTCTTTTCTGCGTCATACTCATACCTGACCATAATTTAATAATGATCACAACTTATGTTTAGAGAATGACCGTGCTTCTGAACAGTTTTCGATCATTACGCTCAAAAATATACAGAGCGGAATGATTGTTCTGGGACATACTGTTTCCATATTCTTGGAGACGAGAAGCCAATACATACTTAATTTCAACGAATCCAAAAGGTCTTTCACTAGCTCGATAAATTAATTATCAGTAATTATGCGGAGGATGATCCTGAAGTGTCAGATCTGTCAAGTTGCGAAGTTTCAGTAACGCCCCGCGTTTCCATAACAAAGTCTGCATTGAGAAAAGCTGAAAACTGTTGCAATTACTCCAACACAGTAGCTTCTATGTCATTGAAATCTCTTGAAGAGGTTTCGCTTTTTCAACAACATCGTTAGCCAAGAGCTCTCTAAGCTTTAAAAGAAAGCCAAACCTTGCAGCCGGAATAACGCGAGCATCTCCGCAATTCAGAGTAAAGATTGTGAATTATTTCGAGAAATGTACTTGTACGAAGGTAAAGGCTGGAGTCTGTGTCACTTCAGCCTCCGAACAAAGTTCATCGTACAGGAAATTTCGTGTAAACACTCGTCTTGCTTGGCTTATATAATGTTTGCATTAGGCTCTTTCCTTTGCTTTCAGCTTTTCAACGAGGTTTCGGCTTTTTCTTCGTCATAGCCAGTGATTTCTTCTAGATGGGCATTAATTTCATTGTAGCCAATAAGTAGAGCCATCAAGTATCTGACATTCGTTTTGCGTAGGGCAACCCTTTTCTCGTCGATGACTTTTGATAAAGAGACCGTGATTCACCCACCATGAATTGGCAATAAATATAATAGCAAGCACATGTTTGAGCCTCATTTCTTTAGCAGCTTTAAGTCCATATGGGCCTCGCACTTGGATGGGTGCTGCGATTGCAAGGGATTTAAGACTGTAGGGGCCGTATGATTGTGTGAGCAACCTGCTTCAGGGGCTTATAAGAATGCAGGCACCTGAATGTTGGCTATTTGTATTTGCTCAACCGAGTTTTAATTTTACCGTGAATAAATTCAAAATTAAAAATTTAAGCTGAGTGAAGCACGGGACTCCTAAAAGCGTGGGGCCCATAACTGACGCCGCCTAAACATATGGTTAATTCGGGCCTGCCGACTACTTTAGCTGACGTAATCTGCATCACATTGATCACTTTTGTATTTGTGGAGAACATATTGGCAATTTACTAGGCACGGTTCCATTCCCTTCAAGATTATGCATTTGTCTGCGTATCATATATTAGCTGATTTCTGATCTTCAATTGGCAAAGAAAATGAATTTTTTATAATGATACCGCGTAGTTCTCAATAACATACATTTATATTGAGCTGCACTCTTCTTAGTACTCTTCAGTCGAGCTCATTGATCAAGCTAACTAAATCTAAGTAAATTGCATTTTTCAATCATTCAGTAAAAATTTACGGAGAAGGGGAAGAGAACTAAAGCTATCTCTAGACAATCGAGAACGTTTACTTTGCAAATACGAATGTGATCTGTGTGATGCAGATAGTATGTACCTACACAGAGTGGCGTATACCGGCCGGCAAGTTTTGGTCACGAAATGTAATTTCAAAGCAACCATTACTCGATTTTTTAGAAATCTTATGGATTTGCAGTGAGTGAACATAAAAAGGAATACATTCTGTGATATGGAAACATGTAATGAAGCTCACGATGAAAATCCTAAATCTTAAAAATTTTATACCTTTGCTAAAATTTCAAGCAACAACTCAATGACGCCATCTCTAAGTTGTCGTTCATCAAGAAGATTTCCTAACTGTTCTTCATGCTTTAAAAGTTGAAGAACAGCCTCAGTAGAATCACCTTCTAATATTTTCTTCAATTTATTAAAATGCAGAGGAGATGGCTTGTGCGATCGTTCACTGGAACTTTTATTTTTACGAGCTTGATTTGGATTCCCCAGTGACGTCGGCAGTGGCTCTGGATTTAATCTCAGATGAGATTCGAAATTTCTGTTTGAATTTCTCTTTTCAAATTTATTTTCTCTGTCATCTCGGAAGGGAATTCCACCATTTCCAACACCACGATGGCCAGTTCTTATCTTACCTCTTCCTCTTCTTCTGGAGTCTATAATAATAATTCTTATATAAGCAATTAGGTATGAAATTACATGCTCATGCTGTACAGAACGGATTATTTAAATAGCCTATTTAAATTGAGAAGGAAGAACTTTATTTTGTCGTTCATAGAAAGAATAAAAACCTTAGAAATAGTTTTCCGATAAGAAATTAAAGAGAAATTAGTTTGCCTAGTGTAAATTATGCAGTCCACACATCTAAAGAAAACTAGAAACTTCCTGAAACGAGGCTAGGTAACGTGTGCTTCTAAGTATTGCAAGTTTCAGTATTTGTCATTTTTATTTAATTAATTTAGCATTAAAGCTGCATAGTAATTTTAAATGAAATTTTTTTATCCGTCTACATGTTTATCCAACTCTAATTCATAGATACGCGCTCTATGATGGACTGAAAATTTTTAAACGAGAAAACTGTGGCGACATAACAGTAACTTAATTATTGTCACATAAATTATAATATTTATAATCAAAGTGAATAAAGGAATAAAAAGCAGAATTATCAAATATTTCAATCATAGGATATGCAGTGACAACAAATATTTATTATCTTGTAACAGTCACATAGTTTCACTTTCGCCATCTTGGGAAACCGGATGGGAATAAGTATTATTAGTTACGATGATTTTGACTTGAATTTAAACCAAACAAATGATGAGTAAGACAAGAAAAAATTATAGAGGTTAATCATTTATATGATATCAACACAATAATCTATTGTCATTACTCAAAGCAATCGAGAAGGCATTATATTATAAAGCACATGACAAAGTTTTTAGATCGACGCACCACTTAAACATCAAACAATAATACACTCACCAAAACCTCTGGAATATGCGCTAGCCATTTATATTTAAAAGATAATACAGATACGTGTATTCTGCATCTTATCAAGACAATACTGAAGTCGATTAAAATGTGCGGCATTTATGTTCACTTCGAGTCTTCGATCGATGCGAATGTAAATTCCCGGAATTTATACTTTCATAAACAAGGAAAAGTGAGCACGTCACAAGATCAATCAATGAAAGTTTGAAACAACGGTGCAGGAACAGGGATTCACGGAATGGGGGAACAGAAAAAAAGGAAAGAAAGAAGAGACTTGAGGGACGGAGATGAGATTTATAACATCCTGACGATTGAGCAACATTTGTCACCATCACTGAGAAAAATGATGTAAAGGATGAACTTTTGTATACGCAAGTCAGTGCCACGGCTCCATAACATGACGGTGTTTGGTGTGTGAACATTCTATTTTTTCATTTGCAAACGATAGAAAAAGATTAATTAACATGACAATAGTTAAGGCGTCCTTCCACCTTTCACGAGTCATGCCTAAACATAAACTTCTTGAATCAATAAAAAAAAGTATTTAACTGTATCATAATCATAACTTTTAAAACAATTATATTCTTTCGAACATGAACTCTTTCTGAAAATTAATATACGTTAAATGTAGTTTGCCCAGAAACATGAAAAAATTGCAGGTCAGTTGCAACTTATTAGGAGTTTCCATATCAAAAATTATCAATACATTCGGTTTGCATGTGCAACACATTTGGTTTTATCTTAATCCTGTAAAATCTCATCTGACTATCAAAACATATCATTGATTTGTAGTAAATAAACATGCAAGCAATAACGTATGTGGAAATTGTGTGACATGTCAAACATTATTATTTTACAGTCCATACTATTTATAGTTTACATGTTTTATCATATATAGTTGACAAGCAAAAACCTGACGTAAAACATTGCGCAAAAAGTTTGCGCCGATTGGTTGCCAAACAGGCAATATATTTAAATATTAAATTGAAATTATATTTTTGTAAGTCTCTTTGTGAAGCAGAATTTTTCGAAAAAATACGTCATATACAAAAACACAAAATGACAAATAAAAAAAGCATTTAATTTGTCATTCTTCACAATGCATTAAATGTTTAGTCAAGGAGCTGTTGCTTCGGCATAACACCATGAATTAATATATTTTCTGCATTCTGATTATCCAGGTCAAGTCACATTTTTCGAAACTTTATAAGATTTTGATTGATCTCATTATCTTTATTTTAGAATGAAGCTGTGCATGGGAAGCATAATAATTTGCAAAACTACAATCTTCTGCATTAAAAGAATAGAAATTGCCTGATGATAAACAACAGAACAACATTCAATGCAATGAAGATTTATTTTATAATTGTGCTTATGTCCGTTTTTCAATTTGCTGAATTTTCTGAGTCGAACAAAGAATGCTATGATGCAATGAAAAAAAGACTTACAAAATTTTCATGGTATAGAGAATTTTAGAATTTATTTCGAGTTTGCCACAGATAACATGGTCACGAATTGACGTACACAGATACACCGAAATTGTACAAACAAGCATAATTTTCTGCACGATTTGTACAATTCACTGCATGTTTTTTATAATTTCCTGTTTGATAAACTTCTAAAACAGTAACATCAATTTCTAAAAGTATGTCAGAGAAAACAATTATGTATACAAATTAAGTCAGCTTACTGAGCTATGACAAAGGCAAACACGTTTCTAGCATTTAAACTTATATGACATGTTTTAAACAAAAATTCATTTATTGAAAAATGTTTAAAGTAATATGTCGCCCTAATTTCATTGTTGTTTTGTATACAGCATGTATAGCTATTTAACTAAAATGCACGCAGCTACGTATGTAATCATATTTCCTTTAAGGTATTAAAATCAATCAATTGAATCAAAGGAACTTCAGTTATTCCAGGCAAACAAGGTGATAAGGTAGAGAAAAACAATTTGCCATACAAGACAATAGTTAAAGATCATAAATATTCTTCGGTCACCACTAATTATACAATGGACAATGGAGATAAATTTTTGAGATGGGAAAATAAATTAGAGAATAACAGTAACAGTAACGATTTTAATTAATACAAGCTGTACGTGGTTTGATAGCTAAGATAAGATATTGTTGTTTTACTTGTCAAAGGGAGCAATTTTTGGTTACAAAGGTCACAAAAGAACTAAGGTAATAACATAGCTAATAAAATTTGTCTTTGGTAGACAGTTCTTGTGATAAATAGTGATTGAAAACAGATTTTCGTTTGACTCCATTCCAATAATACTGTAAGAATCAATGCTTTTAAGATTAAGGTACAGCAAGAACTCTTATCCTTTCTTTCTGCATCATGTTACTTCATTACAAAAACTCTATATGAAGGGGCGGCGTGGTGATAAAGGAACGGACGGAGAAGTTGGAATGGATGGTGAAAAGATACGTTCCAAATTTTCTATTTTAGTTTTTTAAAATTTTTGTACTCTTATAAAAACGCCTCTTAAAGTTTCAGAAAGGCAAAATCAATGGCTTCCTTTTATCATTTTTCAGGCGATAGTTACTGATTTTTTTGAAATACAAACCAAACGAAGCCTATAAAGATCTTATTGATAACGCGATGCAACTTTTTATAATTTATTTTGCTGACACAACTATGCGCTTTCCTGTTAGAATGCGTGACAGCTAATTCCTTGCACATGGAACTTTTAATTTCTGAGTCGATCATTGTGTGATGTTCAATCTTTGATAACTAAATTACTTTACATTCAATAGTGCCTTGGTCTTATTAATCTTGTTATAAAAACGACATAATTACCATTTAAGACTGTGTTCTACATGTATGCACTTATGTAGTAAGTAACAGAAATCTCGTGTTTGCAAATCAATGTTATGGTGCTGTTGAAAAAGTTCCAGCTTTATTTTGGCGAAAACTGTAAAAATTTGAATGCTTAGTTAACTCAGATAATAAAATAAAATGGTGTTAACTTTTACGAACACTAAAAGTTTGAATGAAATTTTAAAGTGCAATTTTGAATATCAAACGTGATGACACTTATAGAATTTTTGACTCTATGACTACCGCTAAGGATGTCGAAACGTCAGTCAACAACAACAAAAACAGTCCTTCTCAGGACTATACCAACCTGGACGATCTGCATTTACAAACATGTAACAATACTCCCAGGTTCAAACCATTTACTTTATGGTTTTAAAGGTCGAACAAGGACATGACGGACCAATGGTAACATTCTAAATACTTTGTGTTGCAGCTCGTTGCTTTTAGAAACCTCGCTACATTTACAGGGCGATCTTTAAATGGTCGGTGAACATGGTCAAAAAGGGGAACAAGTATAAAAGATGCTTTTAGTAATATACAATTTTTTCTTCATCCCCTTTCGGTTGCTCCCTTTCCCTTCTTCGGAGTTGCCACAGCGTGTTTTTATTCCCCAATAAGTTCTGTCCACCAAATAATTTCTAATACTCCCATGTTCCTCATATCATGCTCACCACATCCATCAACCTCCTGCAGGGCTTTCCCTCTTCTTCTCTGTCCTGATACAGTAGCTTTCCAACATCTTTCCCCAAAATAATCTTCTTCTCTGCTCAGCCTTTCCTCTTTTAACGGCTATCCAATTCTAGTGATTTTTGAAGGGCCTCGAATGTACTCATTCCTTATTTTGTTATTTAATCGTTACTCTAAGTGCCCATCTGACCATTCTTAACTCTGCTACTTCTAGCCATTCCACTTGTTTTGCTGTCACTGCCACCGTTTCCATATCATGCATCATGGATCGGCTAAAAGCCCTCTTGTAAATCTTCTCTTTAAACTTTTGCTGATAATGTCATGTTACACAGCACCCCACTTACTTTCTTCCAGCTTGACGACCTTGCTTGTATCTCCTCCTCACTTCTTCATCATTTTTTCCATTACCCCTCATCATTGCATCTATGTACTTGAAATCAGCAACTTTTTTGACAAAATCATTTTTCAGTTTTATTGGCTCATCATCATTATTCTTTCCGATATCAACTATCATGTGCTTTCTCTTGTTGCGGTTACCTTAAGACCCTTCTTTTCAAATGGCTCTCGATCTCCATTTCCCCAGATTCTCATTCAACTTTTTAACATCTGTTACATGATAGCAACTACTATCATGTAATATCATTTTAATGTCATATTATAATTTCATATATAATTAATTAGAACGTTATCTAGAAGCTTGCTTGCATGCGCTAGAAGCTTGCTTACATGCGTAAACACTTTAGAACCGCAACCGCATTTGTTGTTATTGTGGTTAACTATATCTTGCTGTAACATACTGTATTGCGTATGGGATGTAGGTCACAAAACCACAATACTTCCGATTAGATTATATATATATATCAGTAGTTTAGACCACTGAGTACAACCTACGAGGACAACCTACGAGCACAAGCTACGAAGACAAACTTAGGAGGCATAGCCTACCGAAGTAGGTTGACAAGCTACAATCTACCAGACAACTATCTTGGCTTCTGTCCTTTAATCTATTAGAAAACTATTGTGAGTCATTGTTGGACTCACGAACGCTCAAGAATAAAGACTCGCGGTTGTACTCAGACAGAGGAGATAAGTTTTACTCATACTTATTGATATAATTATTAAGACACTTATCTACTTTTAATATTTACGCTTTATTAATAAATTGTTTGAGAAATATAACTGGTTCACACTATCTTTGTTGCGTGTGGAAATAGAACCAAAATTAATAGTTATTCTTTCGGGACCACGCACGTAACAACATCCTCTCCATATAAAGAAATATCATCAGCAAACAATATCATCAAACAACATGCACCAAGGTGCTTCTGATCTTATATCCTCTTTCAACTTATCCATGATAATAGCCGTAGTCACTGATAAGAAAAAAACATAAAAAACATAAAAAAACTCAAACCGAACTTCAATAAACAAATACATCACATCAGCACGATATTCAACTTGTAAATAATTCCATCATCTATAGTAATGATACGCTCTCACTTAAATACTATAAATGTAACTGTAAATAGATAGCATTGGTATTTCTTGTACTGACGATGGCATATATATACATGCCTGATATATATAGTGCTATTAAGAAATTATGGAAATATACATAAAGACTGGATAACGCAACCTAATTCTGGTGCCTAGAGGCTAGAAAATTTTGAAGCCAACTTTTGACATATTGGATTTGGCACTTCTAGTATATATTCTATAATGAATTTTCTCGTGATTTGTATTTTTGTTATTTTATATTTCCGAAATCATGCCAAATCGTATATTATGATATTTAAACAACGTGAGAAGACTTCCATAAGAAATTTAAAGAACATAAGTTTTTCCCCCAAACCGTTGTATTGCAGTCTTGTTATCATAATAATTCTTTTTTATACCAAGAATAAAATATAAATGATCCAAAATGAATGTAAGAGTAGCAGTTTATTATATAAAAAGTATACAACGCACTGAAAAAGTGGATAGTCCAATATGGCCGCTGCCTGGCTTCAAGTCAAGCACTAAGTTGCGTTATCCAGTTCCTATACATATCAGTGCTTAATTGTAGTCGCCAGAGTGTGAAAGCGCAATGCATTCTGTGTCAATAAAGTCAATTATCGACCATTCTCGACACCTCAAGCCGACACCTCTACTCGTGCCCCTCCAAGAGCACGAGAAATAAATATTATTACCAAATTGCCAAATGCGAAAGTCAGTTTGTTGTTTAGTCACAACGTTACTGAAACGTTGTGAAAATCCCTTCCTGCGACGTTTACTGGCTTTACTTTCATAACGTTAATACAACGTTCTTTGGACGTTTGCTTTCGGTCATCTTTGACCAGACCAAACCACAGCCAAAGCGCGACGTTGTAAGAAGGTCGTATTGTGCTCGTCTTCGACTTAACAAAATCACAACAAAAACACAACGTTGTATAATCGTCGTATTTAGGTTAGGTCGGACCAAACCACAATATGACCAAAATATAACTTCGTGATAACGTTATGTGATAGCTGGTGCTGAGCAGGAAGAGGTGCGATAAGAAAATTTACCGAAAGTGCAAATCTGTCTAAATTGCCAAATACACGTCCACTTGCATTCATTTACAGCACATCCACATTTTGAGTAGATACGCGGATAGGCAGTGGATATTTTATACTATATTACAAGATGATTCGATCTTCCAAGAAAATAATCAAAGGTTTCAATGAGACGACCCACAGATATGCAAAGAATTAATGAAATTTTAGATATCAGACTAGACAAATGTTAATTTCATAAACTTATTGACTCGTATTCACGCGTCAGTTTTGTCCTCAGTTATAATAATTTACTCATGTCTCCTTATTGTCTCAATGATTTGCTTGAGTTGTAGTTCATGTGATTATCTCCACCATTCTTGATCACCGTGGAAACGGTTGACACGTATTATTTTTTGATGATGAGCGACTAGCACGAGTACAACTAGCACAACTTTATTCTTTTATTTGTTGTTAATATGTAGTTATGTATTGTAATATATCTTTTTTGAAGCATTCATTAATTACTCAAGATTGTATGAGCGTAGAATACCGTGTTGCTTGTGTACTGGCAATAGCATAGTTTCGAGTGCAATTCGGGAAAAACATGCATTAGAGTCTCTTAGCGTACGAAAGTCATTTATTCGTCAAATTGCTTATAAAAAGCCATATATTTCAATAAGCAAAGAAAAAACAAGTGAAAAATTCTTTGCTTAAGCACTATTGGAGTGACAAGGTCACTCATTATTGGAGTGACCTTGCACTGTTTTGTTGATTATTTATTGCGTTCGTGACGATATCACAGAAGGGTCACTCAGGTGTACAACGCGTCCACATGTCGGCCATTATTCCAGCTGGATGATTAAGATTTCTCACTTATTTCCAACCATTAAATTTCATGATGTTAATACTAATAATGAAATCAAGTATATTTTGACTTAAGAAATGACTTCGGATCATTTTAGAGGTTTGGAAAAAGTCAGAAACCTTAATCATCTGGCTGGAATAATGGCGGCAACCATGCGCGGCACAACATGCGAGAGGACAAAAACATCAAAGGCGCCGCATAAGCGACTCTCCTGTATATTCTTATTCTGTGACGTTATTATATTTATATACGTATAATATCAATTCAAATGTAAATTTCACAAAAAATGATGAACACAAAGACAGAAAGACAGCATAGAACAGACACTGTTAGTTTCCAGTTGAGTATTCTGTTCACTGTGAGTCAAACTATTTGATCGAGAAAAAATCATGAAGACAACCGTACCAGCTTTGCTCACAATCGTTTTACTTGGCTTGGCCTTCATGTTAGGTAAGTACGTTTGAATTTTACCGTAAGTTGGAGCCATCGATATTTACATTACTTATGGTGCGCGTCACTAATTAGGGATGGGCGATAGTAGCTTTTTTATTCGATACGATATTTTTTCGATAATTGCCCTTTTTTTTCGATATGGATATGGATATCGATATTTTACCAGCTAAAACAACAACAGCAACAACCACTTAATATTTTTAATGACCAACGACAGCAGTTGTAAACAATAAGAATGTATACTCCATGGTGTATTTAGTTGAGCCAAATAATATGAATAATATAAATAACTAAAAAGTTCATGTGTTCTTATTTAAAAACAGTAACATGTCAACGTTTTTAGACTTAAGTCTGTTTCGTCGAATTGAAATAAGTTCTCCTGCTTTCGAGAAGAGTCTCTCTGCTGTTACAGACGTAGCAGGAATACAAAGATATTTTTTGCAAGATTAGAGAGAATTTTGTAATCCTTCTCTTTTTCTTTCCACCATTTCAGCGGATCTTCATCTCTTTGCAGGATCTTATTATGAAAATATCTTCCAGATTCTTTCTCAATAGCGATGGTACAACTTGCTTGCACTTTTTTATCTGCAACTTTTTTATCGAACAGATCCGATAATCCGACATCTTCTTTCACCGGATTTGGTGCTCTTATTTCTGCCTGTGCATCAGTGCGTACTGCAGGAACATGCTGTTTCATCTCTTGGATAATCCATTTTTCCCCCTGTCGTGCAGTTACCAAACTAAAAAAGGCCAGCTTTTTTATGCGTGGGTCTAGTAAAGTCGAAAGGGCTAGAAAATTTACACTTTCCACGCCTGTAAAACGGCGACGCAGTTGAACACTTATCGCAGAAGCAAGGGCTGTATGTTTGTAGATACTTGACGAGGTCAAATGCTGGAGGGACTTAGCAAGAGGTATAACATTTGAGATTGAAATGTATTGCTGATATCCGCTGACATCTCGCTTGTGGCACGTTCAAAAGGTTTTAAAACAGCCATTGCCGCTTTAAGCAATTCCATATCTGAGTTATTGAGGCATAGATCTTTCGATTCAAAAGACAAAGTGTTGTCGTAACGGCTTTATGCTGCTCGATCATGCGTTCAAACATATGAAACGTAGAGTTCCATCTTGTGTCTCTTTCCTGAAGGAGTTTGTGATCAGGAAACTGCGCTTGAGCTTGAATCTCCTTCAACTTAGCCGTGGCTTTTGTACTTTGATGAAAAAATTTCACAATTCGTCTGCATCTTTTTCTTATATCATTTACCAGATCAGTCTTGATTGCTTCCGATACTACAAGGTTCAACGTATGTGCAAAGCATTTGATATGATTCCAACGAGTTATTCTAACGGCGGCAACTACGTTGGTAAATTCTAATGCAAAAAAGTGTTTTTTCTACCCGCGACTTTATCCGCTACATTTTACCCGTGACACGCGACTTTTTACCCGCGATCCACAACAGTTAGATACACTCCTTTCAACGCGCGAAGACTTCGCACAATTAAAGTGACCAGTGTAAACATTTCGGATTTTATTGTATAACAAGCTAATGTTCATGGTACAGATATTATTTTTGATTTATGTATGTTTCGAAAAAAACCAAGATTGAATTTGTTTTTGTCACAAATTTAACACAAAAACACAAAAAACTGTGACCACAGTGAACCGAGCAATAGAAAAATAAAGCGTCATTCTGTGTTAAACATGTGTTGTGTGTTTTGATGCATTGTCATTATGACTTCATGTTAAAGCACACCGCGAAGATTAATTAATTTAATACTAGCAAGAACTTACATTTATTTGCTCTCTCCTTAACATTTTACTCGCCCAATCACTGAGACCAAGGAGTGTTACTGCATAACTAGACTAAATTCAAGTACGGTGACTGAAGTTTCTCGTATTATTCCACCAAAATGAAATATAATCGATGTTTAACATAGCTTACAAAGCTGCAATTTTTTGATATCTTGATCTGTTTGGTTGCATGCACAGGGCTATCCACAAAAACTTATTAAGGCATGAAATGATTGTCTATGTTTATCAACCAAAAAAACATGCTTTTGCAAAATAAAATTTTATCATCCACTCTCCCACATTAAAAATATTATAAATTGTGACGTCATGCCCAGAAATATCTTACCGAACAGACACTAAATCTAGATGTTGGACAGTACATAGTTTGCATGAAGACGGGATAGAGTGAAATGGGAATGAGAAATAGTGTGCTGCCTCGCTGACGCTTGTCAGCAATTAATCCTTCCTGTGGGAATTACCTGTTCATAACATATCATTCTGAGGCAATTTCCACAGGAAGGGTTAATGTTAAGTTGGCTAGGTTTAAACTTTATATATGTAGTGCAATCAAGCACCGCTGAGGATTCATATATTCATGATATCCAGGCTTCTTGAATCTATTGTTTTCTAGGGATTATAACATGAATATATGAATATGAGCCACTACAACTATCGATCCTCCGCGGTGCCTGGCAATACAACAATATTTTTCAAGAACATTTTTAAGGTTAGCTATTACTATCCAGTTATTCAACCAATGCTTAGTACCCATTTTTCTTCCTGATATTGGCAACAAAAAAATATTAGCTACATTCACTCCTCGATAACTGCTTGCACATAAATAAACTTTTAACTTACTTGTTATTATTTTAGCAATGTTTTTATTTATATTTTTTTACCAGGTCAAGCATACGGGAAAGGCAAGCTTAGTTATGCTATATTTTCCGAAGATGAAGGTTAATTATTACTACTTTTTGCTGAATAGTGAATATAAGTGTGATCAGGCAACACATGTGAGTAGATAATAAGCTAACTCAATGGAACAACCACACAAGCAATATTACATGTGGCAGTAGGAACACTTACGCGTGAAACGATCCAAAATTAAAGATTTTGATTGATCGAAGGATTTTGTGTCAGTCACGCGTGATAAATGTAATCTCGCAATAATACAAGAAAATACGAATTTTTAACTCGGACTTACTTTCTGTAGTCCGAACAATAAACGTGGAACTGTAGCGCATTTTGTAAAGTAGGGCAAAGAATGTACTCATTGTTAAGCATGAACTTTTGTCCTTAGATGCTTGTTTTTCAACATTTTGCAATGAAATCATAAGTCGGTTTTGCATGACACCGACTGCCGCCACCATACAGTGCACTTTACAAGGACATATCATAACATTTTTGTCGTATAACTGACAAACGCTTTTACTGTTGACAAATTTTAGGCAGTTGCAGAGCTGTCGAACCAAAAGCCAGAATAGATTGCGGTTATCTAGGAATAACACGAGGAGAATGTGTAAACAACAATTGCTGTTGGGACACAAGCATTAAAAACGTTCCCTGGTGTTTTTACCAATGTACGTACACACCATTACCATTTTTTGTCCTTATCAAACTCTAGCTAGTTCAACTTTGCATAACTCCAGGGCTACAAAGGATATAATTAACGAAGGTTGTAAAAAAATAGCATGTAAAACGGAAAAACGCAAAATAATTTGCAATTTGAATGCCTAGCGTTAGCATATGCTTCAGCAAAATGTCCCGAAACTATTTCAAACATGCTTCTCGGTAACACAGTGCTCATTCAAAAGATGGTTGTCCTTTGCGATAATTTTACTGTCAGATAAGCCATTAAAACTCGAACTACGTATTCCACCAAAGGTGTTTGAAGATCTTGCCCGCTGGTCACTTTAGTGACGTTTTCCTATCTTTTCCGTTTTTTATACAACATACATATAATATTCAATAACAAACGATTTTCTTTTTAATCAGGATTATTTATTTATAGATAGTGCATGTGACGTCGATGATCGATTTTATCTTTACTTGCGCAAAACAAAACAAATCAGTTCGTGTCACCCAAACATATTCATTTCCTCAAATCAAATCAAATCAAAAAATTGTTTAATATGAATACATCTTCTTGTTTTTACAACTGAATTACATGTATAATACACCATTATTATCTATAGTAACAATAATACAGTTATTTACAAGCATTAAGATTAATAATAGTAAAACTTAAATAAAGATTAAATAAAAGATATATTACATATGCAGATCGAATGTACAACATTCTCCTCTATAGTTACTTACGACAAAAACAACAGCACATGCAGTGTGATACTCTACAGTACGGTATTCTGGTGGTCGCACAAATACACAATGCGAATTTTTTCTCTAGCCATGCATACAACACATGCATATCTCGTTCATGAAATCAATTCTTCATAGAAATGGATCAAAACAACGATCTAGAACCCAATCTACTAGATACCTCACGTCGCCAAAATTCAACAGTAACGATTGGGAAGGTTGTTATTTGAAAAAGTTACAGCTGACGATGTGCATACGAAGGAATGTGCTTTTTCTTGTACGTTAATATATAGTTGCCAAGGCGATAGTTCTAGTTTTGGCTTTTAAAATGTTTGATACGATTGGTTTTTGAAAGTTTTTACATTATTTTTGTCCGAGAGTCTTGAATTTGGCCACTATTTGAGATGGCTCATTGCCCCCCTACCTAATTTTTACACGGTAGTTAGACCAGAGACTTAGAGCGCAATCCTCTACATGTCTAATGGTCAATATGAGGCAACGATGTTGATATAGATGGTAACAGAAAACTAGAATCTTGATAATAAGTAAGTTAAAAGAAAGTATAAAAACCATTTCTATTAATCGTGTTAAAAGCCAAGCCTAGACTATCAACTCTGTAACTGAAGCTATATCAACTCCGAAGTTGCTGAATTTTAGTCATAAATATCGTCCGTTTTGCCACCTTTCAAGATGGCAGCTTGCCTCAGTCGTAACTGTAGATTTTCGTTTTAGTTGTGGAGTCTCAAGTAGAATGGGTTCTAGTTTCATAGCTACGTGGAAATAATTTATACAAAACTTTCTTTTAGAACATTTTTGAATGAAGATTTCTGGTGACGCGATGATGAATATTATTGTCAGTTAATTTGACTGTAGATGTTGCAATCAAATATGTTCTTGTGGTATTGTAACATTCGTCAAGCATTAAATTTTCTACTGAGTTAATGAAATGTTTGTCTTAATTTATAAACACATATATCTTCTTGTAAAACATAGTATTGGCCATATATCTTCTTTTAAATTCCAACATTGGCAGACCAACCAGGAATTGGAAATGTATCAATGAACAAAACACATTTTGAATTCGAAAGAAATGCACCAAAGTAAGCAAAACCATAAATGTGCAGCTAAAAATTGCTTGCATAAAGATGAAATTAGGCATATCACCTCAGAAGGCCCTGCTCAGAACGCAAGCCCAATAACTTAATATCAAAAATATGTCTGCAGTTTTTGTTCTTTGGTGTCCCTTTATCCACACTCACGTTATTTGACAAATATTAATAAAACCATTTATAATTAAGGCTTATTGGTGTTTAAGGTAGCTATTAAATAATCTAAACAATGACAAAAACTTCTTATTTCAAAGACACACGTCAAACTAATACTTATCTAATTCAAAGTTTCACAATAGATGAACAAATTATTCGCAAAAACTGTCGTGCAGTTAACAGGCCAAAGGTTTATCTCACAAGAAAGAGTAGCTATACACAACTGAAAAACTGAAAACGCATGGATTATTTACAATCTATTTCACGCCAACTGCCTGTTTGCCTGTGGCGCTGTATTTAAAAAGTTACGTTGAAATATAAATAATTGACTGAAGTACGTATGAAGATAGGTCAAGCACGATAGGAAAGGTACTAAAATTTAGCAAGAAACTTCTTCTCTTACTTGTCCTTTTCTCCAGTGATATCGGACCTCGTTATTTTCTCCATGAAAAATCCCCGTAAAGCTCGAGCGAGCACCGTAAGACAACTAAAAACTGGGTAAAGCAGTTTTTTAAAACGAAGAAAGATTCTCCTCGTAACTTTCGATGTAAAAGATCGATGAAGATAATTCAAAGAGTCATTTCGTCAACTGTGTTTAACGGTCGCAATATTCGCACCAGCCTTCAGCTTTGGCTTTTTGTCGAGCATCAATTTGCAAACAAACCTCAGGGGATATAGTGTCGCACGGAGCTCGATAACTGGGGGTATTCATAAAGGTATGTTAATCAAAAATTATGTTAATCATTTAAGAAATAAAAGATGTTCATTGTGTTTGCACAAGGCTAACCGAGGAGTCCTTTGGGAGAACTCGAGAGCAGATCAGGTCGACTGGTCGAGTGAAACAGCTTCGAAACCATCTTCCTATCTTTAAGCAACTTTCCACATCCAGTAAATAGTTAGGGAGATATCTGGGGATATCAATGTATATATGTATACATATTGTATATATCAATACAAATTGCAAAGTCATTGATTAAACAAATCAAAAAATTTTGTTTTCGTTAATTTTAATGCTGCTCACCATTGGCGATAAAATTTGATATGCATTTTGTCACTTGTGAAAAATATCGTATATCAAATGTAGTTACGACGTTTTTCACTAGTGAAGATAATGGTACATTACATGCTCGGAAATTTGAGGCATATGTTTTTACTCTACCGTTTTGATGCGCATAAATTTCAATACTCTTATAAAATATATGTTATTATATTCAAACACAACAAGGCAAATTAATGCAATCCTCTTTTGTTATTTGCTGTTGTTTTAGTTTTTATTATTGTTGTTGCTATTGTTAGAAGTTGTTTTTAGAAATATTTGTAAACCTGAAGGTGATTTGAGACTTCAGTGTCACTTTATAGCTACAAGATTGTCATTTGGCATTTACAGTTTCAAATTAGATTCAAAACCATTCGAAAAATCGGCACATTCAACGTTTACATTTGACTTGTCTTTTATATCAAAATTTAGCAAAATTATTAGTTTAATAGCACAATTAAATTACTTTCAAAGAAATTGTTCTTATTGAACTTTTGAATGGCAGTTGTCTGTGTCATTATGGCGTAATGTAATTTATTATCTGATTGCCAAAATATTACTAAATTTCTAGAACATTGACAAAATAATTTACCAAAAATTTTCAATGAGCTATTAAAAAAGTATAAAAATTGCGTAGAGATTATCGCCACAAAACATATATTTTAAATTACCAAATCTGGTGACACTGCATTAAGAAAATCAATAGGACTGTGTGTAGCTATACATTTTTACGCATTAAAAAAATGGAGGATGACTATTTACTATGTCAAACCAATCAACATTAGGCAAAAACTTAAATATATTTTATTATAGGCAGTTTGAGGCCTTTCACCTCGACAATGATTGACGGATCAACAAAAGAACAGCTAATTATTGGCGTCTTGTATATGTAGTTTTCATCAAGTTTGCAACGAATCCTTTAACTTGATGAGTTCATTTTAGCAACTTTGTCTACGTTTGAAAATAGTAAACTGCGGAAATAATTATGAATTCCATCAGCAATGCTTACAAGGATTTTAGCATTTTAAGTTTGAAAAGTTAGTCATAACTGACGTTAAGTTTAGTCATGAAATTCTGATGGTCAATTGAACATGTTTGCACCTAAAGTCCTAAACAACGATTTTCCTGTATCTTCAATATCTTGGGTGATTAATTTCTTAATACCAGACAAAACTAAACAGACCTGGCATAATATATTACCGAAAGTGCTCTCATTATGTGTGTAAACCTCACAGATATGTTAGTTTTAAAATTGCTCTTTGCATGTGTTGGTATACTTCCCAGCTTGTCTTTGTGAATGACGTAATACTATGGAGAATGCGTGCGTATAATAAATTTAAATGACACGTAGTCAAGCATATTATAAGTGAAACTTAATCATGATAAGCGACAATATGCTTCTAGAAGAAGTGTCCTATAGTTAAGGATTTCTGTTCTATCAAGATCCATACAGTAAACAGCTCTTTTTCTCTTTCCCATGTTGACCAAAGTAAGTTGAAATATTTCATACTTTAGAGAAATACCTTTTGTTCTTAAGTTCTATATTGTATGCAAGAGATAAAATCAGTTTAAATGTTTTGTTGCATGTACATGTCATATATAGCTTATTTTAGAGTAACATGCTGTAATTTAGTTCAGCATAATTTCGACTTCCCAAAGAATATATTTTTTGCAGCATTGCGTGTTTGAACGTTGTTTTGGTTTGTTCCAAACAAAGTTTACATATTAGTTCCTATCTATGATTACTGTGGTTGTGACAAAGATTTTTTATTCCTCTTTGCTCTGTCTGTCTAATAATTGCATGCTACTTGGCTTTCAGTGGCTGATAAAGCACTTTGACCAACTTAACCAGATGCATCTTGTGACTACATCAGCCATCTCTTTCAAGTGAGTTCATATCAAGATTGCATAAAGAATTTTTAGAAATCCACTTTTAGCTCTTTTGAAAGGCAATATCTATCTCAAACCTGCTTTCAAGACAAGATTAGTATCTGTATAAATCAGATGTTTTTTTCCGAAAGATTTGAGTTCAATTTCAGCTAGAAAAGTCGAATTTATGGCTAAGTATTCTCTGGTTAGGTCATTCAATGCATTTCGGCGGTTTTTTAAATTCAAAATACTATAAAAACAACATTAGAAGACTAAAATCTTACGAATAGAATTGGCTGTAACATATGTTGAATTGGAAATAGATTTATAAAAATGCAATTTTAACTATCCTGAATTCGCTACTGACAATGCCAAGTACTCCGACAAGACCTTTCTCGATAAATTATAAAATATTCATTTCTATTAAGCAAATTTTATTTATAGTATCTCGAACAATTATGAAATGGCCACAGCCTTTCACAACATTCCGCTCTCTATTCTTATTATCCACGTGACGTAATCCAGCTAGCCGCTTTTGAGTTTAGTGAAATAATGTATTATAAAGGTTTATTTTCCTAATGACATTTAATAATAAGGATATAGGGACTAAACGTACGGACAAATATATGAAGACTTCGTGCAGTTACTTAAAATGCGTTATAGTCGTGGATGTTCATTCGAGATTAATATTCCTTTGTAACAGACATTACGTGTTTGGACATTGAATTTCTACACAATACGGTAGGTGGGAAGCAGTGTTATAATTCGGCCACCTAACAACTCCGCCTAGCAACGCACAAAATTTAATTCGTTCTTTGAGAAAGAAAGTTTTGTTACAAAAACAAAACAAGAATCGCATTAAAAATGCAATGTCTAATCAAGTGGTTTTATGTATACAGACTTCGTAATTCAGCCTTTCATAGCATTGGCTGACAAAACTAGCCGGTTAATTCATCGGCGAAGATTTATGATAGATTCTTTAGAAGATAAACTTTATTCATTTTGAATGATCACCTAAATGCTTGCACAGCATGAGTGAAAATCTGGCTGGCTTCACCACTTTTTAGTATATTGTTTCTATTGGTTGCACTATAAGATACATTTTCTCGTTCGTATGTGTGTAATAGCTGTCAAATGAGTCATTCTGAGTGGTCATTTAACTACGAGTAAATAGTTGTATTAATATAATGTAGATGCTTCCTAATTATCTGTATTGCCTCGTTGACGTTATTTCCATAACTAAACAATGGTATGATAACTATGCTTTATGCAAAAACGACACATATCTACTTAAATATAATAACAAAATGTGCTTTTATCAAATTTACTTTTAAATTATTAATTTTTGTGGATTTGCAGTAAGTATGAACGAAATGGATCTTTCCAGTCGTAAAAAATATTGTTGACTGGGAAGCCCGGAAATCATACTTAGCATTCAAATTGCTTTTCTTGAAATGGTTGCTCTTGTAGTATTATTCAACAAGTACAAAGAGCGGATGAAGCAGATCAAAATAATTCAATTCAATCACACCTGACACGACAGACAAAACGCCGAATTATTCTTGGAAGGAAGAAAAGTTTAATTTGACAGAACGTATTTAATTTACAACTAGTTAAAGGTAACGTACAAATTCATTATTACTATTAAATGTAAAAGATTCATGTTCAGTACGACTAAAGTTAAAGATTAATGAAACAAAACAACAAAGCTCAAAATTACATCATGTATGCAAAGTAGCTATATAACGATAAAGATCTCTACGCGAATGCGAAACGACAAGTTTTTGTAACATTGATCGTCGAATAAAACATGAAGTTTGTGAATAGATTATAAAGTTTGCTCTTCGTTGCTATAGAAAAATCTCAATTTATAGAGTTTTAATCTATAATGTTGAACTTGTAACGACAGAAGAAAGTATAAAATCACAGGCAAAAACAATATCAATTCCTTTTATAATATTGCACGTACTAGCCAAAATATATTAATGGGAAGCTATATAATTATTTTCGCCGTGTGAAAATATCTAAATTAGCACGACATTATTAAAAGACCATTACCTACACTCTATAGAAAACGGGATGTATCATGCATGCGTGAGCGCAATAAGTGACAACTGTAACAAATTTTTATTTACGAGTGAAAACTGTAACCAATGATTCTTTACGAGACATCTAAAATTTTATAAATCTTTATCATTTTATACCTAGCAACGGGCTACGTAATATACATTATCCTTTTAAACTATCAGATACAGTTTCAAAGTTCTCAACCACACCATTCTAAACGATGTATACACTAACATTTCTTCGCAGGCGTCTCGTGCAGACGTGCTTCGCGAAGTTTGCAAACATCAATAAATTTCAATAGCTACAAAATGGTTGCCACAGTCGTGCTAATATGATTGTGCTACGAAACGTTCAAAACATCGTTCTTTAGTTCTTTGTAGCACACTTTTTACAATGAACTGAAAAATTTGCACAGTCCGAGAAAACATTGTATAGGCTTGCTAAAGAGACCCTTTTCAATCAATCGATCAATGAGTCAAATTATTCGTTTTAACACCAGAAAAAATCTATAAGAATTGACAGCGTTGTTGAAATGACTGCGTGTTTACAATATGATTCTGGCTAATTTATTATGAATTTTACAAAGATCGTTTGGTATTCGCCAAATCAAGGCATGAATTTGGCCATTGGCGTCAATTGAACATTGAGGAGACCATATTCACTGAATGCTACTACGCCTGGCTATAACATCCTTTAAAAACGACGTAACTTTCAAAAGAACTCATCTTGACATAGCAAAACATTTGAATATGGTCCCCCTCACTTGACGTAAACATGACGCCACACGAATTTTAGTGTTTCTTTTGTTTTGAAATTAGGAATGACCGTTGAGTGTTTCTTACATTTCAACCCACAAAATATTCTGATAACGCTTGCGTTTACTTTCACTAATTCGTAATCATTTCATGAATTTCTGCATGAGCTATATCTTGACAGCCAAATTTTTATAATCAACTGCTCAGCAAAAAACCCAAGCAAATGTTGAGAGAGATAAATTTTACACTCAATAAAATACGTGACTGCTCCTCTCAATCGATGGAAACAATTCAACTCGATTCTACTTCGTTTATCGAGTGGGACGTTGAACTCTTGGCAATCTTGAAAGAACTTTTGTCTAAAAGAATTCTCCCACAAATTGCGAAAAAATTTCCACTGTTTAACAGCTGACATGTTTTACGAACATTACATGATGATAACATTTAATATTCATGTTCAACACAGCGAGGGTCTCGTTTGAAAAATATTGTGCTAAGTAGCTATATGATTTTTAAGAAACGCGTAGTTCTTGGCGGTATTTTCATAGAAACGATGTAAGACAAGAAAATTTAAAAAATTAAAAATCAACTTTGTAATGAATTGTTCATCCACTATCCACTGTGTTGTGCCAAAATGAGGAAAAGAATTCACTAACAAAAAACACAACTCACTTGCAAAATACGTTATAGTACAGCTAACCATATACAAGACAGATTTCTAATGTATATAATTTGATGTAAAATATATTCAAAACCATTTTCAAAGAAGATCTTTTATATTAATCATTTCTTAAAGGACATTGGCAACGAAAATTTTTTTTCATACGTTTATCATAGATAGCTATGGAATACTTAATTTCGTGTTTTCGTGTCTCTTTTGAATTTTACTGTTGAGAAAATTTGACATAAAGTTGAATCCTTATCCGCCATTTTGGAAAAAAAGCCTTATGCTAAATTATGCCGGAATACATTACTGACGTCATTGGATGGTATCCACTGAATGACACAATATAAAATAATAGTATTATAATAAAATATAGCACATTTGTTCACTGGAATTTTAAAACAAAAACAACAGTCGGCGGTTGTTAAGATTAACAAAAGTTGTGTAGTTTATCACGCTTATATACTTTTCCAATATTTAGTCGTTATAAGACGTAGAAACGTTCATTTTAGCAGATCTTACAACTAGGCTTTGCCGACAAGTGTAAGCCCAGACGACAACAAGCGCGTTTTATACACTGCACATTTCGTGCAATAGAAATATTTCATTTTCCCATATTACAAACCTGTGACCAACAAATGAGTTATACGTTTAATTTATTATTTGTATACATAAGAGTCTTTGAAAGATTATGTAGTTTTATATAGGTGATAAGCTCTAAGCCGCTATGTCTTGTTCTTGACTGTAGAGTTTCGTTTATCCGTAATGTTTTACGTGCGTGTTTGCGTGCACAATGTACAAGTACACTTTTCGATTAACTTTATAACTTATGAATGAATACAAGTTTTGGGTGGATCACTCATGCATTTTGCTTTTGCGCAGTTCGTGACAATGATATGGCATCGCAATTGCAGATCATAACAAAGAACATGAAAGAGCGTCTGTCTAAGACTAAATTTACGGTCTTTCGTGATAACATGCGTATTTAAAATGTGTATAAAGTCCGTCTGGTGACGCGAAGCGTTTTCGCATGCTAGCATAAACACAAGCAGGAAATGGTCTTCGATGTTTCTTCCCAAAATTTGAAAAATTTTGCGACTATCGATACAGCTTGTGTATTCTCTCTAGATCCTCTTCAGACAGGGGCCAGTTTTCTTCAAGATGCCGACACACATCTATCTTTAACACACTTTCGCATCTATGCGACTAATCGATACAGCTTGTGTATTCTCTCTAGATCCTCTTCAGACAGGGGCCAGTTTTCTTCAAGATGCCGACACAGATGCCGACACACATCTATCTTTAACACACTTTCTGAGAGCATATTGTCCCTAAATTCTTGGTGTGTTGTCAAGCAATTTATCCTTGAGTTTCAGTTTGGCCTAGCAAAGCCTCATACTCATCGTATTCAAGTGCTTTTTCGTGGCAACAAAAACACTCGATTGATTGCCTTTTTTGACAAAGTACAATGTCCACACTTACACCAACTAAGAGTTTGAAGGCGCCAAGCATTTGCTTTATCAAATTCAGCATGTATTTCATCCTCCGACAAGGACAAGTCGCTCTGCTCACTCTCCTGTTCGGAACCGCTTTCTTCGCTTGTTTCGGCCTTCACTTCAGGTTCATATTGATAGGGCAGAACCTCACCCGGTTGATTTTCGTGTATGTCATCCATTGCAGCAAAAAAATCCCGTAAAATACGCTTTAAATGTGTTGTAACGCAGTCAATCACAAAGTATATTGTATTCTTGTTTTGACTGCTCACCAGCCAATGACGTCACTACCGCTCGAGATAATTTTTTCAAAATTTTATCCAAGATGGCGCAATTTATAAAACTTTTGCTGCAAATATCTCAGCAAGAAAATGTTTTTGAGAAAAAATTTTTCTATTTTAGTTGTTAGACATCACAAAGGTTCAAAAATATGTCATAAAAATTTTCGTTGCCAATGTCCTTTAAATAAGTAAATATGTAAAGCATCTACAATTTTTGACAATATGGTTTAGAGGGTAGTGGGGGTCAATGTTATGGCTCACGTGTAAGTATAATGGATGATAACTATAGTTTTGTCCCTTGATTTGTTGAAGCCAATTTGAAGCCAACGTATTTTTGAAAATTTTCCATCATTTTACCATTCTTAGTTTATATATAGGTATAGCAAGATGTTTTCAAGGACAAACATAATCGGCGGGAATCGAGGTTGATCCGACAAACTATTACCAGATGGAAACGCTAAAAAATTGATATAATATTTAAACGTTTTTAGTGTTATTTACTTAACAAATAGATAACACTTAACTGTTGTCTACACAGTTATAGATACACGGCTGGCCGTCATTTGTGATAAGAACTAAAATCGTGGTCACGAGCCGCCTGGCACTACCTAGAAAACACGGCTTCAATTCCCCCAAGTTATCATTTCAGTATACTTATAATTCAATCTTAATATCACGAAAATTTTGACGTGAAAGATCATGCACGCATCCGAGTGCGCAATTCATAAATGATCACGTAACAACAAAATTATTGTTTCAATGATTCAAGCATTTAAGAATACGTTTTAATAGCAAAAAGCCAGGTAAATTTGCATTTAAATTTATACAGAAGCAAAATAAAAATCATGAACCACATGCAAAGTTTTGGCATGACGTCCATATTGCTAGGAACATCAAATGATTACGACTATTTGCGATATGCTATTTATCAGAAATAAACATGATGAATAATTAATAACTCAATCCATTAGACCTCTACTAATTACTAACTGCTGTACAGATTTAAGCGAGGAAAGGATGCATCTTGAATATGGCCTAAAAGCGAACTTCATTCAAACAAATAAGTTAAAAGAAAGTACAAAAAATTTATCCTATCAAACATTTTAAAAAACAAACATTGACTAATCTCTGTATATCTCTGTATTGTCTGGTTGTAAGATTTGGCTTCAATTATTTGCTTCCGATAGCGTTCCAGGTATTTTAGTTGAATGGTTTTGCCCCTACTCAACATGGCGGCTTGCCTAACCCGTACAACGTACTACGTATTCATCTTCATATTTTTCGGCAGAGAAAAGATTTAGTAGATAAAATTAAAAAAATCGTTTTCAAAAATCTAAACATGCTACTCGTTAAATATTAATGATAAAATGAAATAAAACCTCAAACATGTTACACAAAAGTCAACAGAATAGATGCCTTCATATTTACGATACTTGTTTGTTGATCTTCTTAGCCATAAGCAATGGATAATGCAGTAGACAAACAATAGCTAAATGTCGCGGTCACAAGCTGGCCTCATACCGACGATGTGCTAAGCTAACATCAATATTAACGTGCAATATTAAAGTCAAGTCAGCGAGCTTGAGTTGAAGACATATTTTTAAAGCACAAGTGTCCAGTGGATCGCCTTTTTCTCTTCAACCTTTTTGGGGGGAATTATACCGACGAATATCATATTAGAGTTTCTCTTACAATTGTTGTTTATCTTAAGATTCAAGAATGAAGCTTCTTGTGCTCATAGTTATGTTTATGAAAATCTTCGACAAAGGAAGATCAGGTAAGACAAAGTTCAATATATTTCAACGTAGAAGCTTTGTTATTTAAATGCCGCTTGATCTGGAAACTTTATTGTTGCAAGCGAGAAGACAATGTATTACACACAACTATGATCAATTTTCGCAACGTTAAACACCAGGTTATGTGCACGGTTGCAAAGGACAGTTAACAGGCTAGATAAACCACTAGACTTGAATAATTACCAACATGAACTAATTTTATTCAAATATTGAAGGTATGAAATTGTTCTTTTTTGAAAGGCAAAGACGATTAAATACTTCTTTTGAAAAGTTTAAAGCATAAAATACTAAATAGAACAAAAATAAAATCGTACGTGTCTTGTAACGTTGTCTTACTTTCCGAGATACTTTCTGTCAGTTTTCTTCATAGAATTATCAAGAAGTCCATCATTCATAAATAGCAATGCAATCATTCATTTTACCACCTTTGACTTGTTTTCCGTATAGACAACGAAGTGAATGATTGCGAAAATATAAAAGAAGAGATTTGCTCTCTCTGTCTACAAATTCCAGAATGCTCGTGGTGCACATCTAAGGTAATTTTCCTATATTATGTTTCATCAGCACTAACCTATGGCATTTCATATGAATAATTATGTAAAAACTCAAGCAAAAATGTACTAATACATATCATAACATAATAAAAAAAATAAACGTAAATATTAGGAAAGATAAATTTAATAGGTTAGCTTATGATTCTATATACTATCAATTAGTTGCTTTGCTCGAAAATTCTGTTTCATTACTCAGAAAGGAGTCAACTGTTTACTACAAATGCTAATTTAAAGAACTTACAACATTCATTGTACCTATTTATGGGGCAATGGTTAAAGGGCTTTTTTAGTTTGAGTCAATTAAAAAAGTCATTCGGATATTCATTTGAAAAACAAATCAATTATAAGAAAAAATATTCAAATATAAATATACTTGAGCTCGTTGTAAGGAAATTCGCCGCTGTAGTTCCATAAGATTTTTGATTTTTGAAAAATAATATGTAAGAATAGTGTGCAAGTTTGATAAATAAGTTTGCTTTACCTATACAGAATTACTCACATGGCCGATGTAACAAAGTGACAAAACATATAGAACAAGGATGTCCAAAAAACCAGACCATCAATCCAAAACAAAGAGTTACAGTAAGATGCTAATCACTCAAGTATTCCCAATGTTTGCAGGAAAAAACCAAAATATAATCATGCTTTTATTTTTAGTTAGTGAATGCAAGTGACACAACAGCAAGTCAAATCTTTCCTAGGAAAGTAAAGATAAAAGCGCGAGTTGGTAAAGTTTACGATTTTGCAATTGTTTTTAATTTGATTATTAGTCATTTTATAACTAACACTGTATGACTGAAGTTTATGTTCTGAAAATAATCATATCATTACAAAATACTATAACTATACTCAAAGCAAACAAGCGTTTATTGAAATTAATGGTCTACTTTCAGTAAACTGTATTATAAAATTTACTTTATACATAGGCGAGCCAGTGACATTTAAAGTGAATGTTCGATCAATTGAAAACTATCCAGTTGACCTTTACTTTTTATTGGATTTATCAAATACGATGAAAAATGATCTCGGAAATCTCAGACTTCTGGCTGGAAACTTAAGTACGTATTTACAAACATCGTAGAACGTGTTTTTTGCATTGAAATTCAGAAAAAAATGCGATGAATAAATATAATATAACCTTTTCTAATCAGCAAGGAAGTTAAAGGAACTTACAAAGAGACATAGATTGGGATTTGGTTCATTTGTTGACAAAGTCATTCCACCATTTGTAAAGCAAGAATTGTAAGTACAGCTATACTTTAGTAAAAGTAAATTTATACATGCATGAAAACGAACAAATCCTCGGATTACTTATCCACCAGTTGTTAAGCTCGTTCAAACGTTTCATTATTATATGATTGAGGCAAATGCTGTCATATTTAATAAAATGTCGACATCGAAATCTAGTACGATTGGATTATGTATGAATTAAAAAACTTTACAAATTTACGAGTAAAATTAATGTGAAATTAACTAAAAATGCGTACGAATACGAGATATAAATCTTCTTTCCCATGCAGAGAGTAAATGCATTCGTATATTGATGAAAAAATTAAAATAATTCTATAGCCAGTTGAAACAAAGGGGCTGTTCACATGAGCCCGGGTAACCGGGATTCAGCAAGGCGTGAAATGTTTTGAGTCATTGAAATGAGTAAAAATGTTAAGCGCAAAACTTACAACCTTTTCATAAGCGTCATAAGTCATTTTAGTTGTAATTTTCATATCAGACTAAATTATTTGTTTTCATTTTTAAAGGTTTTGTTAAATTGCAAAGTCAGAGTATAGAGAAATTGCTCAAATAAGTTTTTTGTTGTGAAATATTTAACCTTTTCCATCTGCCAAAATGATTTAACGCTACGCTGAATCCCGGCTACCCGGGCTCATTTGAACAGCCCCAAAGTTACTGCACAATGTCAAATTTGTCATTTTCACCAATTGCGTGTATATATGAAACAATGTGAAATCTTATACGTATACAGCCTACAGCCTCATTGTTATATCATTTAGAATAAACAAAAGTTTTAATCCAAGCGAACGTCCACCCTTCAACTACCGACATGAACTCGATTTCACGGATCAGCAACAATTATTCCAGGTTGTTAACTATAGAAATTTTACTATATAAGAAGCGAAGTCCTCTTATCACTTTAGACTCTCCAAATATAGGAAACAATAAACAATCAAACAAATTCCAGAAGTCAAGATCTTCCTGAAGCGTCCCTTGACGCACTTATGCAAGTTGCTGCTTGTGAATCAGAGCTTGGATGGAATCCCGTGAACACAACACGACGTATAGTCCTCTTAGCAACTGATGCTCCATTTCATTTGGCTGGAGAAGGAAGGGTATGTAGTGCTGTCTACTTGTGATTGATCAATATATAGCTTAAAGCTTTAGTGTTAAAGTTTTTGATGGAAGCGAAGCTGTTTGGTAATTGGCTGTTTTATTTAAAATGAAATATATTTGGAAGTAGGCGAGCTGAAATATACTGTTAGTCCGTTACTACGTATAAAAAGGAACTAGAGTCCTAAACAAAACACGCTTTAAGGTGGTTTTTTCTACTTTAATCTTTAGTTCGGAGGTATTCCCAACCCTAATGATGGCAAATGTCATCTAACCAAGAAAAGAAATGGTGTAAAAGAGTATCATGGTTTGCATCAGGTGAATTTGGAAGATTATATATACTAGGATAATTCCCATGGTATTTTTGTTTTTTTTTAAAAATTTGTATGCAGTTAAATACCCAGAATTCCTTGAGTGTATGCGCAATCCTTGATCCAGTAAGAGGCAGGCAAATAACGTTCGCAATGACGCTTTTTGTTTAAGGCAGAGTTAGCTATTTCAAGAATTCACCATTAATCTGGTTTACATCGAAAACCTAAATCATAGTACACTAACTACATTTATACACAATTTCAACAAAAAAAACACGCTATCTTTAAAAAATCGCTTTTCACATGAGCTACCAAAGCGTATAGATCATCTTGTTAAACATCTTGCATCTTTAAATCAACTAATGCCAATGCATGAAAAACTAGCAAACCTTCAATTTAGCTACAAAAATTTTCGTTCAATAAATTTCATGTATGTTTGATTGCAACAGGATTATCCGACAGTAAATCAAGTTTATAAAAAATTACGGGAATCCAGAATTCAACCTATATTCGCTGTTTCACAGAGCGGCAAAAAGTACTTCAAGGTAATTTCAACGTGGATACAATAGTAAGAAATATCTAAAAAATCAAAAAATGCTAATAAACACACAAGGAGTGTTACTTTTCTCTGCAAGTTCATCATGATTATTACACAATTTCTCAAATCCAAAATGTGTATTTTGACAACTACAGGGGACAGTTTTTAGCAGGGACGCCGGTACGTCGATAATTGTGTGTACGTGTATGTGGGAGAGGAAGGGGGAATATTGATATATTCGTAGTCCCAGATGGTAAAAATAATTTATTTCAAAAGAAAGTAATGAGGCAAAACACGCATATATGAATATTTGTCCCTTCAATTTTCGACGTTCCGTCGTTCCTGATCTTTGGTCCATTCAAACAATGAAATTCTATCTCTATGTATAAAACCTCAAATATACTAAGAAGAGTGTTACGTGGTTTTACCTACAATGCAACACTTTACTGAGATCACCCAATTGAATCACGCAAAAAAATTACATAATTGTAACGATTTATTTTAATTTACAATACACAGCAATTAGCAGAGACATGGAGAGATCTTGGAGCTACGTATGAAGAACTAAGCCTTGATTCCAATAATATCATCGAGCTTGTTGAAAGAAGTTACAAGGTGAGAAATTTTAACGTAAACACTGTGTCATAAATACGTCTTGTGCACTCAAAATATACAACAAATTGACACGCAGGGTATCGTATCAAGAGTATTTATAAAAACGGAGAATACAGAAGATATTGATGTACAATTTAAAACGGACTGCGGGTGAGTATTGAATGATTCTGAATTATGAAAAATAGGGTAAAAGAAAAAGTTATTGAGGTAGCTACCACACATTAAAATTATCGTTGACAGATATTCTGATTTTATGAGCAAGCACAAACTAGTTCATTATCGAATGTTTTCATCATGACTTATACAGTAAATGATATTTTTAGCAACCGTAAAATTGGAACCAACATTTGCCAAGGAATAGGTCTTGGAGAAACTGTAAGTTGAGTATAAAAATTTAAAGATACAAAAAATCGACTTATAAGTTCATATACAAATATTTGTAAAATCAGTTCATTAAATAGCTCTTCATGCATGAAAAGCAAATATTTAAGATGATCATAGTCTTAATTGATTCATTGGTTTTGCCAATTTAACGAGCTTGCTAAAGACAGCACTAATAGAAACTGAAATGTTTCGAATTGTAGGTATCGTTTAATGTGACGCTAACAGTCAATTCTTGCTCAGCAAAGACTTCAAGGTGACAAAACGCCGCTCAATGCAACCATGAAAACTTATCTTTGCACACATGTATTGTATGTATTTATTATAATAATTTATTTGATTACAGTTTTAAGATTCTAGCCAATGCCTTTGGAGAAGTTATGGTGGATGTCGACACTATTTGTAGCTGTGGATGTGAAGACGATTCGGTAAAAAATAAAATAAATCAACTGGTCTATTTCTTACAGTCATTTCATGCCTTTTATTTTATCTTCAGCTATGTAATGATACATGAGCAACAATTAAGATAACTTATACGCTACCTCCTATGTTTCTCCACTTGTTTTCTCCCCTATTGTGACGTAGCTATATTGTAGTGAAGTCATATGAACGTAATCACGACAAATTAAACGCACAGCTCTTAGAGAAACTACTGCCAAAATAATATATTCATCAGTTTTTGTGTTAAATATTACAGGAGTACAACTCCAGTTTATGTTCTAACAATGGAAATTTGACATGTGGACATTGTATGTGTGATAATGGAATGTAAGTTGAATAAAGATTGAAAAACTTTTAACACAATCTGTGAATGAGATTTTAGAACCTCTACGTTAAAAATCAATCAATTCACGAGCACAATAATCAGTGTCTTCATATGTATAAAATACTGTTCAAACTTCAACTTTCATTTACTTGAGTTATACTGGATTGTTTTTGAAAATTGTCTCCCCCCCCCCACCCAATATGCGTTTTACAAGTGACGAAACATCCCTACTCATTACGAACAGACTACCCCCTCCCCCATTTCTATATTTATACTTCATTGGATAGTTGCAGACGTTGAACTCTAACTTGTTATTTGTTTACAGGTACGGCAGAAGATGCCATTGTGATTCACGAAAGAGTAATCCAAGTTTAACAAATGTATGCAAACGTACAAATACGAGCAAAGTGGACTGTGAGGGACATGGTGAATGTGATTGCAATGAATGCAAATGTCATTCAATTGAGGTTAGAAAAAATTAGAGCTATACTCGATTTATACTTCTGTTATATTCAAATCATAGTTGAGTTATGTCGAGTTATAATTGAGTTATACTCGAATTTTAAATCGCTCATCTTTACTCTTGTACACCATAAGAAGTACTTGAAAAACAAACAAATAATTGTTTACTTTCATTTCTCCTATAACATTTAGAATACAGACTCGTATTATTATGGAAAATATTGCCAGTGCAGCGATTTCAACTGCCACAAATACAAAGGGGAAATATGCGGAGGTAAAAATCGTAGAATTTTTTCGATAACTAGACACTTTTGGAAAATAGTGCAATTTCATTTGCCTTTAAAAATGGGGGCAATTTTGACACAAAACTATAACTTTGCAATTGCAGAAGCGAATTAGGCGCGTATTTCATGCAATGTGTGCGAAAAGAATTAGCTTATACATTACTGCAAATATATCATAAATAGGAAAAGAAAGAGGTTCATGCAAATGTGGTAAATGTGAATGCAAAAGAAGTTATGTGGGATACAACTGTGGTACAATAGACTGTTCAATAGAAAGTGAAAAATGTTATAACGGAAAGGATGTAAGTGAACTTTAGCTCACATAAATATAGTAGAAATATTGAAACATCTTTTCATTTATCAAGCTCTTTAGAAACGTGATTTATGATTTATGACATACGATTGTCTACTTCAGGAAAAATGCAGCGGTCATGGCAAATGTAATTGTGGTAAATGTGATTGTGAGCCATTTTACGAAGGTGATCATTGTGAACGTTGCCCGGTAAGATATGCAAGCATTTCATCCATATAGATACTTTTTTATAATAAGCTTTTTCTTTTCAATAAAATTTGAAGGAGTATTAACGTGTCATACTGACTGTAAAGTTTTAGAAAGCACATGTTTTTGGAAATTATAAGCTTAAAAATGGTCACATTGTGTAAATAATTCCGTAATCTAAACATATGTTTTACATATGACGGTACATATATACAGAAAAATACAGCGTTGTGGTGTAACCATCGATAAAAACCACCAACGACAAATATTTGCTTGCGGCAACGCAACTTGCTATCGCAGAAAATAACTCAACAGATTTAAATTGAATGTATAAAACAAACTTTTTTATTGCAAACAAGTAATTTGTAAACATATAGTCTACGCTTAGCTCTATTGCCTGTATACGTAAATAAGTAATTCATACATGGTATACAACATTCATGTAACATAGTTCATTTGTTTGTACTAACGATCCATAAGATTGCCGAAACATGTTTGCAATAAAAAAGTTTGTTTCGTAAATGGAATTTATAATTTCAACAAGTTTAACATTTCATATTAGTTCATTAGTTCATCACATATTAGTTCATACAGATCATCACGCTTAAGAACAAAGTTTGCAACTTTGCAGTCTTTATTTTTAATGCTATTGATTAGAACAAACACGACCACTGGCAGATTAATATGAGCAAAATGCCGAATGTTTTCACACTATATTGATTGTTGTTTTTTTCTCATAAATTTAAAGACTTGCACCTATGAATGCGCGGATTTGAAGAAATGTGTGAGATGCGAAATTTTTGGGGAAAAATCGCAACACAGAAAAATATGCGATGACTGCCCGCAAATGACAATTCTCCAATCCATTGATCAACTGAAGGAATGTAAGTAAATGCAATCCAGGGGTTAATTTTATTGTGAAAAGTTATGATGAGAAATGTTGTAAGCGTTGGTCCTAGTTTTTGCGATAATTTTTTAAACTTCTGTTTCTTATATAAATTGAATAATATTCTCGTGCAAAATATTCTATTTCTACATTAAACGGAGCAGCGACGTGCAAAACAACAGTTGAAGAACTTTACACATTAAATATATATTTCAAAATGAATGAAAACAAAAAAAGAAACAAAGCATGATGAATACTTTTACGTTAAATTTAATGAAGCAAGTGCAACAAAGAAATTTTTGTGAAAAATAAAAAAAAATCGACTGCAGGTAACAAAAAGTAAGTTTTTAGTGAATTATGGTTGAAATCGATTTGCAAATTAGGTAATTGTTACTTTCTACTTACGAAGATCTACGTCTGATGTATAATTAATACGCTTCACTATATCATGCCTTATTCATTTATCAATAAATTTAGGGTTATAATCATTTGTTTAAATTAAAGAGGAAAATTTATAATTTTTGAGTAGAACTTTTGTCCAAACTTGGACAGATAATGCTTTTTCTTACACGCTACAGCACAAAATTTTTTAGCAGAGTTGGCCTACGAACAGGCCTATAGTAGGGGGTCACTCTCTGGGTAAATATTGGAGAGAGCATTCGTTGACCATGGGTTCTTAGTTCATATGAAGTAATATAAATTGTCGCTGTAAAAGCTATAAATAACAAAACTTAGCTGATGACGTAATGCAACTGAACGCGAATAACTAAGACGTATAAAATGCTAATTAAATCTGTTATACGTGACGTCTTTAACATACAACGTCGATCTCTTTTAGTAAAATATCCTGTGATATGCCAGGTGAAAGATAGTGAGGGCTGTAAATACTATTTTACTTATGGCGAAAGGAAAGAAGAAAACGCAACAAAAATGTTCGTGGTTTTAAAAAAAGGTATTATAAAAGGCATAGAAATCACCCATATGTCATTAAGAGAAGTTACTTTACAGCGTGAATGCAAGCGAAAAGTTTATCTGAATCAGTTTATCACGATCAATAGTTGCAAAGGCATGTCTACATAGTTTCATTTAATGGCTTTCGTCATGCGCAAATCACTCGTAGAGAGAGCATAGTATTGTGGAAGAGAAGATTTGCCTAAAAGTTAGTTTAGTCAGGCAACAAAGATGATGCTCATTTCTGTTGGTCTGTCGATTTCCTCATTAAAGAGTTATAGCTAAGAATCGCGAAAAACAAATTGCCCAAAATGCAAGTCATGCAAAAAATGTACAGACAAATAAATTTAAAGGCTGTAGTTAAATCACTAATGTGTTTTGTTTCATTTTGGTAAAAGTTCAATTTTTTTTTTAGCTAAACCACTAGACTGCTAGACTGATCTGAGATATTTTCATCAACTACTCATTTAGATTGTCCTGAAGAGCCAGATCTTCTCGCCATCATAATTGGTGTGATGAGTGCTATAGTTGCAATTGGCATTATGCTTTTGTTGCTTTGGAAACTTTTAACAGTAATGGTGGTACGGTCAAATACCATAAAGAAATAATATTTAAGTCTAATATCGAGTAAAATGTTTCGAGAAATGCATGAATGAGTATACATAGAACTCAACAATAGGGAACAATTTCTTCACTAAATCATACTGTGAAAAAAAACGGGATAATAATGAACCCATATGACAGGCCATACCGTTCGTAAATCAGTCCCGTTTGATCTATTTCTTTAAGGATCGCAAGGAATACAGAAGATTTAAAGAAGATCGAGCAAAATCTAGATGGCACACAGTACGTATAAAATACATGCACAATTACTTTGAAGTTAAAATAGCTAAAAGATTTTAAGCTGTAAACTATACTCTAATCCAATATGAATCTATAATTGTACCCCTTTAGGAAAAAAATCCACTGTACTTGTCCCCAACTCAAACTGTCTATAATCCAACATACGTCGGCGGTAGAAGGCATAAACAATACACGACGTTAACGTAATCACGTGGTTAAAGTTGCTACCTTCAATAGAAACTAGTGACGTCACGTGATGGCAAAAATATGATAAATTATCATAGTTTTTTCTCGTAATTAGTCATATGCAAAGAAAATATTTTGATATGTGCATATATACACAAATAAGTGAAAATTACTGTAAAAAGAAGCTGGAATTCATACAAATAGCAACTACTGTACACATCACAGATATATGGCAGCACTTTGGTCTTACATGTTAAAAGATGAGCTTTGGCTATTTCTAGATCAAAAAAGTATATAAGTAGTATATAAGTATTTATTATTAAATTAAATTAGTTAAGCACTGTAATGTTAGAAATATACATATATATATATATATATAATTGAAAATAAAATAAACCACGAATTACTTCATAGGAATTTATTCCCTGCAGAACTGTTTCGTATGGCAGTTGTTTAACTTGCCACACTCGTCAATTTTATTTTCAATTATACCGCTCTGCCGTGGCATTGAGCACTCTATCCGTGCGATTTTGTTTGCGATAGTTTTTATCACAAAATCCTATTATATATATATATATATATATATCTTTTGAAAATTGGTAATCCAGGCATTTAATAAATAAAAGATAAAAGTTTCTCCGGATTTTAAATGATTTTTATTGAGCTTTCGACTCGTTGCTATATATATACACTGCATCAATAGGTTTTAAATGTAAGTCATAGACGTCTATGCTACAAGTGTCAGCAATAGTACAAGTGCACAACTTTAGCAATTATAACGCGTATGGTAATGTTTTAATGTTTTATTTAACTCGCTTAATTCTCTTTTATGATTTTTGCATGTTTATTTTGCAAGCACATGTTGCAGTGGTTTCTCGACTAAACGTCTTTCTATAATCAATCTTACAACAAGAGTAACTTGTTCCACCTACCTAACTTTGCACAAAAAAATTACATTGCAATCAGCATCCATCAACCAGGAACATCTCCTGCAAATAAAATGCATATTTATATTGCGCAACGAACGTCATCACACACTTTTGGGATTTTTTTATGGTCGAGTTCTCCGGTTTTATTTTAACATTTACGCAAAAACAGATAATTGGATAGGTGAATTTCCCGCATGTATTTCGAACGACGAAAACAGATTGTCTGCAACATTATGAAGACATGGAGTCTTTTTTCAGCCAAATCAGTTGGCTGATAAAAAATGGCAACCTTGCTTGCACAAATTGTGGGATTTTTATACAATGCAACATGATCATCTGTATCTGAAATAATTAACAGTCCACAATAGTGAAATCATTGACTTTTCAATTTCGAAAATACTTTTTTGAGCCAATTGGTCATTGATTTATAATCCTCAATAGCTCTCAATCTGTACAATATTGTATAAAAATTACACGTATTAGAAATTTTACTATTGAATGTGATGCATTGAATCTTTTGTATACTTATATGCGATAGAATATTCAATAATATAATCTGTGATTTCTATACAATATGACAATGAAAAATGATAGAGCATAAAAAATACTATAGAATAATCAATAGTATTTAGAATATGATTCCATAGAATATTTTGGTAAGGTTACTGTAATATAACTGGGTTGTGCGACAAATGAATAACACAAGCAAACATAAACTTCTCTGAACAATTATACATTTCAAAGGAAAAGTTGAATTTGACATAAACATGGAAGCAACAGCAAAAATACTGGTTCTTCTAAATGTTACTTTTTTCAAAGAGCAACCCATGAACAGATGTTTGTGTTGTGAATATTTGAAATATGTAGGAGGCATGACATACATTAAAATCTCACCTTTGTAAGCATATTCCAAAGCTCCGGCAATAGTGGTCATTTCAGCTTCAATTACTTGAGACCAATTCTCAATATCACCCAACTCCTGAATAAAAATTATAGTATTATGTATAGTATTTGTCACTATAACTTGCCAATCTAATTAAAGTATTTGTCAATGTAATTTGCAAATCAAATTATAGTATTTGTCAATCTAATACTTTAAAACACAAAAGGCTAGAGCTAGGTGCATACTTGTATCATTAGGTAGCAATCAATGGGTGGAAAAAATGTAGTCCCCATAGCAAATCATTAAAATAGGTTTGTAGCCAGTCAAATTTGTGAAAATGCATGTGTAGAATGACAATTTTCAGGTTTTTTAAGACATTTACTTATGACTAAAAGTTCAAGAGCTTTAAATCTGCTGACTAGGTAGGCCACTGCAGCACATGAACTTAATCCATACAATTACATTTAGGGTTGCTATGATAAAGCACAATAAATCGCCATTTTTTACGTGCTTGCTTTGTTTTAAAATTAAACCAACAACTAAACATAGCAAAGTGCTAAGAATATTTGAAAAGTATTTAAGTTTCAAAACGATTTTAAGTGTAAGACAAAAGAGATTATGGAAAAACACTCCCTTCCATCAGAAAAATCTTCCAAATTAATTATGCACAATCAAGGTATAAGGTAATCATATCTTTCAATTGGCATTAATTATGCACAATTAAGGTATAAGCCAATCATATCTTTCAATTGCATATTAATTATGCACAATTAAGGTACAAGCCAATCATATCTTTGAAACAAATACATTTCAATAACAGCATGGTAAAGAGAAATGTAAATACATAGTTTTATAATAATAAATATTTGAAATTTATTCTGATAAAATACAAAGCTGTATCAACCAACCTTTAAAGCTCGGTTAAATCCTTCAGCCAATTGAAGCCATTGAATTGACTGTTTCGAAAATTGAGCTGAAATTTATTATTTATAAAGTGACATACAGTTGAAGATGAACTTAGTTTTACTGGATCAAAACACATGACTGATCACTGACATTTTTCATTCCTACAATAATATAAAGTGATACCTGTATGTGTTTGCAGTTGTTTAGCTTCAGATTCCAACTTCTTTTGATTTTGATAAATTTCTTCAACACTAATGAAAAAACCCCATCTGTTTCATATTATGAAATCTACTTAAATCAATAGAACTTTATACAAGCAATAATTATTTACTAATCAAAATTGACATTTCGAAGGCGCAATTTTTTTGCAAACCTTTTCAGACAGCAATTACATAGTTCAATTTAAGAGTGAGTAACAGCTAAAACTGAGAAAATGTTGGTTTTACATTCATATGCATGTAGTTGAATATGCAGGCTGGCTATGTTGCTATGTACTCATAACCAGGCAAGTATGAACCATTTTTGTTTGATACAAACATATTTAATAAACATATTTGCAAAAACTTTAATCATTCCCAGAGTTATTGCATTGTTCCTTCAGAATCAGTCTAGTCATTTCGGTGGTGACTAAAATAACCATCTATAAGGTCAAATGTTAAAATAGCTTTGCAACCTACCCATCATTTAATGTGCTGACCAGTTTATCAACAACAACATTTGTAGATTCAAATACTTCTTTTCTTTTTTTCTCTATTAAAAAATGAAAAAGAAAATTATGATCATTTTAAAGACAGAAAGCAAATATTTAAGCAAAATGGTAATTGTTACTAGCCCAGAGAGCTTAAATATTTTGTATTTTGATAATTTCTCAGGCGCTAGGTGCAATAGTGTCTCAGCATGCCCTTCTTGCCTTTGTTATCCAGCCTAGACGGCCTACAAACCTTGCTGATCTTTTCTATTTTGTCTTTGAGCAGTGTGTTCCTTTACAGCACGAGAAAGCATAACTAAACTAAAGTGTTCGAGAAAATAAGAATGTACTTTTCTTTCTTCCCGTATCTTATCTTGCAAGGATTAAAGTTCGTTTTAAACTTTTAAATTAAAACTCAAATGTCAATGTAGTTTCATCTTATTTCATTTGTTTTATTCAACACTGCTTTTCATCCGTCACTCTGCGGATAAAGTGTCCGCGCTAGAACCCAGACCTCTACATAATCCAAAAATAGGTACTACGCGTACATGTAAGAGCCTTCGGTATTTTACCTGTTAATTATCATTTTCACTAAAAATAATTTTCGCAATAAATAATATAGCGTCAACAACTTTTCTTTCGAAACAGTTTTCCGATATGAGAGATACTGTTCACTCAATCGGTAATTAAATACGTCCATATGACTTGTATTGCTATATTGGGCGAACAGTTCGTGCTGTTTGTTGCTAATTTTTTCTTGAACTATTTTGAAAAGAAATTTTTCCCAACGATTCTGCATCGTTCTGCATGTGTTGATTGGGTTGACAAAAGTTGACAAGTATAATGTTTCATTGTCGTTTCACGTAAGCACAAATAAAACTTGCATTTCATACAAGATTCGAACGCCATTAAATATATTTATTTGCTGTCTGTGTTTCATTTAAACTCGCCAACTCTTTTAAAGTCTTAATTGTGATGTCTTGTCAAGAGTGCGATTATTCGTTTGCTTGACCGATAAATCAAGTTCATGTGTTTGATTGCAAATAACATATGCTTGATCTTTGGACGCCTCACACATTACAAGAATCTCAATGTAAGTATTGCACAAAATTTGACATACACCATTAAATACCGTTAAGTTTCGATGAAAATGCACAAATGAGCAATCGAGGTAGCATATTGACAAAAATGATATGCATGAATGATGACAAAGGCATGAACGATATATTAACATTTTAATTCACTTAAAAACTTAGCTTACCTCACTAAAGCTTCGCGCAGATTAATTCGAGCGAATGAAAGTTATGAAACAACACCCTGCGATATTTTTCGGAGAAAGCTGCGTCTACGAACGCTCTAAAGGGCGCATGCGCAACAGTTACACATTGAACCGCTCAGTCTATTGAAAGAATTTCATTACATTACAAGATGATCCCTTGATATGTTTTCTTTGACGAGTCATTAACGAATGTCTACAGTGCACATAGTATGAAAAAGACAAAGAAAATTAGAGAGTATCGTAAATATTATGTGAAAAACGAAATATCATTGTACACTTCTAAAAAGTAGTAGTAACACGTATTTATTTTCCTCACAAACGCTATACTAGGTTTGTTTATTCCATTAAATAAAAATACAAATCAAACGACAAAATACAAAACATTTAAAGAGAGTGTAACTAGCATAAACACGAATAAAAAAATTTCCAAATTTTATTATCACTTGATAAGCTTGTCCCACTCAACATACAGGTCAAGTTGTAATTTACAAATATATCTTTCACAAGATGTGTCAGTAGTAAATAATTCTTCTTCACTTGTAATCATTCATAACATCAAATGACAAATAAATTGAGCCAAGAAGAGCGATGTTCAGGATTTACCAACAAACGTAGGATTTTGGACGGTGGACACCGCAGGTTGATACAAAGGATTTTTTTCCTAAAATGAGCATCGCAATTTTAAATCTTTGAAAACTAGAAGATGCGCGGATATTGTATCCGGGAATAAAAAAGATCATATTTCGGAGATTATTAGTTACTCGTAGATGTTGTTATTATGATCCCATTTAGAAATTAAATTATTGTGGATGATTTGCTATTAGAAGTCATGCTAAATTCCCAGTTTTTGTGACAATAATATATGTACGTAGCCGACGATATTTTATGCACACTTGGGTTTAGCATGGGCATTGAAATAATCCCAACGTGTCCATTTGTAAAGTCCTTATTTTTTGATACACCCTGTATAATCATACAATTTCAATAACAATGTTCATCACTGCTTCAGAGTGCAAAAGTTTCTCCCACTATCGATGAGCTATGTACATCAGATATGTCGGTCGTTTGATAAAAAAATTTATGCCTACCCTGTGCCATTTCGACTTTGCTCTATCTTGTTCAAATTTCTGATATTCGCGGCGGTCCTAAGAAAATTTTCCACGTTTTATCATTTAATACAGAGTAAAAGAATACTTTATATATCATAAAATATATAAATTATAATATAATATAATATTAATAATATAATTATATTATTAATATTATATTATATTAATAATATTATTTATTATATTATATTATAATACAATTATAATATAATATAATAAATTATACAAAAATAAATAATACAAATTCTTACCACCATGGCAGTGAAAAGTTTCCATAATATCAAAAGAATTATACCGATACCAACAATACCACCAATAACAGCAAGCACAATAGTAAGAACATCAGGACCTTCAGGACAATCTAGAGAAAATAAATTGGTTAATGCACTTTAGTTGTACTATTACGTAAGCCGGCTTAAATATTTACAACTTCTTTTTGGAAGACATGCAGACGAGAGTGCAGCCACGTGACATACAATCTAAGCGACAGCGTATAGGGCAAATAGGTTGAAGGCATTTATTGAATAATTTTGAGGTAAGACTGAAAAAGCACATTTCTGTCATCTCAAACACATTATTTTAAGTTAGATGCTAATGATATCAAATTTGTAACATTATTTGAGTTCGTTCATCAATCCACTTCCTTTCGTGGATATTTATTAGGCCCCCCCACATGTACGCGCGTACGTATTATACTGGGAGTACTGTTTTTTGCCTACACTTTGATCATTATCTTCGATTCGTATTGAAAACCAGAAAAACAGGCTAGCATTCAGGACGTGCTGGTCGAGTCATGAATGACTAAACGTTAGCAAAGTCTCACTCTCCCACAAAGATACCGTGAGTCCAAAAGTGAACAGAAAACATGCATCAATGTTTGAAAACAGTTTGGGATATTCTAGTTAAAGACGCGAAATCGTATATTACTAATCCTCTTTTTTACCAAGCTCGATGTCTTTACCGTGAAATATAGGAAAAAACGTTTTTGTGAATACAGAGCCCGTTGGCGAGGTTTGTACAAAAAGATATAGGTCCGATATTTTTTTGCAAAAACCGAGCAAGCGAGGATAAAAATGTATTACTTGGCATGATTTGATAACTTTCTTTCTGTTTTCTTCCTTGCTTTTTTTTCAAATGTTTGCTTTTACTCCTTAAGTTTTCGTAAATGAGAAATTGTTTGGAATCGTGTCGTCTGGATAACACAACTCACTTTCTGAGTGTTATTCCTTCGACTAACATTCGAACAAATTTTTCTGTTTCGCATTTTTTGCGTTTTCAATATTTTTGCAGTTGGCTTCATGAAATTTGTTTACATTTATTTGTAAATTACGTGTATTTGACCGAAAAATATTACAGACCGGCAAAAAATGTTTCTTTTATAAGCCAACCAAATCACGCTATTTCACAGGACGGAACGCTTGCAATATAATAACATATGATAATGTGCTCAGATGATGTAAATGTATCAGGAAATAAAAGTTAACGTTAATTATCTAACAGTCCCATGATCCTTTTAAACATACCTTTAGTTTTCACAACATAAAGGGTAGTGACGTTATTTTTTTCCTCGTAACTATAGAAGTACGTGCATCCTTCATCGTCCCTTTCTTCACAAGTTGTTGGCAACTGCTCTAATTTTTTGGAAAGAGGTGAAAGAGGATGATAACGTAAAACGGTAGATATCCATATTTAAATAAACACTAAAGGTGGACTTTACTTTTACGAATTACGGAATACGTACCTTTTATTAGATCTGACAAGGTAGTGAGTTCTTTAATACTTGGGCAAGCGTCACAAAGCGTCCTGTTTTCAGGTACAGGATCAAAAACTTTACATAAAACACAGGTTTTGAAATCTCCGCATCGTCCACCACATGACTGAATAAAAGTAGAAAAAAATTGAACAACAAAAAGATGACATTACTAGCATAATTAATATAAACTGATGAACTGCGAGACAATAAACAAAAGAGATGACATTACTAGCATAATTAATATCAACTGACGAAGTGCGAGACAACAAACAAATGAGATGACATTACTAGCGTAATTAATATAAACTGATGAACTGCGAAACAACAAACAAAAGAGATGACATTACTAGCGTAATTAATATCCACTGATGAACTGCGAAACAACAAACAAATGAGATGACATTACTAGCGTAATTAATATCAACTGATGAACTGCGAAACAACAAACAAAAGAGATGACATTACTAGAGTAATTAATATCCACTGATGAACTGCGAAACAACAAACAAATGAGATGACATTACTAGCGTAATTAATATCAACTGATGAACTGCGAAACAACAAACAAATGAGATGACATTACTAGCGTAATTAATATCCACTGATGAACTGCGAGACAACAAACAAAAGAGATGACATAACTAGCATAATTAATATCAACTGATGAACTGCGAAACAACAAAAAAAAGAGATGACGTTACTAGCATAATTAATATCCACTGATGAACTGCGAAACAGCAAAAAACAAAAAAGATGACATTACTAGCATAATTAACATCCACTGATGAACTGCGAGACAACAAACAAAAGAGATGACATTACTAGCATAATTAATATCAACTGATGAAATGCGAGACAAAAAACAAAAGAGATGACATTACTAGCATAATTAATATCAACTGATGAACTGCGAGACAAAAAACAAAAGAGATGACATTACTAGCATAATTAATATCAACTGATGAACTGCGAGACAAAAAACAAAAAAGATGACATTACTAGCATAATTAATATCCACTGATGAACTGCGAGACAACAAACAAAAGAGATGACATTACTAGCATAATTAATATCCACTGATGAACTGCGAAACAAAAAAAACAAAAAAGATGACATTACTAGCATAATTAATATCGACTGATGAACTGCGAGACAACAAACAAAAGAGATGACATTTCTAGCATAATTAATATCAACTGATGAAATGCGAGACAAAAAACAAAAGAGATGACATTACTAGCATAATTAATATCAACTGATGAACTGCAAGACAAAAAACAAAAGAGATGACATTACTAGCATAATTAATATCAACTGATGAACTGCGAGACAAAAAACAAAAAAGATGACAACAAACAAAAAAGATGACAAAAAAGATAGACATTACTAGCATAATTAATATCAACTGATGAACTGTGAAACAACAAACAAAAAAGATAACATTACTAGCCTAATTAATATCAACTGATGAGCTGCGAGACAACAAACAAAAGAAGTTTCTTCTGGAGCCAGTGAAAAGTGCCTGGCTTAGCTAACGAGCTACCATGGGAAAGTTAATTTGCACAAGATATTACTCGTTTGTAGCCCCAAATACAAAATGACCAGGGGGGGAGAATGCTTTGTTAGGCATACAGTAAACGTCTAGTTATGAAAAACGTCTTTACAACATTGTTCGTACAACGCAGAAGTTCTGAAATTCAATGGACTTTAAAAGACATACTTCGAAAATTTCAAGGACGATTAAGACCTTGATTTACATGCAAAGCAAAACAAACGCAAGAAATTATCAAAATACATAATCAAAATAAAAAACAAAAAACCTTTTTAATGAATTGAGACAAAAACAAGTACAGTAAAATAAAACTAAATTATTACAAAAACGATCATATAATATAACGCCAAATAAGGGTTTTTGTGAAACAATAAAGAGAGAAACATAAGAAAAATGGCTTTTCGAATTGTTTTCAGTTCGATTATGGTTATGTGGCGATGGTTCTAATAAATATTATTGGGTTCTTACGTTTTATAACTGGAAAATATTCATGTTCCCTAAGTTATGGTTACGTTTCGAAATAATATTTTATGATAATGCACAACTGACACAAATGAGAATTGTTCTTTTAATTTCATTAAGGTGAACATACGTACCGGACATTTTTCACAATGCTTTCCTTCATAAAATGAATCGCAGCGACACGTTCCATCACATTGACAAATTCCTTTGTTACTGCAATTCACTTTGACACCATTCTAAACAAAGTAATTAAAATTAAAAACATGCATAGTCCTCGTCGCTGTTGAACATAACGCAGCTGCTTTGTAGCCAAGTAACGTATATTTTATTAACGTGTATTTCTGATATTTTTGCAAATAAAATCAACATTAAAAAAAATATGAAAGCATGCACGCTTGATACTACAAAATAAAAAATGGCAATTTACTTTAAACCAACAATCGAAAAATTATTTACATCATTCAAAGGAAGTCAATAATAATGTTCAACTATAAAGATTCACAGAGCGATAGTTAAGCAATGAAGATTATGTTAATGAATTTATTATTTCACATCAGATTTGTAAACAGTGTGAAGGATGATGTTAACCAACTCACCTCATCATCAATAAGACAATCTTTTGCATGGTATGAACAATCAATTCGGCCGCAATTGCTTCCAAGAAATCCTTCCTCACATTGACAAGTGCCACATCGACATTTGCCCTGATCCTCTACAGAATTGCACAAAAATTAGCTCTTACATCTTTACGGTCAAACACACATGGAACCTTGTCACCAATATGTAAATTAGCATACCATTTTAAGGTTGTTCTTTAGTATAAACCATAGATATGTATAATAAACTAGATAGCGCATTGCAATATAACGCCCAATCAAAAGTTGAAGCCAAAGTAATCAGGTGCCCCTATTTTTACCATCCTATACTTAGGTCCCACTCGATGAGTGAAAACAAACTTTACTATACGACAGAGCTTAATGACGACGTATTTATGTTATTTTGGAACTTAACGCCATGAATAAACATAGCAAATTTTGGGGAAATATGACTTTGATTTATATTATGATTACTTTTTCGTATCAAGTGGGACCTTCCAATGTGGCGATCCTGGCTTCAAAAAAATAGGGAAGTGCGTTATCCAGTCTATTTTCAGTTCAGTGCTATTAACGTACACGAGTAATGAATGTATATAGTACTTTAACATAATTAAGTCATAGATACAAGTATTCTTACTTACTCCCACCACAAATTTTATTGTTTGCTCGCGGGCAGCTGAAGTCACTACACTGACAGTACTGTCCATAATACTTTTCACCATCCTCTCTGCCCTATAAACAAATTTGTTTCGAGAAGATAAGTTTTGTACTGACTTCCGTTATTTCTTGAGAATGCATGGCAAAGAAAATGAACAATTCTTCAGTAAAGCAAACAAATGCAATAATTGCCATTCAAGTACAAACTGCGATTGCAGAAAAACAAATTCAAAAAACAAAAGAACATGGCAATTCCGGTAATTCTTTTGTTACAGCCATTTATGATGTTGACCCTATTCATACGTATGTTGTACTTTACTTGACATATGGTACATATACACCTATTTTGTTTGTCGTCTGCATGTCATAAATAAAATGCGCAACTTACTGGTATAATGTTGCACCTGCAAACACCACAATCACATTCACCGTTGCCATCACAAACGAAACCGCGTGTGTCATTGGGATTTATACAGGCGCCTTCGTCGACTCCGCCGCTACTTAGGGAAGTATCACATTGACACAATCCTCCAGACCTGTCGGTTTTTTAAAAAGAAAAAGTGTGTAAAAGAACAGAAGGTTTGCATGCTATTATAACATGGTAGTTTGGCTGTGCATGATTCAACCCAAATGCCCAACTTAAGATATAAAGTAATTACCATCCTTCATTACATTGACAACCACCACATACTAAACTTCCATTATAATTACATCGAGGGCTGTTGGGAATCTACAAACACAAAAATTATCTGTCACCAACTAAAATATGGGTTAACTCGTATCACACTTAATACAAATGTTTTATGAGCAAAACTGTAATAGACTGTTTTTAATGTACTTAGACATATGCCAAATAAAAATTGCATAAAAAAGCAATGCGATTGTGTCCTCACCTTAATGTCCTCACAATCGCATCTGCAAATAACTTCGAGATCCACCTGAATACTTCCAAATCCAGCTGCGTTTATCAGGAAACTGTCAAATGATATATGATAAACTGAAATTAAACATATTATATATGTATATTTATGATGTAGTGAGTCAGCCAGTATGTTTGATATCCAGCTTCGTAAAATTACACTAAATATAAAAACAATATATTTCTAGAGATACACATAATGAAACTGCCACAAAATTGACAACATTTACATAGTACGACCAAATTTGCAAGCTGGCTACGGCATTATCTAATGTATTTATGCTTGAAGTAAAGATGTTCCGTAATTTTAAGGTACGTTGATAAATACTCTTATTTTTTGGTCTACTTGTTGTGGTATTATCACTATTACGCGTTACATAGAGATATTATCTTACACTTTAGCCTACATATGGGTACACATATATCTATATTATCACATACCTGGTCGAATTTCCATGTTTTTCACATGAGGTAACAGTAGCAGATACTGAAAATTCCACCTAAAATAGCAAAAAGATTGTCATAGCTACGTATGGAAAGAATAGCAAAAATTTGAGCTGCAAGATTGACATTCATTATTGGCATAAACAACCAATACAGCTACCATTACAACACCTAAAAAGGCCTTGATATACTAAACAGTCTTGAATATTAAGTCATTTGTCTAAAGAGATATCAAAAATTCCTTAAAAAAAGCGGAAATAAAACGCAAGTATGAAAATCTTCTTTTAAGATTACACGAAGCTAGTTTTCCTGTCACAGACTGGTTTTAATCGCTCGTGAAAAGGACTGGAAATCGTTATTCATTCCCAAAAACAACTAACTATTAATCAACGAGCAAAATCTATTCTATATGTATTTATGAAATAAAAACAATAAATACAACACGTTTTAGAGGAAAAATTAAAACGTTTGTTTAAAATTTGTCTGTTTCGCATTAGTGTTATTTTATAAGGGAAATAGCCAAAAGAAATTTTTCGTGTTCACACTGGCTCATGAAAACCTCGGAGAAATTTGTGAATACCCTCGAAAAGGTGCAATCTTTTACTTCTCAGATGAACTACAGCAAAAAATGCCAAAATATGCATCAAAATGGTCTTACTGTTTCTCCAGGTTTTACATTTGAACAAGATCGGTCATCAGCACCAGGAGATCTAATAAAACAGAATAATAAAGAAAATGTAAAAATTATTCATAGTTAAGTTTTCCGAAAATGTTACATTTGAGAGGTCTTTTATAAATCCCAGTGTTGTTGATGTAGGTCTTCATAATTTCATAAAAATAAAACCTACACATCAATTTAGAGAAATATCATTCTTCCAACTAAATCATTCGAAGATTCAGCTTCCTATCTAATCTACCACAAACAAATATTCATCTGGGAAGCTTTTTTGGAATGTCAAATGATGCAAGTGACCATTTTAAGGCAAAACATGAAGACAAGTTCAGATAAAACATGAAAACAAGTTGAGAAACAAATGAAATAGCAATAAAATTGGAAGTTTGGAACATTTTCAAAAGCGAATTGTCATCTTTACATTTTGATTGCCCAGTTCAAGATGTCCCTATCTTTCCTATACTACCACTGAATTACACAGACTGTCATTGATTTGCATATACTGCTATTGCTTTGATCTATATGCCAATGCCCTTTCACTTTCTTAAATTCATAGTGTCATAGGATAGCCAGATATAGACTTACCATAAGGTGATCTACAATAATGCTTTCTCTGGATTGTTATAAAATTATTTTATTGAGCTTTTGACTCGGTGCTTCGAGCCTTTATCAGAATGATATATGAAGTTATATGCAATTGTTTTTAATTTGTAGACGTTTAGGAGAAACTTTCATTTTTATACGATAATTCTTTCATATGGCGAACATACACATGAATAATATGGAGCTTAATTGATTCATTTTGTTTCCGAATATTTCCACAAGCTTGCAGTAAAGCTATATGTATGTCCATTGCCTACATCTCACAATGAAGTAAAAACATCGAACCATTTGAATGATGAGTTCGTTCGACACTTACGTGCAGTTGACTTGCTTGATTTCCACCTCAACTCCTTCAACAGTATTGAGAGCCTTGAGTTGAACCTCGGAAGTAATTTTCTATAAAATATTTAGCATTCCATGAAAAATTAACACATTGTGGCACAGCTCATATTGTATAGTATATTTCAAAATGTTTTGGTGAGCTGCCAAGGTTTCCTTCAAATAGTACCAATGAGTGCTTAAATCTTTTTGTATTAAACTCGTTCAATCATTTCGCCCTTCACCACACGCGTAAAATAGTAAAGGGCCGAACGAAGCAGACAGATGGACAACGTTACATTTTTATACATCAATTTTTCGAGTACTCAAACAATAATCCTGCAAAATTTATGAAAGAAATCCCTGATGAATGAAATTCATTAAACTGATAAAGAATTTATGTAATATTTCAGGATTAAAATTCAAAATCCAACACCACAATTCGAGTTGTCTAGTTTATGGAAAGCTTTATTTGTAAAAAAAATTATGGGTTTAAGATCAACGATAGCGAATACCGTGTCAGATAAACGATTTGATATTTACCAAAGCATCACGCAGCAGTCATCACGATATGATATTCAGTGCATGCGCAATGAAATAAAAATGGCGATTTCCCTTAGAACTTTTTTAGAAAAGCTTGAAGATTTACTTACATCATAACTATCTTGAATAAGTTGAATAATATCTCTTGAATCACTACTCAAACTTCCATAAGTTGCACCTGAGTCTTCCCAAGTTTTAGCTAACGCCTGAAGAAGAAATTTTGGTAAAGTGTTTATTTTAAATTCGAAAAATCAAGTATACAGTTCAACCTAAGAATCGATGCCCGAAAAAAAAATACATTGAAGTAAAATTATCAATTTTATATCATTTGTCAGTTGACTATACGGAGTATCTTTACACTACGCATCTTCACAGTTCTGAAGACACACTTTCTTCAGAGATATGGAGACACAAATTATCTTCAAGTTATGGAGACGATTTTGTTTTCTCTTACACTACGTTCTACGTATATTTTATTGAAAATGATTGCGTAAACTAAAAAACTTAGTGCAAAAGGGCTGACAATTTCCTGTGAAAGTACATTACCTCATAAACATTGCCCACACCTCGGGCCTGACTGCTTACAGCAAAAATGGGTTGGATGCCGGAGGACAAAATTCTTCCGTACAATTTACTTGGTGAAGGGTAATCCTGAAATGATAAATAAAGATATGTACCTTAATGCATATGATGATTCACAAACACTAGCAGCGTTCTAAAAAAGCAAAAAAGTCAGTTTTACTAGAAACAACAATAAGCAATATGCATAAAACATCCTAAGATTCGTCTTAGGTCTCGTTTTCCTAGCGCTTCTACATTAATATCACTTTCAGAAAGAAAAGAATTAGAAATCAAAGGATAGGGCAATCTTTCAAACCAATGCATATTTTTAATAGACAGACAACATGAATAATACTTAAACGTGTTTCAGTAAATGCTTTCCTTAACCGATTCAAAGTTGTAATGAACACTTTAGTCTATATAATTCATAAATGATACGAAAGAGTACACGTAACAGCTAGTTCAAATAGTAATTTGCTACAGTCTATTTATAAAACCGCTTACGTAATGTTATGATATACAACGCACATCATTTTGTCAAAGTAACTGGCATCGTCTAGTGTTATCTCAGCTACAATCTTAGGTTCAGTTGATACAATAACAACTAGCAACTCACCCAAATCAAAGATTTGTTGTAAAACCGGACACCATTAACATCAGTGGCATTAAGGGAACATCTGGCCTCGTTTGGGTTAGCAACACCGCCAAACTAAATTCAAAAAAGTTCAAAATTATAACACGAATACAAAATATGTACGAAGTTTTCATTCATTTCATTGGTTGAAGTATACACAACGCATGGATATAGATATGCTTGCACAGGTTTAATGTCGCACACCTTTCTAAACTGTCAGAAGAGCCATTCAAATAAAAAAGTAGATAGGTACGTGCATCGAATTTCTGAAATAAAAATCCAACACGAACTTACTCTTCCTTCACCAGCTATATGAAAAGTAGCATCTGTAACAATAAGAACCATCTTTCTGGTTGTTTCCTTGCTACGCCAATCAAGTTCCTGCAAATAACAAAAACTTAAGTACACAGTAATACGGAAGGGAATAGAAGTTTTTATCAAGCTATTTCTTTTACCCAGCTTTCCAATAAATCTGGTCGACCAAGAAAAATTCCCATAGAATCAAACATATATAAATATATACTGAAAGATTTGTGACAACAAGAACAAACCTTTTCACAGACAACTACTTGCATCAGAGCATCAAACAAGCCTTCCGGTACGTCACGATTGCCAGAAACTGTTTGTTCACTAACTTTATCCTTCAAAAACAAATGGACACATTGAAATTATACTCCAACCTTAATGATTATTCTAACAACAAACTATTCAGAAAACAACCATATATAAGATAAGTTGCAGGGTTGCGGGTTAACTTTGACTGAATAGACAGGATGAAACTCAAATCCTTGGTTGGAACGGCATTGTTCATCTTCATAAGTGAAGGCAAGAATTTACTAATTGCAACAACGAAATATTAACGAATAGAATATTTTCATTACTTGCAAATATGCTTGTAAAAATAAGTACGCACAACGTACATCAAGACAGTGGCATTGAGAATAGATAAGTAAGCATTGTTAATCTATACAAAGTCAAGACAAATTACGTACGCACAACGTACATCAAGACAGTGGCATTGAGAATAGATAAGTAAGCATTGTGAATCTATACAAAGTCAAGACAAATTACGTACGCACAACGTACATCAAGACAGTGGCATTGAGAATAGATAAGTAAGCATTGTGAATTTATACAAAGTCACATTCCTCAAGCCTGTGAATGAGTACGTAAAATTCTGAGGTGCAACTGCTAGATCCAAAATAGTCTCGTGTAAAGTAGCCATTACCACGTCTTCATAGAATTAAGAGAAAACCTTATGGTAACTTTGTGGACGCAACAGTTTTTAAACTTACCCTGAACTCTGTTGATGAGTTAGTAAAAGATTGTATGTGTTTGAAATCGTAAGGTGGATCACCTTTTTCACTCTGAGAAACACTAAATGGTTTTCCAATACTAGTAAAACAGAAATTGACTTTTTATTGGCAATCATTACACACCGATCATTTAGACAGTTACATGTACGTAAAAATGGGTGTTTTATTTTCGTCATGATTGTTATTCTTCATGAATTATATAGTAGACCTCAGTGTTACATACTTACTCTTCAAATTTAACAAATGGTGGGACGACTTTGTCTACAAATGATCCAAAAGCCAATCTATGGTTGCTGGTAAGCTCGTTTAACTTGTCAGCTGAAATATATTAGATTATCTTATATCGCTAATCCTTGATCACGAATCTACTTTTTTGAATCTGTATCGTTTTGAATCTGAATCTGTATCGTTATCCGCACAGTAAGTGTAACATTTCAAGATGTTTAACTTTTTCATAACTTTAACAAAACAAAACATGACTGACAAAAGACTTACAAATGTTAACCGCAAGTCTCTTTACGCTATTTAAATCGTCGTTCATAGAAAGCGATAAATCCATCAAGATGTAGAAGTCAACAGGATAGTCTTTGGAAGGTCTCACAAGAAAATTAAATTTCAAAGGTTCACCTGGTCAAATAAATATATACAGCAATTACAAATAATAATTACTGCTATGAAAAAAAAATGGGACATCCAGCATTGAAAAATTCAAACTTATCCATAAAAACACGCTTAAACCAAAAGGAAAAAAATTTCGAAATCACATGTGAAAAGTCTTCAAATTATATCCGAAAAATATTATCATGAAAAATTCACATGCTATGAAAATATACACAAAAACCTATGCTGAGACTACGAACCAACACGTATTTTTGCTTTAACCAGTCTTGGTGATATCTGATTGTTGTTATTGAGAGTTGAAGCATCAAACTAAATAACACAAAAAAAATTGATTGACACTAGGAATCTAATTCCTAAGGCTAAAACCTTATTTTTTATAATAAATAATGGTGAGATATTGATAAAAGAATAGATCAAGGATGTACTTGTTGTCATTTAAAATAGGGCTGTGCAAACTCCGGTTTTTCAGCTCCGGCCTCTTTTCAAATCTGAACTCTGGCTTCAAACACCGGCTCCAGGCTATTTTACTGATAACTCAAATCACTGGTTGTGGCGAGTTCATTTTGCAAGTCACTGTTCAACAGCTTAAGGTGTATCATATTAGTAAAATTATTTTTAGTAAAATTTTTATATGTAAAGTTAAATTTTCGCACTCCGACTTTGAATCATAAATTAGCATGTGTGAACACAATCTAGCATCATGTTCTCTCATGCATAAAATGCTTTATTTTCATGCAAGTTTTTCAATTTAAGCAGATAGTTATAGTTCGTTGATACAAAAATGTATTGATCAGACACATTTACCAAAGTTTGACAGTATTTTGCAGCACAAACGACTGCTGCCGGAGATTTGCCAAACATGAACAAACTTCGGCTCAGTAAGGCAAAAATAGTTGGAGCTCCGGCCTAACTATGGCCTCCAGTGCACAATGATGCAACAAAAATGGTAAGATGACTAATCAAATAACTTTCATTGATTTACATTTCAATATGTATCATAGACTTGCTTTGTGAAAAACACAAGGGATAAAATATCTACACAAATCAAGTCATAATTACACTCATGTGAAAAAAATCAGATAAAATAGTACTTGGAATAAAAATTTACGGTCAGGGCTAAAATTTCATACAGCACTGTAAAATTTATAAACATTTAATCAACAACAAATACATCCAAACTACAAATGAGGCATTTTATGCAATTTCAGTACATACAAATGTCTATTTGAATGTTTCATTTTTAGTAAATGATCATTAAAAATATCATTGACTTACATTAGGTATCTTATCTGGATTCCCAGTGACAGTCATATTGCATTTTAGTCTTACATGATTCTTTTCTGTATTACAGCGACTACTGGTATAGTTCTAAAGAAAAAATTATTCCATAGCATTATTTTTGTGATTTTATGTATGTACATTTTGTGCAATAAGCATAAAGTTTGGGGCCATTTGATGTTGAACATACCACTTCAGAACACCAAGCGCATCCAACAAGCTGAAGACATTCTGAACATGTATTTCTCTCTTGTCTTTCACAATTACCTGCGATTGATGCACAGATGAGTTTTTTCAAGGATATGTAATCCCCAAATTTTTACACAAAAATTTTGATGAAAATATTTTTAAAATAGAGAGTCGTGCTTTGACTTTCAATGAAAGGCTCTAAATAAAAATATGTAACTTTGAATAATATGTACACTAAGATAGATCCTAGAATGGCAGTTGCCCTCATGTACAGATAGCATGCTAATTTGAAAAAAATACTTTGGTCACATAGATTAGCTTTTTCATCTTATTTATTTGAGTTATTCATCTTTTATGGGCACAAGATGCATTTTGGTAAAACATGAAAAAAAAATGCACAAAAATGAACAATGCAACAGGCATTTAAATAATGACAAAGAAATACCAGGTTATTACAAAGAAATGGAATATGAACAACATTATTCTGATTTACTCAACCCACAGAATTTGAATATGTATTTTCAAATTTGGCAGTGAAGTCTATGATAATTATAGGTTCGTAAATACAACTTGTAGATGATTCAATTAAATTGTTTAATATTGAAAAAACCTATAGTTAAATAAAATATAATTTCTTTTCCATCTGCCAACCAGAAACCCATTGTTGGGATAGCTGTGAAGCTCGAAAAATCTTTTCATTCAACTTAATTAGTTACAGTAAAACATTCCTGTTTTTTTGTCTAAGCAAAATGTCATATAGGCCTGCAAATATATGTCTTTCCCCAAACCTCTTTAGCAATCACCCATAACAAGATGACACAAACTAATACTTGTTTTATAATCATACTATGAGTGTTTGTACTAACTTGACTGTCCATATGTGATGCCAATGAATTGCAAAGTTGCAAACAATAAAAGTGCTCTCATCATAACTTTCTGTATCCTAAATTCAAATAGTTTCATTTAATATAAATACATGTAAGCAATTTATGAGAAATAAATTCAGATATCTGGTGATGAAATTTTATATATTAGTAGTATATAATATTAAAAATAATGCAAATTTATAATTATAATTACAGCATTTGGTGATCAATAAATTCTATTGAAAACACAAACAATGAAAACGAAACAATATAAAAGCATTGATGATTTTTTTAATATTAGGCTGCAATAAATATTTCTTTCATTTTCTAAAGTAGTGTTCAAATAGTGAGTGGAATATTACTACTAAGTGCAATCAATTTTCAAATAGAAGCAAATGACGATTTTTCATGAATATGAACATTATATGTATATCATGAATGTCATTATGTAAATTAAACTAGAATTAACACTATTCCCACTACAAAAAATACTTTTGTACTTAGAAACAACTTTCTTATCAATAATAATATTGGTCATCGAGGAATATGTTGTCAAGAAACGCAAACAATAAAATAATAGCAACACTGCAAATTATTTGTCAAAAATAATTCAAAATTGCTTCATGGCGTGCTGCATAATGAACTTAACTAGGTTGTAGCAGCACAATACAATTTTAAAATGACAAGCTTGACATCAACTTAAGGTCTCTACAACTCGTGAAAGTTTATATTTATGTGAGCAAGATGCCAAACTATAACAGAACGAACAACAGAAGGAGGCAGCCTTCGTCACATCTGTTAATTTTATCAGCATACGTACCGTTATACTTGGCTGAGGCAAAATAAATACCAGTATTAGAGTAGGGATTAGGTATGACATAGTCTGGAGAAATTAGAAATGGTTTATCATCCCACTCAGACCCACTGATGTGAACACAACAAGGAATAGTTATTGTTTGTGATGGCTATCTGATGAATAATAACTTATCTCCTCGAAATTCTTTCGTAAGACTGGTTTTTAACTTAATAAAATGACAAGATATTGTCATACACAGTACTTTCATAATATACCAAACATCACATCTACATTTTTCCTTTTAGCTCGATTGAAAAAGTATCCCTTAGTAGAAAATCATTGACCCATGTTCAGTTTAATCACTTAAACTGACTTCACTGACAATACAACCTATACATATTTCTCACGATCAGCAAAATGACGCCCAAGACAGTGCCTGCCACAAAGACCAACAAGGTTTACTAATAGCATATCATTGTTAGCTGGACAATATATCTCAGCCAATATGCTAGTAAATGTATCGAAGAAAACAGTAGAACAAAAAGGGAGGATATGAAAGCTTTTAAAACGTGTGTTAACTACGATTCCGAATACAAACGAAACAACTTTAAAAATAAATACTCACTTGTACCTGACCCAAGTAACGAAAGATCCCCGATAGATTTATTTCTGGCCTAATATTTTTCTAAAATTAAGCCGTTGACTTATTTTGAAGTTTGTTGATTGACTATGTATATCTTCTGGATATCAATGTGTTAAATATTCTTCTATTTCTGCATAACGTTTAGAAATGACAACACACCCAAACCATATACTTCCGGTATGGCAAAGCGGATGTGAGTAATGGATAATACAATGGCACGAGTTTACTCATGGTTGCGACTCAATACCAAGTCTAAACTCTATACAATATACATGAACGCAATACATCTGCTGATAGAAGTTAAGAGAGTCGACTGCCCTCATAGAAACCTGGTTGTATATATACATCACACTGTAATAGATATATAGGTAAATGTGTAGTAGAAACAGAAAAAAGTATATCACGAAGAACGATCACACTCAAATGCAACGTCGTCCAATGTCGGTTTACGCACTTTGATTTATTTCCCTTTACGTCAGCAAAAGGACATATTTGTTCATACAGACTTGACATGCACAAAACTAAACAAAAACGCCTTTTTTACACTACGGGCCTCGACCCGCATTAAAACCTTTTTATGCTAACATTAATTTTTCAAAAATGAAAAATTCATTTCGACCAGGGTCAAACTCCCATACCACCAAAAAAGTCCGTTTTAAAGTTGTGTCCACTGGTCTATACTCAGCTCATGGATACATCACCCGAGTGAGCCAGGGTTGCCATGGACAAACGTCATTGAAACAAAGTATACTTTCATAGAAACGTTCTCCGTTCTTTTAAATTTTACCATAATTTCTAATTAGCAGCAATTTTAAAAAACACTTGAGAAAAACGACGATTTTTTTGAAAGCAAACATGTTTGGACATTATCAGAATGCCATCTTCAGTGCAGAATGGTTAGTGTTAAGTAATATGATACGTAATATGATATGAATAAATTAATTACAATATGAACATAATAGCCCAACATAATATTCACCATAACAATCATCAATCAGTCAATAGAGAATAAAAAGATCATATCTCATTTGCATTATGATAATCAAATAGAGAAGGATTTATTAATCTCTATTTGATTATTGTGATGGCTTTTTTAAAAGTATTATGTTGGGCTATTATGTTCATATTGAAAATTCGCTTTCCGCCTGGCAAATCTCTGGCCACGATTTTAAATTAATTACAATGATATGATATGAATAAATATGAATAAATATGATATGAATAAATTAATTACAATGAGTAGGTTTATGATTTAGTTACAAAATTATAAAATATTTACAAAAAGGAAAAGAAAAATAAGTATTAAGAACTTATAACAAAAAATATTATTATAAAGTAAATATAGTGTTGTAGTGGTGAACTTGGATATTTAAATCGGGATTAGTTTTATTAATGTGTAGAGCTTCCTTGATTTTGAGTGAGAAAGTGGATTGATCAGTGTCGATGATTTTAAAACAGGAAGGTGAGAATTTGTTTTTACATGAAGGAGAGGCTTGAAGATGTTTGTAGATAGTGGAGTTTTTGTCTGTGTGAGTATGTTCCTTTATCCTGGTAGATAATTGGCGAGAAGTTTCACCAATATAGCGGGAATTACATCCCGCACATGAAAATTGATAAACTACCATAGATTTGGAAAGTTCGGGAAGTGGGTCTTTAAACGAAAATAAAGATTTTATTTTAAAAGGTGTGAAAATAAGTTTAACGTCAATGTCAGTGCAGTAGCGTTTAATGATTTGTGTGAGTTTGCGTTGTGTGTGTCGTGAGTAATCACCTATGTAAGGTAGTTTGAAATAACGTTTATTGTCAGGTTGTTGTATATCGTTAGTGTTAGTTGTGGAGTTAGATGAGTCAGTGCTTTTCTTGTTGTCAAATTGTGTTGTATAGTGTTGTTGATGAAATGAAAAGGAAAAGAATTACGTTGGAGAGTGAATATTAGTTTCTTTAAATCACGTTGAAAGCCGATGTCTGTGTTGTTAAGTTTCCGTGCTCTGTCGGTCAGTGTTCGTATCAGTCCAATTTCAGTGTTCGTATCAGTCCAATTTTGTTCGAACAAAATCAAGGAAGCTCTACACATTAATAAAACTAATCCCGATTTAAATATCCAAGTTCACCACTACAACACTATATTTACTTTATAATAATATTTTTTGTTATAAGTTCTTAATAATTATTTTTCTTTTCCTTTTTGTAAATATTTTATAATTTGTAACTAAATCATAAACCTACTCATTGTAATTAATTTATTCATATCATATTTATTCATATTTATTCATATCATATCATTGTAATTAATTTATTCATATCATATTACGTATCATATTACTTAACACTAACCATACTGCACTGAAGATGGCATTCTGATAATGTCGAAACATGTTTGCTTTCAAAAAAATCGTCGTTTTTCTCAAGTGTCTTTTAAATTTTATTGATTTTTCTCTCTTCTTTCATTGATTTTTCTCATGCGAAAAATCTATGAACTTAAAACAAAACAGGGAACATTTATTCTATCATTCTGTCTACAGTCTACACCTGGTTACACTTAATCAAATAATTTCAAGGAATATCTGTGGCGAAAAATTGCGAACTACAAATGTATACGCAAAAAGATTATTATATTTTGTGTTTATCATTTCACACATGGCAAAATGATGCTTAACTATTTACAATCATATCCATCAACGTTCTCTACCACATCTACTAAGGAATAATTCAACATCCACAGCCATGAATTCTTAAGAGGTTTCCATTTTAAGAGTAAGAATTCGCTTTGTGTTTTGGAAGAAATTGAAAATCAGACGGAACGGGTCCAAGGAACATTTCACTGTAACAAAAGATAAAAAACACAATTATTGAAAGTCTAAATAAAGACAGTTGAATTAATATTTTATCAGTATTTGATCTTTATTTACATATCATAAAAAAATGAAAAAGAAGTTCTCCTCTTTTTCTAACGCGCTTGATTTTCAACCAATATTTTTACATTTAGCAAACGATATAATTCGCACTCGCCAGTCTGCTTCACATCCCTCCCTTTACACCACACCTCTCCCTTCGCTTCACAACAATTATGTATAAATGTGAGCGAAAGGTATCCAAACATGAATAATTGATGAACTTTTAGAAAAATGGGAATTGAAAAAGGAAAACGGAAAATAATCCAAAATTTTGATGCCTAGCGTTAATGCGCGGTTTGGCTAAATTTCCCGAAGGTTTGTAATCTTTGACAACATGTGCCCCATTTTAACCCATTGTTTTCCAATTGCTTTTCCATTTTGTCATTTTCATGCAAGCTATTTCAAAAGTGTTTCTCGGTCACACAATTCTCAATCAAATAGCTATTACTTGCGAAAATTTCACTATCAGACGATCCATTGGAAGTCCAACTACCTATTCCATCAAAGGATTTTGCAGATTTTGATGCAATAACTTAATTGGGCTACAAATGTTGAGATCATTTTCATACAGTCAATTCCTGATTAAAGTTGAAAAAAATCGTAAAAAAGAAGACCTGTTTACATAATGAGACCCAAGGAAAACAAGAAGATAATATTTACCTTATTTTTACCCAATCTTCACACTTATTGCTCGCGAACAGTGTTTCCAAATCATTTCGTCCAAAATACGGTGGAGGTCTTTCATTGATTTGTTGTGGTAGTCTCTCAAGTAATCCAACGGGAATATATCTACGTTAATAATTTATGTATCGTATTTAAAAACCGGAATTTTCTAACAACCTGTATTTTCTTCATTTAATGAAAAAATACAAAAATTACAAAGGTTAGTAAGGTATTGCACAGGATAAAAAATGTTGAAGCAAAAATAAGCACAGTACTCACACATACAAACTGGAATATTGATCACATGATTATGATTGTTACAATTTCAACTATATTTAAAACGGCGCAGGATATTTTCCCGTGTCTTCAAAAATTCATCAATAATTGCAACGTGAAAATACTCGCCATGATCAATAAACAGGGACCACAGAAGATAATGGGACAGGGATGAGCAATATTAAAATATGTATGTTCTACTTTATTAGTTTCTAATAAAATGAATTTTTATTCCATATTGAAGCATTTAAATATATAAATGTGACCCATCCCCATTATTATCAATCTTCCTCTGTGGTCCCTGATGAATTGCCATTCGCCATACCATACGTTGACAAAAAAATAGATTCGTTTCGATTACTTACGTAATACCTGCGTAAATATGTCAAGCAAATTACTTGCCTGTATAGGAATGATAACCATTCTAAAAGAAAACGCCTGGTCCTTTCAACACCCTACATTACAACAAAATATGACAGTGTGTTTCACAGAGAAGACAGAATGTAAAAATACGTAAATAGCAATTAACACGTAAGAAAAATGAAAAAAATAAGTCTCGCGATTTTACCTCAGTATCAGATCCCCAGTGCTCTAAACCGTAGTTCACGTATTCTTTGACAATATCTAATCGCTCTGTTGAGGATATATCCCAATGTCTAAAGTTTATGTTTGACAAGATAAATGAGATACAAGGCACAAACAACATGCTTACCTAAAAAAATATTCAATGATTTCAAACGAAGAATATAATACAATACCATAAACATATTGTTGTACATATATTGTAGTTTCACACCTTTTTTCTTTAATTTCCGTGAAAATCCACGGTTTTATCAGAGCCCCTCTACAAAAGAAAAAATATACTTAAAACAGTAAAGATTCAAAAAATACAAACAAATCTATAGTTAGCTACCTTGCTATCATGACTCCAGAAACTCCAGTTTCCTGTCTGTGTCGCTCCACATCCACAAATGAAAAAATGTCCCCATTTCCTGTGGATTTAGAAAAAAAACAGTTAAGCTAGTGTACAAAACAATAATCAAATTTTGAAATAATTTTTTTCAATAAGTTTTCATGCAAAAGTAAAACATAGCTACTACATAAAAATTTAAAAGAATCAATGCAATGACCAACCAAACAAAGGCATTGGGGAAGCGGCTTGAGCACACTGATGTATATAATTCCAATCTGCTGACTTAGTATAGCGTTGTTCACGTGATCTACCATGTAACTAAAGCAAAAAAATACTGTAAAAATTTTCTGCGAGATTTCCCTTTTAATTCAAGTTTAATTATACTAAAGGCTTTAGTATCATTACAACATTATTTTTAAAAAATGTCTTTGCTTTAGCTTTTAATGGAAAGTGAAAACCTAGTTATTTTTTACCAATCTTTAAAGAAGAGAAAGCTATCAGTATTCAATAATAATATATGTGTTGAAAAATAAAATATTTATTCAATGATAAACTTTGGAGAAATACATACAGTCACAAGGGAGGCTCCCCAATTTCTGATTTTAGGAATAAGTTGAAGAGCATTCCACTTTTTATCATGAACGCCTGTTCTCATTTTTACAGTAAGAGGAATATCCAAGACCTAAAAATTTCACACAATCGAAAACAATTTCACAAAATACTTACAGAAAACAACATACATGCACTAAAATATTGTTCAAATAGTGAGAGAAAGATTAGTACTAAGTGCAAACCATTTTTAAACAATAGAAGCAAATTTTGAGGAAGATCATGAGGTTAAACATAGTAAAATTAAATCATTACGTGGTTCATTGCACAAACGATTTCTCTAAAGCGTCTTGATCTTTCCATCAAAGCAGAACCCGCTCCCTACAGAATAATTTTATTTGATATTTTAAAAGTAAACAAAACTATACACTATATACACGTAAGCACTGGTAGAATTTTTATGAAGAAAACTTATAATTATCCTCACTACTGCATAGCTAAAATTAACGATTTCAAAGCTATAAAGCAAGAAGATTGGACATCAAATGTTTTAAAAGAAAAGTAATTTACGGGATACAAATGCAACACAACACTTCTGGTCATGTATTGAAAACAATTCCTATTCTATGATATATGATTATCAGAACAATAAATGAATGAAAAGCAAATCCTCACGTTTATCAACAAATTGTTTACCTTATTAAAGACCAGATCGATGGGACATCCAACATTAACATCAATAAAATCAATTTCAGCCTGATCTTGCAATAGTTCGGCGCATTTACTCATAGTATCGGGAAAGCTTCCACAAAGCTGAAGAAAAGCACGGATCAAAGTTAAATAAATATAGAATATAGCTAGAGCTTGTTATGTTCCTGGTCCAAGTGTTAATGGAAAAGCACGCAGACGAAAATAAGTAGATTGTATATGACATGTATAGGTCTTTTTCAATACATTAAGTTAAAAAACATAAACCTTACCTGGACACCAAATATATCTTCACATGAGTGGCGCTTTATTAAGGCCCACTCGGAAAGCGTACCCTAAAAACAGACCAGTTATCTTCTATGCATTAAGTACAACCAGAAACTAATTATTGCAATGAACAATTTTTCTATCAAAACCGGTGATTTCAGAAGTTTGAAAAAATTCATACAACATAAGCAATTCATATAATTTTCCCGCCTGCGAATGGTTGTATAATGATTGGCTCTTAGATTACTTCTTTGTCTTACTAACCAATCAGGAGCACAGTTTTCAAAAATAAATTGCACTGCATTTCTTTTTTTTTGCACTGTGTTTCCTATTTTTGCACTGGTATCTACGATAAATTAGACTCCTCCAAACCAATCAAAATTGAGAAATTTTTTCATGTATATTATTACTTGCTAAAACGTGATTTGGTCATATTTGTCAATGATATGCACTGTTTTTTGTTTATTTTTATGTTAGTGACGGCATTAATACATCTTATAAAGTGTTAATGAAAGAATGATTTTACCGACCTACATAGAAATAGAAATACAAAAATTCATTATTCAAAATTATGGTCTGTTGATATAACAAACAGCCAAGAACTTCTAAAACCAAAGAAATCCAACACTTCACCAAAGTTGCACTTCTATGCAAACAAACTGCATGCACCACGCTGTGGATCCAACACTGATTTAAGTAAATACAATAACATACAACTTATTGAATATGTACAGCAAGTTTACATATATACCTATGCATATGGAGAAAAAATAACTGAATAATCTGGACAACAAAAAAATAAATAAGTGAATAAAACAAAATGTGTACCAGTTAAACGTACTTCACACATATGTACAATATACATAATCACAAACCTGAAGAAGTTTGGTACACATAGCCATTTCACCACATGTAACATCTGCTCCATGAGATTTGCATAATCTTCTGAATGGTAAATTACCAACCTGTCATACCACAAATATTGAAAAATAGCCATCATTCACAGAATTGAATGTACAAGATGTTAAGTACAACCATAAGATGCCCATGACATTGATGATACCAAATGGAATTTGTCAATGAAATATGTCATTTCTCTTAATCAAAGGTATGAATTAACAATTTGCACAAAAAAGTCATGTTATATTCATAATGTACTTAAAAATTCATAATATACATTGTCAGGTGATAATGCATATAAAAAAATGATTTTTCATGATGTCACTTAATTGAACATGACAACTTAGCACTTGGACACTAGCCAACATGAAAAAATAAATTGCTAAAAATGGGGTTTGTCGAGGACCAATCTGCAATATTTATGTACCGTATAATTTATAATAATAATGTACCGGTAAAAAATTTATAAAGGATCAGCCACTTACTGTTGTAAGAGGAGCCAAATATAACTTGCCAGAGAAATCAATCTAAATTATCAATAACAAAATATCAATAAATAGTTTTATTGACAAAATAAATGAACTCTATGACTGGAAGATAAGACATTGCAGTGTAGAGCTCAACATTTATAGAAATTTAAAAAACCTACAGTCAGTGATGACCTATCCAACAATGACATATTTCTTTAATTTTGACAACGTATATGCTCTATAATGGTTGTTCACTCCAGCATCTCAAGGAAACATCTGCATGTTCAATCAGCCACTAATTGAACATGCAAGAATTCACTTGAGAATTTACCTTCTTCTTTTCTGCAGGCTTCATACGTATCACATTCTCATTTGTGAAAGCTCCCAAAGTCTGTACAGTTTGATCTTTATCTTGAGATTGTACATTTGATTCTTTTATCTGTTTCATGTAATCATCAGATTTGGGAAATAAAAATTGTTTTTTCCTTAGTTTAACTTGCAAAGATTTACTTAAAATATTCATGATTTGATCATTGTATGATCCATTGCAACATTCTCTTGTAACATTTATAAAATCCTCAGTGAGATGCTGTTTGCCAAATCTACATGTAATGCTGTAAGGACAATTTCCATACAGCTCAAAGTTTCTGCACTTTCCAGGAATATCTGGCTGACGATGTTTTATTAAGATCTGTAAGTCATGAGAATAGTAGCATTTATCTCCAAATTTACACTTGCCATCTAAAAACTGCAAGCAAATCTTATCTTTTGCCAAGGGATTAGGATTCCTTGGTCTTTTCTTGTTCATGCCCCTTTGGCGTTTCTTGTGGGGTGGTTCATCCTCATTTTCATTCACAATTTCATTGCTTGCTTGAGTTGCATTTGTCAATAAATCATCTTTTTCAACAACCTCTTCGCATTTAAAAAGTTGATAAGGAAGTAGATACCTAAAAAGACGATGTACTCAAAAGTCAGTATTTTGTATTATTCTTTATGCCATGTGAGAAACTTTAGGATGGGATATTACAAACTTACAATCGGTCTCACTTACTGTGCCTTAATAGCAGCTTCTCCTCGGCGATATGGTATTTGATGATCACAAGTTTGTGAGGTGGAGTTACTTTTATCACTTTCGTCCGAATCAAAGGAACGAGTTGCCACAGACTGTATCGGAGATTCATTGGCAGCCATTAACAAAAGCAATAAGTGAATTTATTATACAACAATGTATCTTAGCTTACTGGTTTACATAATCTACCATCAACCATGGTACAAATGGCACAAAGTTTGTAAACTTTAAACGTTCTGTCAGGTGGATTTCTCAAGAGGAGTCATGGTCAGTGAGGGAAGCTGAAGACTGTCGTGCAGACTGTCCAGTACTGACCTGCACTGACCTAAATATCTATGAAATCCTGGAATAAGCCCTCAATTGATTCTGTATGACTCTAGATACAATCTAATAATTATCGGTTACTCTCGGTAATTAATTAACCTCTTTTACTATACTATACAACTATTACAACTAGTGTACCTAATATCCTCTTTTTCAAAATAATAAATAATTACAATAAGTGTTGTAGCCATCCCCGCAAATTTTGTTTCTGCTTTGTAAATGTCAGAGAATAATCATTTTTCATTTTTATGAAATCTTTTGTTTTTGCAATTTGTGAACGCAGAAAAACTTGCACAGCAGGAGAAAATTTCCAGCTAAGTCACTGATTGGTGATTACTATAAAAAAGTTTTTTGAAGTCATTTTGTTTCACACAAAGGCATGGACGTAGGAAGATCGATGATAAACGGGGGCAATGCAACTTTAGTGGCAGACTAATTACGGGGCCTATTTGTTGGACTTTAATTCGAATTGAACAAAATTTACTATGAACAAAATTTCTTTTTTATGAATTTAGAGAGACATTCATTTTTTTCATCCTTGCTAACTATAACTATCGTGTTTTATCTCAAATTAAGAAATAAAAGTTGTTTACTGTGTTTGTACAGTCTTTTGCAAGCCGAGGAGATCTTTGGGAGAACTCGACAACAATCAGAGCTCAAGTGATTCATACCTTAATCCGAGGCAAATACAGTGATGTTTTTAAATATGTATGTTTTAACTTATAGTTTCTGGTGACACTTCACAAGTTATAATATCATATTTGGAAAACTTTCTCAGAATGAAATTTTGCTTTATACTTACCGTGACATGATTCAGTTAGCACAAAATAAGATTCCTTATTGAATCGTTTTGGTTGAATTGATGAGAGTTTCATTCAACAGATAAATGGTTTGGAAATTCGGTGAGATAATTTTTGTCCAAAAGTCTACGTAAAGAGCACTGACGTGCTGGTAAGTAAGTGTTTTCCTATGTTGCGTGTTTGACAAACTACTGCGATATCTTCAAAATACATCAGTTGGGAAGAAGATATTTCATATTTTTTGTTTTTCTCTGTATCCATTTGGACGAGTCTAATTCATAAGTAGAGTAAAAGCAGTACTGACGGAAAGCTTACAGTTGGTGGAAAATCATGCAGGAACAACTTTTTATGAATGATATCAAGTAATAGAAAATTGTGCTGAAATAGTTTAATAATATATTGCAATAAAATAATAAATATAATTTACAATAAGAAATACATATATGGTAAATGAAAACATTGAAAATGCTTTCAATAGTTTTTAAATTGCTCTATAAGTGACTTTATTACTTCTTATTAGATTTATCTAAGTACATGCATCAACACTATTATACCGTAGTGAACCCGAACAATATGAAGAAAATAAACTTTGTTTTGCATGCATAAATAAAAGATTATAATTCCCGTATGTCAATGAAATAAAATTCCGCGTGCAAAATGATCTTTACTTTCTAAATGTAACATAGTTTTAGAAAAAGTTATCAAATGTTAACGATGCCGTTTCCTCTTTCACCATGAACTTACTTTCCATTTTCTTTATTCATGTATCGTTTCCTTGGCCTTTCCTTCATTTCCGTTTTCATTTTTCTCGTCGTGGATGGAAGTGATAACTCTTGTACGAGTAAATGTAGGGGCTCGCAGGGGAAATGGGGTGAAATAGATGTTGTGAAGAGGTGGGAAAACCGGGTATGTTGGTTGTGTTGGATGCCTTTGATAGAGGTGCGGGTTGTTAAAAGAACGGGTATTGGTGTGTGGAAAGATTCTTGATGGTTGTGGAATTAATGCAGCATCTTTCATTAGAACGTCGATGTACTTGATGGTATACATGAGGTCGCCATTGTTACGTTGAAGGAACATTTCGAGTCTATCAGGAAAAATGTTTGGAAATATTTTTACGAGCAGCTGGATATTTGAGGGAATTGGTTTTGAATTTTGTCCATTTTGGATGATTTTGGATTGTAAATCAGCTACAACTTCGTGAGTGGATTGGCTGTAAGAAGATTGTCTTTTTCCATTTTGTTTTGGCATTTTTTCTTTTTTATCAACACGTGACTCTTGCAATTCGTCTATAAAAGACAAAATCACAAATTGATAATTAAATTTTGTGTCACGTGATTGTTTGTTTTACGCATCCGAATTTTGTCAAACACGTAGGCATATGATATTAACCTTACACCTAGTGACAAAATTTCACAAAGTTAACACATTCAATTTCATACATTGATACAGATAGATAATATTGAGAAGACAATAATGTTCAACTATAGTTTTGTTCTCACTATCCTCTCAATAACCTTTTGATAGGACCTTAATCAACTTATTGCCGTTGATTTTTGCAAGTTGCGATTAAATGAGAGGTTTAATCTTCGAGCCTTGAGTCATTGCAAGTATCGAATATTTCATTGTATTCATTAGCCAGGCCAGACTCGCCTGATATTATCGGTACTCATAAAAATACAAGCTAAACATTTTCTATACCAGAGCACTTTTGTAGCCGAGCACTTTAAAAGTGGCAAAAAAAAACTCAAAATGGAAAATTAGATAAAAAAAGGTTTAAAACACCAATCTTATGAAACGTTTAGAGGAATAAAATCGAGACTATAACTTTTAAACTTTATATGATCTCAGGAAGCAGATATTAGTCATAAGTAAAACGTTTACGCTTTAGAAATTGACCTATTGTTCATAAAAGGCTTATAACAAAGAAGATTTTCGCGTCTAGTAATCCTGACTGTGAACAGCAGTTTATGAACAATAGCGGTTTATACGATTGCTGAGATAGTATTGTCATTAACTGTTTTCATTCAACACATACATTTCTTGATGTTTATCTTGAGAAATTCATAATCAATAACTTTGTTATAAACGTATTTTAATTTCAAATTAGTGGTTATAATATTTTTGCTCAAAACTGAAGCCCGGTTTGGTTATGTTGTATAATGAAACATATTCCAACGTAATAGTCATCTGGAAAAATCATGCATTAGAGCTCTTAGTATTTATAGAAACATACATGAAAACGTAGTTCTACGACTGGTGATATTCTGACTCCATTTCAAAAGCGACATTTCATACAGTGTTTACAGTGCACAGTGTTTAAGATAAAATTGAGTAAAAGTTGTTAAAATAACTATATTTTCTTTGCCAACGTCAAAAGTGTTAAATAAGAAAAATCAAATTTATCAACTTTATATTGTTTCAGTTCTTTGTTTGATAGCGTGGTCTTGTAGAAACATATAAATGTAAACGTATCTTCGTTCAGTAAATAATTTCATTAACTTACGCTCTAGGCACTTTTTGGTGTTAAACCTGTACAATCTAGGTTTCTACAATTGGAAAATGTTATACATATTTGGCGCAAAATTAAAACCCAAACTATACGTTGCGCAAAATCATAAGTGACCATATAATGTGAACACATAATTATATAATTTTTAATCGGTTAGAATAACACTCCCATGCAAAAGCATTCTGGTAAAGTATAAGCCCGTCTGAATTATGTAGACCGAAACGGTGGCCGAAACGTTGTTAAAACGATTCTTGCTATCCAAACTTGAAGAAATAATATGAAAATAGTGATTCAGTTCATTTGTATTAGTTCCCAATGCCAAAGAGCTTGCCATGGCCAAACAAACATTTGTAATGTATTGACTCAATGCAAGAAGTGGTAAATGTTGCTGTCTTTTCAGCATGTGAATTTTTCCTCACAATGCCACGCACACAGAATGATTCAACGCAAACATTTCTCCGACGGGCGCGATGTTTCTACCACGCGGTAAACGAAAATAGATACTAAAAGTGCTATTTATTGGCGAAGTGATGGTTGTCGTAACACTGAAAATATTTTTAGTTTTACTCATTTCAAAATGATAAAAGTTCTATAGAAATGAAGAATGGTAATTTTCTATAGCGCTGGCATTTGTTCAGAACAGGTTACGTCAATGACAGAAAGAACAACGTAAATAACTTTCGTTACTAATGCTTCTGACACATGTTTCATTTTTCTAGACGATAATGCCATTCAAGTGAATCAGATCATTTTTCACACAAATAGTTTTTGAAAGATTTTGTTTATCGTAGTGATGTGTGAAAAAACAGTTTGTAGCTAAGATGGCTTTAGTAAAATTGAACATAAGAAAATAAAACTTGTTTAGTTGGACGAAATGATTTTTATTATTTCACCAAACAAACATCGCATATAGTGCAGGAATTATTGGGAGAATCAAATATTGTATCAGTTAAACATTGAACAAGAAAGTATAGATTGTTGTAAAACATACCATCTGATTCGAATAAGCGTTTGCTTTCTCTATATATTGCTATTCTTGCAGCCGTCTGACGTCTTTCTTCTTCAGTATTCTTACATAAATTGCACTGGCAATCTTTATAAACACAGTCTTGTTTATGTCCTTTAACATTAACGGATATTCCGTGATTTCGGCATCTCCTACATTTGGGAGGACTCCTTCTCTTGCTTCTGACTTTGCTCTGACTTTTTGGCATTTTTTTGTAATAAAACCTCGATAAGCCTCTAGCGCGTCACGATAAAGAATGACTACAAACGAACAAATCAAAACTAAAGAATGATATGCAAATAGTGTAAGTACGATGACGTATTGGCGTCAGCAGCATTTCATTGTCTATTTCATTGGCTAATGCATTGTCTATATCGCTAAAATTAGCATATTATTCATGATAAAATTAATGCTGGTTAATGTGTCAAATTACTTACACCATGACAGAAGAGAAAAGTAAACCACCCTATCACCAGGTGAGAGGAGAATAATCAGAAGATATTAAAGATAACATTGGTGATATAAAGAAAATGGCTTATACATGAAACATTTTTCCACTAACGAAAATGACTTTGTGACACCCCATGTCTTCTTTATTGACTAAAATAAAACTGCACTGTATTCAAAAGTAAGAATTGTAATGGATAAATCATAGTCGGTTTTAAATTCAGTCTTGCACAGGTGGTAAGTCGTTGCTAAAAAAAGAAAGTAAAAAGGAAGTTATTTACATTAATGAGACAAACATTGTTCCGTTGAATGGACATAGTTAACCTGCTATGCGTGCGCTTAAATAGCACACGAATGACAAATACTATACCACAATTTCTTGCTTAAGTGGCTCAAAACAAGTTCACTCTTAAGCTTAATAAAGCTAAATGTAATATATCATATTGATGAACTTCATTTCATGATATTTTGGTGTTTTTTGTAGTCTAAGTAGAATCATAATATGTTGTTCCGGTTTTGTGTGGATATAGTTACAAAAGTCATCGCACCTCTTTTTCCTCTTGCTATTTTCTGTCCAAGGCAAGAGGAAATGTTTTCTTATTCGCGCTCTTTGTCTTGGAGTAAATGTTTGATGGCTCATATCCACTAAAGAAGACCTAATGAACGTTGTTTGTAGACTAAATACATAAAGAATTGCGAAGTGTAGCCTAAATTTAAAAGAATGCTATTGTGCTATAATTTATTTGAGTAAAATCTGTTATCTTTAACAAAAACTAAGCTGCATGGCCTCTAAATTTGCATAGAATTCTTAATATCCGAAACTATCTTTATTATCATTTCTTTCTTTATAAAATGACTTATTTTACTATAGGCGTACACAAATATTTGGATTACAGAGCCTGTGGTAGGACGTACTAATCAAAAGCTGTATTCATGTTATACTCCGGCGTTTTGTAGACAAAATGTAGCATACATGTATTACTTCATTTACATTAAATTTCCTTAAATTAGTACTATATTTCGTACTGTGGTCTTTACGGACTATTATAATTTATCGCATATTATATGATTGTTATTATAGATATAAGTAACTAAAAAACAAGAAATCTTTTAAAGGATCTTATATAATCTCATTGGAAACTTTTCCGTTCTGTGAACACTTTGTAAAAACATGATGGCATATCTCACTGAAAATATTATTTAAAAAATTTTGTAGCAAGTTTTAGGGTGGAGAGCAAAGACGATTTTTTTACTTACATGCATGGAATACAAGACATGTTGTACAAATTTCCTTGCTGTAGTATGATAGAATGGATCTTAACAATTATCAAATGTATTATACAAAGTTTTTAATTGCATAAAGTTGTAATACAAATAGGAAGTCATTTATGCTGAAAAATTTCAAGTATGTGTCACTTTTGTTTACTCTGCATGTATCTTTCTGCGTTATATCAAATTATTTGTTATGACATTGCCATGACAACTGCATGTACAATCTGGTGCTTGCAAATTTTAGTGCTTTTGGTCACCTACATTAGAAATTGGTAATTTGATAAGCAGCAGAGAAAGCCTTCATGCTAACAAATCATTTTTGAACTTGAAATAAAAAGACCAAAAACATGAGTGATTTGAAAAAGAAAAGTCTAAGACTGTAATAAAGTCTTTGTCATTTTATAAGATATCAGCCCATTTAAAGCTCTGCAAATTCAGCGCTGATTACAAAGGAAAAATGTAAAATTTTTTTTAAGAGCAAGGTGTCATTATCGGTTTAATATATCGCTCATATCAGCAATATAAACAATGATAAAATAACACAATTTCTTTGATTAAGTGGTGTATAAACTATCCACCTGAAACGAATTTTGTATTTGGTTAAGTTCTGTGCAATACAGCTGATGAAATCTGCTACTTTTAATAAGCGTAAAGAAAAATCTGTTCTGGAAATAATTTGACAAATGTCTGAAATTTGAGAAACATTTAATATAATGATACTGTAACAATACAAAACTGCGTAGGCAATTCTTTTTAAAAAGATATCTCTGTATAACTGAACTTTATGGTAAATTAAAAGATACATAAATATATGTGAAATCATTGTTTTGTTTATTGAAAATTACTCAAAGTGAACAAACGAAACGTTATGAGATTAGAAAGAAAATTTGGAGCTCACATAAAAGCGCATAATGTACTTTGCTTTATTGCGGCCTAAATTGACATTAAAATCAAAATGTGGTCTTTATTAGTAGCTGAAGATATAGTATCATTTAGAAGCCAATGATTGTCTAAAGCATTTTAGAGGTTCAGGCTTTCCGCTTAAATGAGGAAGTGGAGAATCCCCGCTGAACTTACAAAACACCTTAATCGATGTAATCGATGTTCTTTATTATATATTTTGGCGAAACATTATATTTTTCAGACATGCCTGTAATCGAGGCATTGGCAAATTGCTTTATATTTACATCGAAGATTTATTTTTTTATATAATATTGGGGGTAACAAACTAACAACATGTCGGCAAATATGAAATGACAAGGATGGGGATAAAACGTCAAGAGTAAGAGTAAAGTGATGAGGGTCAAGGGTAATACGTCAAGTGAACGATAGTTGAATCTTTTAAATTATAGCCATGTATAGCTAGTAGACAACACCACTTAACTTTTCCACACATCTTCATGAAATTAAGAAGTTCAGTTAACTTACTTTTTTATCTCACTATAGATTACAGTATCAAAGACATAAGTCGGCAGAATGTGACATATCACAAAAAGAACAGCTTGTATTCCTGCAATGTCAATAAGCACCTTGTCTAGAATTTAGAGTGGTCTGACAGTGCAACTAATGAGTATTGCAAAAACATAAACAATGTTGAAGCAAAAATAAACATTGTAGTTTCACATGTAAACAGGAATATTGATCACATGATTATGATTGTTAGAATTAAATTTTTAATCATAACGGGGCAGGATATTTTCTCGTGTCATCAAAAATTCATCAATAATTGTTACGTAAAAATACTCGCTATGATTAATAAACAAATATATATGTTCTACTTGATTAGTTCCCAATAAAATGAATTTATATAAATATATAAATGTGACCCTGTCCCCATTATTATCGATCTTCTTCTTTGGTCCCTTATGAATTGCCATTCGCCATACCATACGTTGATAAAAAATTAGATTCGTTTCGATTACTTACGTAATACCTGCGTAAGAATGTCAAGCAAATTACTTGCCTGTATAGGAATGATAACCATTCTTAAAGAAAACGCCTTGTCCTTTCAACACCCTAAATTACAACAAAATATGACAGTGTGTTTCTCACAGAAGACAGAAGCGATTAACACGTAAGGCAAAATGGAAAAATAAGTCTTGTGATTTTACCTCGGAAAATACGTAAATAGCAATTAACACGTAAAGAAAATTGGAAAAATAAGTCTTGTGATTTTACCTCGGTATCAGATCCCCAGTGCTCTAAACCGTAGTTCACGTACTCTTCAACAATATCTAATCGCTCTGTAGAGGATATACCCCAACTTCTAAAGTTTATGTTTGACAAGATAAATGAGATACAAGGCACAAACAACATGGCTCATCTAAAAAAAAATATTCAATGATTTCAAAGGAAGAATATAATACAATACCATAAACATATTGTTGTACAAATATTGTTGTTTCACTTCTTCTTTTTAATCTCCGTGAAAATCCATGGTTTTATTGGAGAACTTTCTACAAAAGAAAAAAATATACTTAAAATAGTCGAGATTTAAACAAATCTACAGTTAGCTACCTTGCTATCATGACACCAGAAACTCCAGTTTTCTATCTGTGTCGCTCCACATCTTCGAATGAAGAAATATCACCATTTCCTGTGGATTCATACCGTTTGGAAAAAAACAGTTAAGTTAGTGTAGAAAACAATAATCAAATTTTGAAACACTTTTTTTTAATAGGTTTTCATGCAAATGTAAAACTTAGCTACTACCTAAAAATTTAAAAGAATCAATGCAATGACCAACCAAACAAAGGCATTGGGGAAGCGGCTTGAGCACACTGATGTATATAATTCCAATATGCTGACTTAGTATAGCGTTGTTCACGTGATCTACTATGTGTTAAAAAATATATATTTGTTTAATGATAATTTTTGGACAAAAACGTACAGTTACAAAGGAAGCTCCCCAACTTCCACTTTTTATCATGAACGCCTGTTCTCATTTTTAAAGCAAGAGGAATATCCAAGACCTAAAAATTTCACATAATCAAAAACAACTTCACAAAATACTTACAGAAAACAACATGCATGCACTAAAATATTGTTGAAATAGTGAGAGAAAGATTATTACTAAGTGCAATCCATTTTTAAACAATAGAAGCAAATGATGATTTTTGTAAATAAACTTAATCTCACTTTACGTGCTTTGAGGAAGATCATGAAGTTAAACATAATAAAATCAAGTTTAAATCATTACGTGATTCATTGCACAAACGTATTCAAACTCGTAGACATGATACATACATGATTGGTGATTTGTAATTGTCTTATTTAGGACTTTACTGTATGACATGATTCAGTTAGCACAAAATAAGATTCATTATTGAATCGTTTTGGTTATATTGATGAGAGTTTCATTCAACAGAAAAATGGTTCGGAATTTGGATGAGATAATTTTTGTCCAAAACTCTACATAAAGGCCGCTGACGTGTTGGTAAGTAAGTGTTTTCATATGTTGCTGTTTGACTGCGATATGTTCAAAATACATCAGTTGGGAAAAAGATATTTCATATTTTGTGTTCTTCTCTGTATCCATTTGGACGAGTATAATTCATAAGTAGAGTAAAAGCAGTACTGAAGGAATGCTTACAGTTGGTGGAAAATCATGCAGGAACAAGTCTGTTTACGTTTCTCTCACTTTTCTCTCACTTTTTATGACTGACATGAACAAATGGAAAATTGTGCTGAAATAGTTTGATAATATATTGCAATAAAATAATAAATAAAATTTACAATAAGAAATAAATATATGGTAAATAAAAACATTGAAAATGTTTTCAATAGTTTTTAAATTGCTCTATAAGTGACTTATTATTTGTTATTAGTTTTATCTAAGTACTTCTATTAACACGATTATACCGTAGAGAATCTAAACTATATCGAAAAAATAAACTTTTGTTTTCCAAGCATAAATAAGTGTAATTCCGGTATATAAATAAAATAAATTTTGCGTGCAAAATAATCTTTATTTTCGAAATGTAATATAGTCTTAGACATAATTATTAAATGTCAACTATGCCGTTTCCTGCTTCACCGTGAACTTCCATTTTCATTATTCATGTATCGCTTCCTTCGCCTTTCCTTCATTTCCATTTTTATTTTTTTCGTCGTGGATGGAAGTGATAACTCTAGGGGCTCGTGATAACTCTAGGGGCACGAGTAAATGTAGGGGCTCGCAGGGGAAGTGGGATGAAATAGGTGTTGTGAAAAGGTGGGAAAATTTGGTATGTTGGTTGTGTTGGATGCCTTTGATGGTGGTGCGGGTTGTTGAAAAAACTGGTATTGGTGAGTGGAGAGCTTCTTGATGGTTGTGGAAGTAATGCAACATCTTTCATTAGACCTTTGATGTACTTGATGGTGTACATGAGGTCGCCCTTGTTACGTCTAAGGTACATTTCGAGTCTATCAGGAAAAATGTTGGGGAATATTTTTACGAGCAGCTGGATACTTGACGGAATTGGTTTTGGATTTTGTCCATTTTGGATGATTTTGGATTGCAAATGAGCTATAACTTCTTGGGTGGATTGGCTATTAGAAGATGGCCCTTTTCCCTTTTGTTTTGGCATTTTTCCTTTTTTTTCAACGTGTGGCTCCTGCAATTCATCTATAAAAGGTAAAATCACAAACTGCAAATTAAGTTTTGTGTCACGTGATTGTTTGTTTTACGCATCCCAATTTTGTCGAACACGCAGGCATATGCTAACAGTCTTACACGTAGTGACAAAATTTCCAAAAGTTAACACAATCAATTTCTACATTGATACAGATAGATAATATTGAGAAGACAATAATGTTCAACTATAAATTTGTTCCAACTATCTTGTCAATAACCTTTTCATAAGACCTTAATTAACTTAATCCGTTGATTTTGTGCCAATTACGAATAAATGAGAGGTTTAATCATTGAGCGTTGAGTCATTGCAAGTATCGAATTTTTCGTTGTATTCATTAGCCAGGCCAGACTCGCCTGAATTATCGTTAATCATAAAAATACAAGCCAAACATTTTCTATACCAGAGCACTTTTGTAGCCGAGCACTTTAACAGTGGCAAAAAAATTCAAAATGAAAAATTAGTTAAAAGAAAGTTTAAAAAACCAATCTTATGAAACATTTTAAAGAATAAAATCTAGACTATCATTGTTAAAACTTTATATGAACTCAGGAAGCATATATTTTTCATAATTATAGTCAATTTTGCCATAGCCCATTGTTCTAAAATACATAAAACGCTGCCTAAAGGAAATAACAGAAGCCAGATCTTACACCATTACATGCCGTTGCATGTGTAGTTCTTCGAGATTCTCTCAAAAATTGATTGACTACAAACTAGGCTGTTGCAGTTTTTCGAAATATCGATAAATATCGTTTTTTTTAATATCGGTTCATAGCTATTGGTTTTCTCGGTATATCAAAATATCAATATACCGAAAATATCGAAAAAAATACCAAAATACACGGCGCTACGATATATTTAGATATTATAAACAGTTTTTAGGGGATTGGTATTTTGGTATGAGTAGTGCTAGTGAGGAACTGTAATACTTAGCTAGATTATAACTGTATGCTTTAATTGATGATACTATTAAATGGTTTTGTATATCATTAGACAATTTTGACTCAATCACACGTGCGCAGCAATTGTTGGCTAAGTTTCAATTTGATCTACCTATATGCGTCATCACCAACAATACTACAAATAACAACAAAAATATCGGAAAAAAACGTATATCGATAAATATCGATATTTTTTTGATATATACCGCAACAGCCTTACATACGCTTGTCTTGGTGTGATTTCGCTTGAAAAAATTATTAGACTTTTCAATTACAGGTAGCGTTTTATGTATTTTAGTTCAATGGTTTTGCCTTTTTTTAAGATGGCGGCTTGCCTCACACGTAACTATAGAATTTTGCAGAGTCAAATATGTAGTAGTTTGGGTTTTACATTCTTTTCTTCAATGCCCTAGTCCTGTTTAAGATATACCTTACCAAAAAAGTTAACGCTATTGAAATCGACCTTTTGTTCATAACAAAGAAGATTTTCTCGTCTAGTAATCATGACTGTGAACGGCAGTTTATGAATAATAGCGCTTTATGCGATTGCTGGCACAGTATTGTCATTAACTATTTTCATTCAACACATGCATTTCTTGATGTTTATCTTCAGAAATTCATAATCAATAACTTTGTTATAAACGTACTTTAATTTTCAAATTAGAGGTTATAATATTTTTGCTCAAACTGAAGCCCGGTTTGGTTATGTTGTATAATGAAACATATTCCAACATAAAAAGTCATTAAGAAAACTCATGCATTAGAGCTCTTAGTATTTATACAAACATACATGAAAACGTAGTTCTACAACTGGTGATATTCTGACTCCATTTCAAAACCCACATTTCATACAGTGTTTGCAGTGCACAGTGTTTAAGACTAAATTGAGTAAAAGTTGTTAAAATAAATATGACATTTTCTTTGCCAACGTTAAAATTGTCAAACAAGAAAATTTGTCATCAACTTTAAATTGTTTCAGTTCTTTGTTTGAGAGCGTGGTCTCGTAGAAACATATAAATGTAAACCTATCTTCGTTCAGTAAATAATTTCATTAACTTACGCTCTAGGCACTTTTTGGTGTTAAACCCGTACAATCTAGGTTTAATTGCAAAATGTTATACATATTTGGACCCAAAGTATACGTTGCGAAAAATCGTAAGTGATCATATAATGTGAACACATAATTATATAATTTTTAATCGGTTAGAATAACACTCCCATTCAAAAGCATTCAGGTAAAGTATAAACGTGTCTGAATTGTGTAGACCGAAACGGTGGCCTTGTGAAAACGATTCTTGCTATCCAAACTTGAAGAAATAATGTGAAAATAGTGATTCAGTTCATTTGTAATGTATTGACTCAATGCAAGTGGTAAATGTAGCTGTCTTTTCAGCATATTAATTTTTCCCTCCGATGCCACGCACATAGTATGATTCAGCACAAACATTTCTCTGACGAGCGCGAAGTTTCTACCACGCGGTAAATGAAAATTCCAACTAAAAATGCGTCTTGTTGGCGAAGTGGTGGTTGTTGTAACATTGAAAATATTTTTGGTTTTACTCATTTCAAAATGATAAAAGTTCTATAGAAATGAAAAATGGTAATTTCTATAGCGGTGGCATTTGTTCAGAACAGGTTACACCAATGACAGAAAGAACAACGTAAATAACTTTCGTATGATTTTTGAATGAAATATTTCTCACTCTGAAATAAAATCTTTCTCTCGACCCAGGATTAAGTCGTAACTAAGGCTTCTAACACATGTTTCATTATTTTCTACGATAGTGCCATTCAAGTGAGTCTGCTCGTTTTACACAAATAGTTTTTGAAAGATTTTGTCTATCGTAAAGATGTGTGAAAAAACAGTTTGCTAGCTAAGATCACTTTAGAGAAATTGAACATAAGAAAACAAAATTTGTTTTGTTGGACGAAATGATTTTTAATCTTTCACCAAACAAAAATCGCAAATAGTGCAGGAATTATTGGGAAAATCAAATATTGTATTAATTTAACATTAAACAAGAAAGTATAGATTGTTGTAAAACATACCAACTGATTCAAACAAACGTTTGCCTTCTCTGTATATTGCTATTCTTGCAGCCGTCTGACATCTTTCTTCTTTAGTATTCAGACATAAATCACACTGGCAATTTTTATAAGTACAGTCTGGTTTATGTCCTTTAACACTAACGGATATTCCGTGATTGAGGCAATTCCTACATTTGGGAGGACTCCTTCTCTTGATTTTCAGGTCTTTCTTATATCCTGGTTTGCTCTGACTCTTTCGCATTTTTGTAATAAGACCTTGACCAGCTACTAGCGCGTCACAATGAAGAATGACCACAAACGAACAAATCAGAACTTATATAGGATATGCAAATAGCATTATTACGATGACGTCACTAATCCCCATTCAATTCTAATGGCATTGTCTAAATCCCCAACATTAGCATATTCTTCATGATAAAATTAATGCTGTTTGATGTGTTAAATTACTTACACCATTACAGAACAGAAAACTAAACCACTCTATCACCAGGTTAAAGGAGAATAATTAGAAGATCTTAAAGATAACATTGGTGATATAAAGAAAATGGCTTTTATATGAAACACTTTTCAATAACGAGAATGACTTTGTGACACCCTACGTCTTCTTTAATGACTAAAATAAAACTGCACTGTATGCAAAAGTAAGAATTGTAATCGATTAATCATAGTTGGCTTTAAATTCAGTCTTGCACAGGTGCTAAGTCGTTGCTAAAAATGGAAAGTAAAAAGGAAGTTATTTATATTAATGAGCGTAACATGGTTCCGTTGAATGGATGATATATTCAAAAATAATATATTCAAAATCATCGACACTGCCGACACCTTAAAATCAAAGAAGCACTCCACATTAACAAAACTAACCCTGAACTTGATGTTCAAGTTTTTAAATTCAATACAATATTTAGTTTATAATACGCTCGGACGCTCCCCAATAATTTATCTTATTTCCTTTTTATTGTTGTAATTATGTATCATATTACTTTTATATAAACCTTATATCATTTATTATTTCACTTATACTGAAGATGGCATCATGAGATGTTGAAACATGTCTATTTTAAAAAAACTTGTCGTGTATATTAAATGCGGATGATATATTGTTAACTTGCTATGCTTGCGCTTGAATAGTACACATATGACAAGTACTATATCACAATTTGTTGCTTGAGTGGCTCAGAAACAAGTTTGCCCTTAAGCTGAATGTAGCTAAATGTAATATATCAAATTGATGAACTTTATTTTGGCTTATTTCGGTGTTTTTTTTTATATCTTAAGTAGAACCATAATCTGTTGTTACTATAAGCGTACTCAAATATTTGGATTACAGAAGCTGTGGTAGGACGTACTAATCAAAAGCTGTATTCATGTTTATATTCCGGCGTTTCTCACTAAAAGAGGACCTAATGAATGTTGTTTGTAAACTAAATACCTAAAAAATTGAGAATTGTAGCGTATATTTAAAAGAATACTATTGTGCTATAATTTATTTAAATAAAATCTGTTATCTTCAACAAAAACTTAACTGCATGGCCTCAAATTTGCCTAGAGTTTATTAATACCCAAAACTATCTTTATTATCATTTCTTTCTTTATAAAATGACTTAGTTTACGATAGGTGTACACAAATATCTGTATTACAGAACCTGTGGTAGGCCGTACTAATCAAAGGCTGTATTCACGTTTATATTCCGACGTTTTAGAGACAAAATGTGGCATACATGTATTACTTCATTTACATTATATTTCTTTAGTTTTGTACTATATTTCGTACTGTGGTCTGTATGGACTGTTATAATTTATCTCATATTATAAGATTGTCATTGTAGATATAAGTAACTAAAAAACAAGAAATCTTTTAAAGGATGTTATATAATCTCATCGGACACTTTTCCATTCTGTGAACACTTTGCAAAAACATGATGGCATATCTCACTAAAAATATTAATTAAAAAACTTTGTAGCAAGTTTTAGGGTGAAGAGCAGACGATTCTTTTACCTGAATGCATGGAATACAAGCCTGTTGTACAAATTTCCTTGCTGTAGTATGATAGAGTGGATCTTAAAAATTATCAAATGTATTATACAAAGTTTTTCAATTGCATAAAGTTATAATAAAAACAGGAAGTCACTTATGCTGAAAAATTTCAAGTATGTGTCACTTTTGTTTACTCTACACATATCTTTCTGCGTTATGTCAAATTGTTTGTTATGGCATTACCATGACAACTGCATGTACAATCTGGTGCTTGCAAATTTTGGTGCTTTTGGTCACCTACATTAGAAATTGGTAATTTGATAAAGCAGCAGAAAAAGCCTTCATGCTAACAAACAATTTTTGAACTTGAAATAAAAAGACCAAAAAAATGTGTGATTTGAAAAAGAAAAGTCTAAGACTTTAATAAAATCGTTGTCATTTTATAAGATATCAGCCGATTTAAAGCTCTGCAAATTCAGCGATGATTACAAAGAAAAAATGTAAAAATTTGTTTTACAAGCAAGGTGTCATTATCGGTTTAATATATCACTAATATCAGCAATATAAACAATGACAAAATGACACAATTTCTTTGGCTAAGTGGTGTATAAACTATCCACTGGAAACGAATTTGGTATTTGGTTAAGGTGTGTGCAGTACAGCTGATAAAATCTGCTACTTTCAATTAGCGTAGAGAAAAACTGTTCTGGAAATGGTTTAGCAAATGTCTAAAATTTGAGAAACATTTAATATAATGATACTGTAACAATACAAAGCCTCGTAGACAATTCTTTTTAAAAAGATATCTCATATTTATATAGAATTCTATGCTGCTCTAAAATATTGTGGAGACTATATCTCGGTATAATTGAACTTTATGGTAAAATAATAAATACGTAAAATATATGTGAATTCATTGTTTTGTTTATTAAAAATTACTTAAAGTGAACAAACGAAACGTTATGAGTTTAGAAAGAAAATTTGTAGCTTACAGAAAAGCACATAATGTACTTTGCTTCATTGCTGCCTAATTTGACATTAAAATCAAAATGTGTTCTTTATCAGTAGCTGAAGATACAGTAGCATTTAGAAGCCAATGATTGTTTAAAGCATTTTAGAGGTACAGGCTTGCCGCTCAAATGAGGAAGTGGAGAAGTAGCAAACTAAAAATATGTCGGCAAGTGTGAAATGACAAGGGTTGAGGATAACAAGTCAAGAGTAAGAGTAAAGTGATGAGGGTCGATGATATTACATAAAGTATTGGGGTAAAGTGACGAGGTTTGAGGATAATACTTCAAGAATGTGGGTAAAATGACCAAGGTTAAGAATAATACGTCAAGAGTGTAGGTAAATGACGAGGGTTGAGGGTAGTACGTTAAGTGAACGATACTTGAATTTTGTAAATTTTAGCTATGTATAGCTTGTAGATAATACCACTTAACTTTTCCACACATCTTCATGATATTAAGAAGTTCAGTTAATCTTACCCTTTTATCTCACTAGATATAACAGTATCAACGACATAAGTTGGCAGAATGTGACATATAACAAGAAAAACAGCTTGTATTCCTGCGTTGCTAATAAGCCATAGTTCTAAGACAGCTGGAACAGCGGCCCAATAAGATGCAACAAACGGTACGACCCCGGTTACGGCGCCAATCGCTAAATACAAGCAAGATATACATATATAGAAAATATTTGGTAAGAACCAGAGGTTGTATGTAAGAAAACTTACTTCTAAACAGGGGTGGCGCCTGGAATTCCTCGACGGAGGTACGACGGTCCCTGACGGAGGGCTGACTTACTAGGCTGATGTGACATTGCTCTTTCCATGCAAATCTTTTTCTCAGACATAATTACTATCAATCTTCGCTTTAAATAAATCGTTGAAACATATATTTTGTTTTGGAAACAATAATTAACATATTTATGAAAAATTAACAACACGTATTCGACTAGTTGTGAGAGTGGCAACAAGAACGCTAATTTGGGGATGAGTTGTTTTTTTCAGATATTCGGTTGTGCCGAATTGATGTTTTCAAAAGAAATTTAATTTTAAAAGAAGTCAATCTGACACAGCTGCTTCAAACAACTTCTGCCTTTTCGGCGTTTATTTTAAACTGACTCTAAGCATGTTTGTACGTTTTTACATTCATGGGCACCGGAAAACGGGAATTATCTAATTCTTATAATAGTTTCTACAAAGATAACATTTAATAATTCAAGCAATTTGTATCGTCTAAATTAAACCTTGCTTTCAACCCTTATGTTATAAAATTTCGATTCATTTTGGATAGTGGATTTCTTTTTACCTTATGATATTTTCATGATTCAATCAAGAAAGTAACTTCTCTTCCCGAGTAATTTTGCGATTAAACAGCACACTTTTCGGATTCAAAGGAATTCTTTTGATGGAAACCATAGAGACAGACTTCCAATTTATTACGTACCTAAGCGTATATAAAGCATTTCCAAATCACGTACAAAATTTTTTTCACATGACCAAATTACCGTCTATTTGAAGGATGCATGTAATAAAAAGTTACCGCGACAACTGAAGCAAAACCTCCTTTTTTCAAGCAATCATGCGTCCTTTTTTCTCTTGTGTCATGCTTGAGTTTGTTTTACTGTTGGAAGTTCATTTTCAAGTACTTCTTCTACCTCAATCCATGAATTCTAAAATCTGTCAGAAAAATATTAGAGCATTGTTTAAGCACTAAATATGCAGATACAAAGTTATGGATGAAAATAAAAACATCTCTAACAATGTCAAAGGGATACTACGAGTGGCGTAACAAAGTGCTGATGCGATTCTAAACTGTATATGCGATTCATAATTATTTCGTTTGAACATGTCTTCAGTAGACTCCGTGTTATTAATGTTTGTTTTTGTATTAGAGCCCTTTCCTTGCCAGAGCTTTTATCGTCGTCAACTTGCTTGGAATCATTCGTGTTTTTAGTGGTGAACGGAGTCCTCATCCAAAACTCTCGAGCATACGCTGAGTGCTTGAACTATGTTCAATTTTATCAAGCAATCTTCAACCAAGGAGTCGTTGTTTCTCCTCTGTCAAGCTTGATTTTGTTACACCGTTGGAAGTTTTATTTTCAAGTATTTATTTTACCTCACTCAACGATATACAATATCTGTCAAAAATATTAATTGTTTATGCACAGAATATGCAGTTACAACGTTATGGCGAAAAATAAAAACATCTCTTGCATTGTCACAGATATTACGAGTGGCGTAAGAAAGTGCTGATGAGTTTGATATGCATTTGTTAAAACAAGCTTAAAAAGACAAAGAGCGTGCCAAAAATATATTATTGAAAACTTGCTAAGCGCATATAAAAGCACCAATTTCAGAGCTTGCTCCGTCACAAATTAATTGAGAATTAATCTGAGCATGCGTAGTCAACTGCACCAACTCTTCAAGTTCATGGTCATGGCAACGACCACCTTATGCACTAGTACCAATTATGGAGTAATTAGCTCGCTCAGTCACAAAATTTTCAGATAAATCACCTGCGCATGAGCAGTCTACTTGAACATGCACAGTCGACTTGACCATCTGCCCAAGCTCATGGCAATAGCTAACTGCATCTACCAGCACCGATTTTGAAGCAAATAGCATCCTTATCAACAATTTAATATAGAAATCATTTGCACATTATCACTCATACGAGTCTTTACTACAACTATTTATTATAGATAATTTAGCAATATCTGACATATTTCTCTAACTGAAATACTTGCAATTCTTATGGTTATATGTTTTCCAAGCGTGCGTGAAATATTAGAATTTACAACCCTGTTTTTATATTTTAATTACCTGAAGGAGTAAAAACAAATTTCATTCCAAATAAAGTATGAGTAAAGGCAGGTGCGATACAGCCATAAAATGCAGCCATTTTTAACAAAGCGCTAAAACACCGCTGAAACAGATAATAGAAAACATTAATCACACATTCAGGTATAAAACTTGGCATTGATACAGGATTTTCACACATCCCTGTATTGTTTACAGATAAAATGTCTTAGAATTTTATAATTATAAACAGTATTAACGAAGCATAATTGCATCTGAAAATTTCTTCAATTTATAAATGTAAATATGGGATGATTTTCATGGAACGACTTTCACATAATTTACAGGGTGGGGCTAATTTAGGGGGGTAGGCTGGTAAGGAAATGACGCAAGACATTTTATGGGTCTAGAATTTAGAGTGGTCTGACAGTGCAACTATTAAGTATTGCACAGTATAAAAAAATGTTGAAGCAAAAATAAACATTCGTAGTTTCACATGCAAACAGGAATATTGATCACATGAGTATGATTGTTAGAATTTCATTTTTAATCATAACGAGTCAGGATATTTTCTCGTGTCATTAAAATTCATCAAGCGTTCTCAAAAAGCGTTCTCAATATTTCGAGGAGTCTAAAAAGACATTTTCGCTGCTTATGTATTGTTGCTTGCTAAAACGTAATTTAGTCAAGTTTGTCAATAGCATGCACTGTTTGTTTTTTACTATTTCATGTCCGTCATGGAATTAATAGATCTTATAAAGTGCCAATGAAAGAATGATTTTACCAACGTACATAGCAATTAAATACAAAAAATTCATTATTTAAAAATTTGATTTATTGATTTAACAAACAGCCAAAAACTTAACCAAAGAAACCCAGCACTTCACCAAAGTTGCATTCATCTACAAACAAACTGCATGCACCACACTGTGGACCCAACATTGATGTATGTAAGTACAATAACATACAACTTATTGAATATGTACAGTAAGTTTACATTTGCATATACCTATACATATTGAGAAAATATGACTGAATAATCGGGAAAACAACACAAAAACCTTAGTACATAATAAAAAAATTATTTTTACAAAACAAAATGTGTAGCAGTTAAACTTACTTTACACATATATAAAATATTCATAATCACAAACCTGGAAAAGTTTAGTACACATAGCCATTTCACCACATGTAACATCTGCTCCATGAGATTTGCATAATCTTCTGAAGGGTAAATTACCAACCTGTCATACCACAAATACTGAAAAATATCCATCATTTACAGAATTAAATGTACAAGATGTTAAGTACAACCATAAGATGCCCATGGCACACAATAATACTACATGCAATTTGTCAATGAAATATGTCATTTCACTTAATCAGAGGTATGATGCAACAGTTAGCATAACAAAGTCATGTTATATTCATAATGTACTTAAAAATTCATAATATACTTTGTCATGTGATAATGCATGTATAAAAATGACTTTTCATGATGTCATTTAATTGAACATGACAACTTTGCACTTGGACACTAGCCAACATGAAAAATAAATTGCTAAACACAGGGTTTGTTTGGGACCAATCTGCAATATTTATGTATTGGTATATATTATAAAAAATTAATAAAGGATCAGCCACTTACTGTTATAAGGGGAGCCAAATATAACTTGCCTGATAATCAATCTAAATTATCAATAACAAAATTTCAACAAATAGTTCATTGACAAAATAAATCAACTCTACAACTGCAAGATATGACCTTACAGTGGAGAACTCTACATTACAAACATTTAAAAAAACCTACATTCAGTGATGACATATCCAACAATGACATATTTCTTTAATTTTGACTATGTATATGCTCTATAATGGTTGTTCACTCTAACATCTCAAGAAAACATCTGCATTGTTCATTTAGTTACTAATTGAATATGCAAGAATTCACTTGAGAAAATAAAATTCCTATTTTCTGCTTGTTTGATATATATCACATTCTTGTTTGTGAAAGCTCCCAAAGTCTTCACAGTTTGATCTCTATCCTGCGACTGTACCTTTGATTCTTTTATCTGTTTTATGGAATCATCAAATTTGGGAAATAAAAATTGTTTTTTCCTTAGTTTAACTTGCAAAGATTTACCTAAAATATTCATGATTTGATCATTGCATGATCCATTGAAAGATTCTGTTGTAACATTTATGAAATCTTCAGTGACATGCTGTTTGCCAAATCTACATGTAATGCTGTAAGGACAATTTCCATACAGCTCAAAGTTTCTGCACTTTCCAGGAATATCTGGCTGACGATGTTTAATTAAGATCTGTAAGTCATGTGAATAGTAGCATTTATCTCCAAATTTACACTTGCCATCTAAAAACTGTAGGAAAAGCTTGTCTTTTGCCAAGGGATTAGGATTCCTTGGTCTGTTCTTGTTCATGTCCCTTTGATGTTTCTTGCGAGGTGGTTCATCCTCATTTTCATTCAAATTTTCATTGCTCGCTTGAGTTGCATTTTTCAATAAATCATCTTTTTAACAACCTCTTCGCATTTAAAAGGTTGATAGGGAAGTAGATACCTAAAAAGACGATGTACTCAAAAGTCAGTAATTTGTATTATTCTTTATGCCATTTGAGAAACTTTAGGATGGGATATTACAAACTTACAATCAATCTCACTTACTGTGTCTCAATAGCAGCTTCTCCTCGGCGAAATGGTATTTGATGATCACGAGTTTGTGAGGTGGACTTACTTTTATCACTTTCGTACGAATCAAAGGAACGAGTTGCCACAGACTGTATCGGAGATTCATTGGCAGCCATTAACAAAAGCAATAAGTGAATTTATTATACAACAATGGATCTTAGCTTACTGGTTTACATAATCTTTGTAAACTTTAAACGTTCTGTCAGGTGGATTTCTCAAGAGGAGTCATGGTCAGTGAGGGAAGTTGTAGACTGTCGTGCAGACTGTGCATTCCTGACCTGCACTGACCTAAATATCTATGAATTCATGGAATAAACCCTCAATTTATTCTATATGATTCTAGATACAATCTTAAAATTATCGGTTACTTTCTGTAAATACCTAACATCTTTTTCTCTACTATACAGCAATTACAACTAGTGTACCTAATATCTTCTTTTTCAAGATAATAAATAATTACAATAAGTGTTGTAGCCATCCCCGCAAATTTTGTTTCTGCTTTGTAAATGTTAGAGAATAATCATTTTTCAGTCTTATGAAATCTTTTGTTTTGGCAATTAGTGAACGCAAAAAAACTTGCAAAGCAGGAGAAAATTTCCAGCTAAGTCACTGATTGGCGATAACTATAAAAAGTTTTTTGAAGTCATTTTGTTTCACACAAGGGCATGGACGTAGGAAGATCGATGATAAGGTGGGATGTGTGTGCAAAGGAATTTAGTAGCAGACTAATTACGGGGCCTATTTGTTGGACTTTCAGTCGAATATCTATTCCTCCCTCTAAGTTCAGTCTCTTGATGGCATTTGTGTTCTTTACACTCCTATGTCTTTCCCAGTTGGTTTTTGACTTTTGTAACTCATAGTAACAACGATAATGAATGAATTTAAAGTTGAAACTGGTGGCAAAACTCACTACTTCATGAGTTCTGACTATCGTTCATTTGAACGGTAGATCGTACAGTTTTAACAATATAGATGGTCTAAATTAAGAAAACAAAATTTCTATGTTTAAATTTATGATTTTGAACACAGCTAAGATGGATTAAATTAGGTGTTGGACGATTTAAAACGACCAAATGTTTATGATTTAACCAATTCGCTTGAACGCTTTCTCCATTTTCTCACTATATGTAGAAATATATAAAGATAAAAAAGAGAATAGCTAACTTGTATATTACCAGAATCCAACCAACCTATATTGACTGGGCTCATGTCATCAGCTTTTTACAACAGCAACTTTTATTCATAGATGGTTTTTTGAACTTCATGTGTAAGAAAAACAAAATTTCTTTTTTATGAATTTAGTGAGACATTCGTTATTTTTCGTCCTTGCTAATTATAACTATCGTGTTTTATCTCAAGTTAAGAAATAAAAGTTGTTTACTGTGTTTGCAAGGGCTTATGCAAGACGAGGAGATCTTTGGGGAACTCGAAAGCAATCAGAGCTCAAGTGATTCATATCTTAATCCGAGGCAAATACAGTGATGTTTTTTAATATGTATGTTTTAACTTATAGCTTCTGGTGACACTTCACACGTTATAATGTCATATTTGGAAGAAAGAAATAGAATTTTACTTTATACTTACCGTGACTTAAGTGCATAAGCGATGTTTATTATTTTGTTTCAAAGTCTTTGCAACTTCTTATTTTTATATTCAAACTCGTAGACATGATATATACATGATTGGTGATTTGTAATTGTCTTATTTAGGACTTTACTGTATGACATGATTCAGTTAGCACAAAATAAGATTCATTATTGTATCGTTTTGGTTATATTGATGAGAGTTTCATTTAACGGTTCGGAATTTGGATGAGATAATTTTTGTCCAAAACTCTACATAAAGGCCGCTGACGTGTTGGTAAGTAAGTGTTTTCCTATGGTGCGTGTTTGAGAAACTACTGCGATATCAACAAAATACATCAGTTGAGAAAAAGATATTTCATACTTTGTGTTCTTCTCTGTATCCATTTGGACGGGTATGATTCATAAGTAGAGTAAAAGCAGTACTGAAGGAATGCTTACAGTTGGTGGAAAATCATGCAGGAGCAAGTCTGTTTACGTTTATTGCTCTCACTTTTTATGACTGACAAGAACAAATGCAAAATTGTGCTGATATAGTTTGATAATATATTGCAATAAAATAATAAATAAAATTTACAACAAGAAATAAATATGTGGTAAATAAAAACATTGAAAATGTTTTCAATAGTTTTTAAAATTGGTCTATAAGTGACTTATTACTTGTTATTAGTTTTATCTAAATACATGCATTAACAATATTATACCGTAGAGAACCTAGACTATATCGAAAAATAAACTTTTGTTTTCCATGCATAAATAAAGTATAATTCCCGTATATAAATAAAATAAAATTTTGCGTGCAAAGTAATCGTTATTTTCTAAATGTTATATAGTCTTAGAAAAAGTTATTCAATGTCAACTATGCCGTTTCCTGCTTCACCGTGAACTTCCATTTTCTTTATTCATGTATCGTTTCCTTCGCCTTTCCTTTATTTCCATTTTCATTTTTTTCGTCGTGGATGGAAGTGATAACTCTTACACGAGTAAATTTAGGGGCTCGAAGGGGTGGGATGAAATAGGTGTTGTGAAAAGGTGGGAAAATTTGGTATGTTGGTTGTGTTGGATGCCTTTGATAGTGGTGCGGGTTGTTGAAAAAACTGGTATTGGTGAGTGGAGAGCTTCTTGATGATTGTGGAAGTAATGCAGCATCTTTCATTAGACCCTTGATGTACTTGATAGTGTACATGAGGTCGCCATTGTTACGTTGAAGGTACATTTCGAGTCTTTCAGGAAAAATGTTGGGGAATATTTTTACGAGCAGCTGGATACTTGACGGAATTGGTTTTGGATTTTGCCCATTTTGGATGATTTTGGATTGCAAATCAGCTAACACTTTGTGGGTGGATTTGCCTTTAGAAATTGGTTTTTGCCCTTTGCTTTATGATTTTTCCTTTTTCTCCACGCGTGGCTCCTGCATTTCACCTATAAAAGATAAAATCACAAACTGCAAATTAATTTTGTGTCACGTGATTGTTTGTTTTACGCATCCCAATTTTGTCAAACTCGCAGGCATATGCTAACAGTCTTACACGTAGTGACAAAATTTGCAAAAGTTAACACAATCACTTTCTACATTGATACAGATAGATAATATTGAGAAGACAATAATGTTCAACTATAGTTTTGTTGCAACTATATTGTCAATAACCTTTTGATAAGACCTTAATTAACTTAATCCGTTGATTTTGTGCCAATTACGAATAAATGAGAGGTTTGATCATTGAACGTTGAGTCATTGCAAGTATCGAATATTTCATTGTATTCATTAGCCAGGCCAGACTTGCCTGATATTATCGGTAGTCATAAAATACAAGCCAAACATTTTCTATACCAGAGCACTTTTGTAGCCGAGCACTTTAAAAGTGCCAAAAAATTCAAAATAAAGAATTAGTTAAAACAAGGACACGAACATCAAAGCTTTCAACATTGAGTGGCGCTTCTGTATATATCTATTCTGTGACTGTATGCTTTAATTGATGAAACTATTAAATCGTTTTGTATATCATTAGACAATCTTGACTCAATCACACGTGCGCAGCAATTGTTGGCTAAGTTTCAATTTGATCTACCTATATGTGTCATCACCAACAATACTATAAATAACAAACAAAACATCGGACAAAAACGTATATCGATAAATGTCGATATACTGTATGCTTTAATTGATGAAACTATTAAATGGTTTTTATATCATTAGACATTCTTGACTCATTCACGCGTGCGCAGCAATTGTTGGCTAAGTTTTAATTTGATCTACCTATATGTGTCATCCCCAACAATACTATAAATAACAACAAAAATATCGGAAAACGTATATCGATAAATATCGATATTTTTTATATACCGCAACAGCCTTACATACGCTTGTCTTGGTGTAATATCGCTTGAAAAAATTTTAGAATTTTCTATTACAGGTAGCGTTTCATTTTCTATTACACGTAACTATAGAATTTTGCAGAGTCAAATA